TTTTTGTTTTTTAAGCACTGGGGCTTGAACTCGGGCTACACCTTGAGCTACACCACCAGCCCTTTTTTGTGAAGGGTTTTTTCAAGATAGGGTCTCACAAACTATTTGCCTGGGCTGTCTTTGAACCTTGATCCTCCAGATCTCTGCCTTCTGAGTAGCTAAGATTACAGGTGTGAGCCACCAGTGCCCTGCCTGTTTCTCTTTTCTTTTCCTCCTCCCCTCTCCTCTCCTCTCAACTCTCCTCTCCTCCTTCCCTTTCCCCTTCCTTCCTTCCTTCCTTCCTTCCTTCCTTCCTTCCTTCCTTCCTTCCTTCCTTCCTTCCTTCCTTTTTTGCTACAGCTTTCAATGTGACTGTATTGGTCTCTCTCAGAAGCAAAACAAAATTAAAAACTCACACACTCTAAAATCCCAGCAGGTTCTAGTCAACAAGGAAGTACTGTCCTCACTGTGTCACTCTGTCGGCTTGCAGATTGTCATTTCATACTTCATCAGGGATCCTGCAGCTCAGCACTGTGTCAGGAACACAAGGAGGTGGACCTGTGGTGGGTCCCTTAAGAATGGGCAAAGGAGACCCTTCCTGAAGGGGACTGGTGGGCTACTCAGCCTGAATTTGGGGGTGGTGTAGCCCGGCTGTGGAATATGAGTCGTAGAGTTGGAATTGCACACCTGTGATAAACAGCACATTCTTCACCCTCCGCTGCTCAGCCAGGGGCCCCTTTGCCTGGAGTAGGTGTGATGCTGCCAGTAGGGACTTGGGAGGGTTGAGATGGGAACCCTGTTGGAGAGGTCACTGGGAGGTGAACTAGCGAGAGTTGTGGGGAAGTGGGAGCAGGTGCTGAATCCTGCCTAGCCTGCTCTACATACCACCCCCAAACTAAATCACATGTTGTACACGTGATCGCGTGGGATGGCGCGAGCCAGGTGAAGTGTTGAAGACCTCCCTGGGCTGTTACCACTGTATGGGCTTTGCCTCAGTGCCTTCATAGAACATACCTTATTTCACTGGTCACAACTGTTACGATTTGAAAGATATCAGATGAAACAGAAAATTTTAAGCATTTGCTAGTCCCTTCTCTCTGTCCCTCTCACAATGACCTTTTGCTTCTAGCTACCAAATCCAGAGAGAAAACCAAAACCAACCTGCTGCTCTGTGGGTGCAACCCAGAGGAAGTAAGAACTAAGTAGCTCACGTGGGGGTGGCATGTCAGACACAAGCGTAGGTCAGGCACGTGTTACCTGTTCATTGTCCCTGCTGAATTGTCCCAACATCCAGAAGGGATAGGTATTGCATTTTACAGATGGAAGAGTTTGCCTTAGGGAGATTAAACAGCTTGGTGGAGTACTGGTTAAATGAGCCTATCAGTTGAAGACCAGTTCCCCTCAGAAGGATTTAGCTGAAGAGAACTGAAAGCAGGAGCTATTCGCAGATCAGAAGGCACAGTTAAGAAAGCTTCAAGGGCTGTTAAGGCTCAAAGGAACGTATTCGTGGGAAGCAACTGGCACTCCCTGGGCTGAAGGGAGACGGGGAAGGAATAGTGGTACCTAGGGAGCCCAGGGAGAGCAGAGGCAGGGAAGGAATACCCCACCATTCTCTCCTGCCCACTAAGCTTTGCTAGTGCCTGTCATTGACTGACCCAGTGACTCCACAGCATGAACGCTTCCCCAGGGCACACACATAATGCCAGGAAACCAGCAGTCTCTATGTAGGAGGCCATCGATGCCACGTAAGGACTGACAGTCTTTTTCCAGCTAACCTGGCTAGGAAGGCTGCCTGTGACCCCATGAAGGAACAGGACCCCTTACTCCAAGCCTGACGTTGGCCTGTGCTCACATGCTTCTCTCCACCAAGACTCCCTCCTGCTTCCATAGCCTGTGTGTCTCAGTCATGGCTGTACTCATGTCTAGGACAGTGCCTGACACAAAACAGGCTGACAGTAGTCACTCAAAAATGGAACTCAAATGCCTCTCCCAACCATATCCTTTCCTCAGGACCCTGGGTTCTAATTTTCATAGAGTGTGTTTTTCAGAAGTTGCCTTACTTCTGTGCAGCTAAAGAATGTTAACATTGACTTTTCAGTTGGGACCTCAGAGGGAGACAATGATAATAAAAGTAATAATATGCTGCTGGTGTTAAAAATATACTAGGCAGCCGGCGGAGTGGCTCAAGTGGTAGAGTGCCTGCCTAGTAACCATGAGACCCTGAGTTCAAGCCCCAATACTGCTAAAAAAAAAAAAAAAAGTGCCAGGCACTTTAAAACACGTTTTCCATGCATCATTCCATTCAGCACCTGTGGGCACCTCATGCATATCTTGAACACACCTCATTCTGGTTCTATGAGGCTGCAAACAAGTCCGCACACGTGCATCCTGATAGCAGCTTGCCTCAGGTCTTGGCTGCAAATCTTGACCTTCTTGCTTGGGAGTTCCTGTAGTGCATGGCATGGCATTGAGCATCTGGGAGCAGCTAATGCCCTGTGGTCACTCTTTCCCAATGGAGCACTGATGCCAGCAAATAAATGCCTGCACTTTGTTCTGGTCATACTGCTCAGTTGGTTCAGGGGATTGAATGTCCATAGAAGTGGCCAACTCCATAATACAATCTTTCTTTTTTGCAGTACTGATGTTTGAAGTCAGGGCCTCATGCTTGCTTGGCAAGCGATTTACCACTGGAGCCTCGCATGGCTCTCCAGCCTTCCCTGTTTCACTTTTCCATCCCTCACTCCTGCACTTTTTTTTTTTTTTGCAGTACTGGGATTTGAACTCAGGACCTATACCTTGAGCCACTCCACCAGAGCCCCCTCCCCTTTTTTTGTGAAGGGTTTTTTGAGATAGGGTCTCATGAACTATTTCCTGAGGCTGGCTTCGAACCATGATTTTCCTGTTCTCTGCCTTCTGAGTAGTTTAGGATCACAAGCGTGAGCCACTGGTGGCTGGCTTCACTCCTGCTCTTTGGGATCACATTCCAGAATAAATCTGCTTGTAAGTCTTTGTCCTAGGCTCTGCTTCAGGGAACCCAGGCTAAGACAATCCCTACAACCACTATGACAGGTACTTTTATCATCCCTGTTTCATGGGGGAGGAAGCTGAGGCTGAGAAAGGTTCAGTAACTTGTCAAGATCATACAGCAGGTAAGGGGTGGGACTATGGATCATGGAACAAAGGAAACACCTCTCTCAGGTAGTAGGAGAATGGGTTGCCAGGGACCTGGCATTGAGTCCAGGCTCCGTGGCTTTTTCCCAGTGTGACTTGGAGCTACTTACTGTACTCTTGGACAGTCCATCTGTAAAATGGGGACAAAGGCAACCCCACCCTGCATCTTTAGGGTACAGATTAGAGATCATGAAAGAGAAGCCATAAGACCTCCTGTGCACAAGCCATGATGGGTGCTCCTCCTGGCATTATTTTACTTCCTCTCTGAGGTAGGTGTGAGAGCTCAGTGTCACAGCTAAGAGAAATTAGCCACTGAAAATGAAATGACTTGCCTGAGGTCACACAGAATTGAGCAGCAGCCTGGGATGGGTCTGTGACCACCCTTCCTAATCCCCAGCTTCCAGGACTTGCCTTGTAAGAGGCACCCAATGAATGGAAACAATTTTCCTTAAACAAAGTGGGAAGAGAGCTGCTACTTCCTTGTTCCTTTTCCTGCTAGTTGGCCCTGGCTTTTCTCTGCGCTGTGACCCCAGCTCCAGGTCACAAAGGCCAGGTTGAGTCAGTCTGGCTTCTCTGGCTGCAAACTGCTCAGGCTCCCTTAGGGAGGGACCTTCCTCAAGACTGAGGAAGAGATGCTGCCCTTCCCTAGCTTTACTGAAGCCTTGCCCCATAGGGAAAAGGGGCTGAGAGGGCCAGGGAGACCTTCAGTCCCTGCTTGGGCTGGGGGAGGGGTACGTTGGACTCCTAGTCTCAAGACCCGGAGAGAGACAGCTTTGGCAGGATTCACAGCTCCGCCCTCAATGTCCCTCTGCCTGGGAGCCTGGGGCCCCATCCCTAGACTTCTCAGCTGCACTAACTTTCCCAGATGTGGGCCCACGTGGACAGTTTTCCTCATTTCCTCCCTTTGGCCTCCTCTTCTGTGGAGCCTGGGGCCCAGCCCTGCCCCCTACCCAGACTCACCCCACAAGCCAAGCCTGAACTCAGCATCTGGAAAACAGGGCTGGGTCTAACCCGTAAGAGGAGGCCTGGACATTTGAAACCAAATTTGGGATTGCTGGGGTGAGTAGTGGTGGTGAGTGGAAACCAGTTTGCTAGAAATGTATAGCAGAGAGTGAGGCACAGTGGGTGCCCTTGATTTCCGAGTCTGATCAGCACCTCTCCTTTGCTATTTACTGAGCACTTAACCATGAGTCAACTACAACCCTAAATTCTTAATCTACATAATCTCACTTAATCTTCATTGCAAGTCTCTAAAGTACATATTGTGATCTGCAATTTACAAACAGGGAAACTGAGGCACTGGGAGAAGTTAGGAGTTTATCTAAAATCTCAAGGAATCCACAGTACAGAGATTTGAATCCAGCTCAATCTGCTTTTCCTGTAAACCTGTGAGATGGGGGGAAAGTAACTGGGAACTGAGGAGTTTGACAGAGTGACTCAAGTGGTACAGAGCCTGCATGAGGCCCTAAGTTCAAACCCCAGTACCGCCAAAACAAAACAAAACACATGAGAACTGGGGAGGCTAGGGTAACCCAAAGAGGCAGGGAGATGGGCGGTCCCAGCCTCCTGGAGCAGCGACTTCTGTTTCTGTTCAAAGTCTCCTCCTGGATCTTGCACTGGAGAAATTCTTCCCCAACCCCCATCTGTCCCGCTTCTTGTGGGGCTGGGAATATCCCAGGGTCAGGACAGGCTGGGCCCCCAGGCGAGGTGCCCATCAGCACGGTGGGGCCGGGATGACAGACACCAGGAGCCCTTCCTGAACAAAGACGGGGTGGGAGGCGGCCTGAGCCTCGCCACCCCGCCTCCCCCAGCCCTGCGGAGCCGCTAGGGCTGCAGACAGCGGAGCGGGCGGAGAGCATGGCGGGGGCCGGGGCCGCGCTGCTGGCCCTAGTCCTGCGGCTCGGGAGCCTGGCGCTGGCAGCGACCAGGGCTGCTGGAGGTGAGTCGGATGCCCCATCCCCTTGCTCACCGGGACCGGCTGGGGCCTCCCGGTCCTCCCCGTCGGCGGGGGAGAGCAGGGTGGGGAGAGGCGGCCAAGGCGGAGGGTCCAGGAGGCAGCGGGCCTCCTGCAGGCACCGGTGGGGAGGCCTCGCTCAATCTGGGGGTCTGAAGTTAATTATTTGTCTTGAGAAAGGAGAGAAAAGGGAGGCCGGCTGTGGGAGCTGACTTGAGCCTATGTGACCTTCCCCCAGGGGACTGACAGGAATGAAGGGACAGGCAGAGGAAGGCTGACAGGCAAGCTGAGGACAGGACCCTGGGGAGCAACCGAGTTTGTGCCACCCCTACGAGGGCTTTCAGCAGGTCTCCCTAGGAAAGGAGCTGGGGACGTCTTCCCCTGGGGGTGCCAGAGGACCCCAGCATCTCCCTGGCCCACTATCTGCCAGTAGGGCTGGAGGCGTGGCTGAGGAGTCAACCTTGGGTGGAGGATTTCAGATGCTGAGATGCTGGCACCTTCCATGTGGGTGGGAAGGAAGTTGGGCACAGGGGCCATGCCAAGACAGGGTGCTATTCCTGGATGCCATGCACAAGGGACAGAGATGGGAACTGGCACAACCTTACTGATGGTGTAAGGTTGGGGGTTAGAACCCTTGAACGGTGGGTAGCAGGGTAGGCTGGAAAGGCAGTTAGTGACAGGTACCTCCTGAACTTGAAAGTACCTGTGTAACTCAGAAAGGTGGTTCACACTGATAATCCTAGGTATTTGGGAGGCTGAGATTGGGAGGATCAAAGTTCAAGGCCAACCCAGGCAAACAGTTCATGAGCCCCACTACCTGAATGGGTAGGATGACATTAATCATGCTAATTGAGGCAAAGCTGGTTTGCAATGGGACAAGTTGGGTTTAGACTAAAATCCCCTTTCCCCTTGGTGGTGGTGCAGGGGCCTGGGGGAGGAATAGGTGACGTTGCTCCCCTGACTCACTGTCCTACTGTCCCTAAGAAACACTGTCAGCCACCTCAGTCTGGCCTCATTAATGAGCTGCCACTGTGGAAAAGCCCACCCTTCCTCTGCCTCTTCCTCTTTCACCTCCTCCTGGGGACTCTCACCTCCCCTCATCCCACTTGGGTGCTCTGGACTTTCCTGCCTCAGGAGAGGGTTGGGGTTGTGGCCTAGGAAGCATGAGGCTCTGAGTTCAAACCCCAGTACCACTAAAGGGAGAAAAAAGAAAAAAGTCCTGCTCAGATCACCAGGCCTGAACTCAAAGGTACTCCCCCAGTTCCTAGACATGGTATCATCCAGGACCAAGGGCAGGCTTTCTTCACTGACCTGGGGTGCTAGAATCTAGCTCTTATCTATCTATCTGTCTGTCTATCTATCTATCTATCTATCTATCTATCTAACTTTGTGATTGCTAGGCAGGTCATCTATGACTTGAACCCTTTATGGCTTTACAAAATTAAAATAATAACAACCTAGGAAACACTGCCAGCCCTCGCCTATAGACCCACATGGTATTCTTGTGCCCTTCAGATGGGGCTGTCCCTAGGGAGCTTCCTGGGCTTGCTGACATCCATGACTACCAGCAACAGGTGCCAGCCGGCTCCTCCATCCTTGCTGGGGCTACCCAGGAGCAGTGGCGCCCCCTGAAGGAGTGGCTGGGACGGCTGGAGGCTGAAGTGACCCAGCTCAGAGAGCAGGTACCATGGAAGCGGGACAGCATGGATAGGGTAGGGTGGACTTTACACAGTGGGAGGAAGAAAACCTCTGGGACCCCTAAATAGAGGTTTTTTGTTTTTTTGGGCCGTGCTAAAGGTTCAACCCAGGGCCTCACACATGCTAGGCAAGCACTGTACTACTGAGTTAAACCCTCACCTCCATAGAGTTTTGTTTTAAATACACATAAAAAAGTTCTTATCTGAACTATTCTTAACATTGTTTCTTTCATGAATAAAGAACATTCGGGGTATTTGTAGTCCATCTGGATTTCAAGAGTCTTTCACGTATTTGCCAAGCATGGTGGTACACCTACTATGTATAAGGCATCACCAGGAAAGTTTTTGACTGGATAAAGAAGTCCTCAGCTATTGGGGCAGGTTCCCAGTTCTGTCCAAAGAGGGACCCAGGGGCCTATGAGATGCTGCTATGGGGGCACCCACGTCTGCTGGAGACTTGTCACATTTTCTTCTCATCCTGCCTGCTTTTGTACCCCACAAATCTATGAGAAATGACAGGGGAAGCTGATGCAGTTCCTGTTACTTCTCCCCCCGCCCCCACCACGCCCCATTTCCCCAGAACAAGGACCTGCAGGCAAGAGTAAGGCAGCTGGAGTCCTGTGAGTGCCGCCTGGTCTCTCCCCAGTGCTGGGGACTGGGGCGCACCTGGCCTGAGGGGGCTCGCTGGGAGCCGGATGCCTGCACAGCCTGTGTCTGCCAGGATGGAGCTGCACACTGTGGCCCCCAGCCTGACTTGCCCCATTGTCATGGTCAGTGCCACCCCATCCGCCTTCCTGGGTGGCTTCTGGGCCTAGAGATGGCATTGGTGGCCTGAGTGACAGCATGACCTCCTCCTCAGGCTGCAGCCACAACGGCCAGGCCTACAGCAATGGGGAAACCTTCTCTCCAGACTCCTGTACCACTTGCCGCTGCCTGGTGAGTTCCTGTGACCCACAGGGATATCCCACACTCCATCCCTATCACCTGCCTGCCTCACTCCAGCCACCTGTCACTGAAGTGCTGTGCTAGATATTGGGCTATGGGTTCTGCCTGTCCTTCCCCCCGACATTGTCACCAGTGGCATTGGACTGATTTCTACTGGTTCTGGGTTCTGGACTTCAATCCCCATATACTAGGTGGGGCCCCCTTGACTTGATCCTAGAAAGCAGTGCTGTGGAGGACAGGCGATGTGGCTGCTGTCTTCCTTTCACAGACCTACCTGGATGACCCTAATTGTCCCTTTTTGCCTGTCCTCTACCTCAGACCCTCCTGCCCTCCTGTTCTCTGTCATCTGGCTCCACAGTCCCCTCCTGGCTTTCCTTCCTCATGCCTCCCCTGAGAAAGCCCTCGGTTCCCTTCCTAGGATCACTCTATTTGGGGAAGTTGCTGGTACCTAGAAGAGAGAGCTCCTAGGGTTCAAGGGCATCAGGAGTTGATGGGGATGGGATGGGACATTTTTGCACCCTTGGATCTAAGGTAGCTCATCTGCCTCAACCAACTCATCCTCTTGCTCTTTTTTTTTTTTTGGTGGGACTGGGGTTTGAACTCAGGGCTTCGCACTTGCAAAGCAGGCACTCTAGTGCTTGAGCCACACCTCCAGTCCATTTCACTCTGGTTATTTTGAAGATGTGGGGTCTCGCAAACTATTTGTTCAGGCTGCTCTCGAATCGTGATCCTTCTGATTTTAGCTACCCAGGTAGCCAGTGGCACCCAGCCCTCTTGCTCCTTGACAAGAGGGCCAAAGTTGTTCTGGGGGCCCTGTAACCACCCTAGTCTGCTTCCCACAGGACAGGACTGTCACCTGTACCCTGAAACCATGCCTGAGAGGACCTTGCCCTGAGCCGGGCGCATGCTGCCCACATTGTGAATCAGGTCAGCCTGCTGCTATTCCCCACACATGGGGGACCCCAGAGCCATGGCCCACCACCTACCTGGGTGAGTGAGTGTGGCATATCATGCCCCCCACACTCTGAAAATGCTGGGGGAAACCAGACCCAACGCTGAATCAGCAGACACTGAGCCTGACCTGGGACTGAGCCAGGCATTGTAAGGGAAATAGACCCAAGGCACTCTTCCTGTCCTCAGGGAGCTCCTGATCTAGTTGAGAAGATAACTTTATCTAGGGGACTGAGGGGCAGGGGAAGCCCATCAAGACTAGTCACTCTGGGTGGCCTTTGCAACCCTGAGCTGGATCTTCAGGGGAAAGTGATTGGGCCTGCAGGAGAAGGAGTGCTTAAGAACTGGGTGGGAAGAAATGTCTTCAGTTCCTTCTGTGGGCAATGGGGAGCCATTGAAGGCTGAAGAGCCAGAGTGTGGTATGTTCAAAGAGGTGTTTAGGAATGTTCGTTTGGTGTGGGCTGGATGTGGAGAGACCAGCTGGGGGCGCTGCCACAGCTCTTAATCTAGGCATGGAGCAAATTTTATTAGGAAAGCAATACGCTTTCAATAGAATAAAAGCATGTCATCTCTAGAGTGAGAACAAGAAGACCTGGGATAGTCTTACTCTAAAAATTTATTTGTCTGAAATTTAAATGTAACTAGATGTCCTGTATCATCTCGTGGTGATGAGTCAGGAAGGATAGGATCAGGCCAGTGAGGTCTGGAGATGTAGCCTAGGATCTTGGTCAGAGACAGGACTGAAGTCTTGGGAGTTGATGGATCTCAAAGAAAGGGACGTTGGGGCTGGGGATGTAGCTCAGTGGCAGAGTGCTTGCTGAGGATGCATGAGGCTGTGATTCAACCTGCAGCCTCTCCAATCCCAAATAAAGACACTCACAGAGGCTTCAGGGCAGGTGATGCCTCAGGGCACAGCTGGCTTATATGATTGTTTTGATGAAAGAAAACAAGATACCTCTTTCCATCTGGTGTAGTTAAAAAAAAAAATCTGTTCTGCCATAAATGGTGCCCCTTTGCTGTGGCACTCAGTCATTCTGGGCCTCTTACTCGGGGGCCTGATTCTGGTTTTGCAGGCTGCCCTGGGGGCCACAGAGCTGGGGAAACGTGGCACCCAGAGCCCTGTGTCATCTGCACCTGCCAGGTAAGACAGTCAGGGTCTGGCCCCAACCATCAGTCTTGTCCCAGCTGCCGGGCATATCCTAGGCCCAGCCATGCCCAGCCCAAATCTGGTGGCCAGACAGGGCTGCTGCCTCTACCCAGGCATCAGTGCCTGGAGCCACAGGCTATCTCAGCTTGGACAGTGCAGAGGGAGCAAGGGAGGGCTCAGTGTCTGCCCCGCAGGCAGGGACCGTGCAGTGCCAGGGGCCCTCATGCTCCGAACTCAACTGTCTGGAGAGCTACACCCCACCTGGGGAGTGCTGCCCCGTCTGCCGGCCAGGTGACCTCCCACCCACCTGCCCCTCCATTTCCTCAACCCCAAAGAGTCCAGTACCTACTTTGGGGATGTTCTCTTGGGGGATGTCTACTCACCCTGCTCGCTGTTGACCTGCCTGTCATCCTGGTAACTCTCCCCAGGCTGTGAGTATGAGGGGAAGCTTTATGAGGAGGGGACCAGCTTCCTGTCCAGGTCCAACCCTTGCCTGCAATGTTCCTGCCTGGTGAGTCTCCTGCCACCTCCGCCCAGGCCTGCCCTTCCTTGGACACCCCCTTTCCCACGCTGGATCACCCAGTCCCTCACATCCCTTCTGAGAGTAGGTTCCTGTGAAATTCTCCCTCTATTCCTACTGGCTACCTGCCCGCTCTGCACCCCCTTGGAGCCACGCCCAGGAGCATTACAGCCACTGGTCCATTACAGAGGAGCCTGGTTCGCTGTGTGCCCATGAAGTGCCCACCCAGCCCCTGTCCTGAACCAATCCTGAGGCCTGGGCACTGCTGCCCAGCCTGTCAAGGTGAGAGCTCCAGACTCTTCCTCCATGGAGCCCCTGGCAGGGCTGTCACGACATTTCTCCAACTTGAGTCCATCCTGTCAGCTTCTGATTTGGTTTGGTCAGTAGGGGAGTGATGCTGATGTTGGTCCAGCCCTCCCATGGAACTTCAGTGCTGGTGTCAAATTCTGCCTTGCCGCTTGGTGGTTGAGCCACTCTAAGTCATTCAGTGCCTCAGTTTCCCTATTTTTAAGGTACACAATCGTATGGCATTCAATAGCTCACAGTTCTGAGTAATAAAAGATCATTATCTGCTTTGGCCACGGAAACACCGAAGACTTGGGGTCAGTCCTCAGGGATGACCACTAGAGGGGGATTTGAGTCATACATTGATACTATAAAATTCTGTGATGAAGGCAGGAGTAGAAGCAGGAACCAGCTACCCTGGAAACCTGTAGGAAGGAGACCTAGCCCTGCTAGACACAGGAGGGAGGACATCCAGGTCCTTAAGGATAAGGAGCATTTAGCTAGGTGAAGGGCCGAAGAAGGCAGAGGACATTCCTGAGTCACATTCCACTCAGTGTTAGGTGTGCATGCCAGGAGGATCGTGCCACAGGCTTGAATGACCAAGGCCTAAAGGGAGGGGGGAAGGGCCACTAGAGATAGTGGGACAGGGGGATGTGCTGTGCTGTCCAGGGAAGGCCTAGAAGGGCAGCCTGAGGAGCAGGCACCTCACCCTGCCTGGAGCGCCAAGAGCCACCAAGGTTGTAGCAGAAGCATGGCCTGGTCCAGCAATGGCACATGAGGAGGGTGCAGCAGACTAGTGTCCAGGATGCTCAGACTAGACCTGCTCTCTGTCCCCAGTCCGAGGCTGCACAGAAGGTGACTCTCACAGGGAACATGGCCAAGAGTGGACCACACCTGGGGACCCCTGCAGGATCTGCGGGTGCCTGGTGAGTTCCCAGGCAGCTCCTGGACTATCTCTTGCACTACCCTGCCCCTAGGCCTCTGGATTCATAACTTCTTTCCATGGGACCCATCCATGGACACTGAGAGGGGACAGAGATGGAGAACACCAAATCCTAGGTGTTGTGAGTGCAGGGCCTGGGCGAGCTCACCTGTGTGTCTCTCTTGGCACAGCAGTGTACAGCAGAATGTGTGATCTGAACTCCAGGAGCTCGTGGACTGAAGGGAGGAGGAGAGAGACAGGGCAGGACATGACAGGCAGCCAAAGTTCTCCCTCCAGGGAGGGGGAAACATAGTTTTGACTTGTGGCATCTTCTGTTACATGTGGCGCCTGAGCCCTTGAGGTCTGGCTGGTCAGAACTGAGGTGTGCTATACTTAAAATGAATGCAAAATATTTCATTAATATGCTTGCTGATTACATGTTGAAATAATATTTTAGATACACTGGGCAAAATGCGGTATATTGTTAAATTTTAATTCCATCTGTTTCTTCAAAACAGATCTGTGGTTTTTGTTTGTTTTGTTGGTACTCAAGGCCTCGTGCTTGCTAGGCAGGTGCTCTACCACTTGAGCCACTCCTGCAAGCCATTTTTGTGTTGGGCATTCGTAAGATAGGGTCTCATGAATTATTTGCCTAGGCTGGCTTTGATCTGAGATTCTCCTGATCTCTGCCTCCTGAGTAGCTAGGATTACAGGCATGTGCCACACACCTGGCTTACAATTTCCTTTTTATAAAGCACCAGTCATGCTGGATGAGGGGCCCACTTATACCAGTGTGACCTCATCTTAACTAATTACATCTGCAACAACCCTATTTCCAAATAAGATTGCATTCTGAGGTGGCAGGGGCTAGAACTTCAACAGATGAAGTTTACAGGGATGCAACTCAACCCAAAATGACATCCACGGAATGGATGCCTGGGACTCCAATTGCCATTTCTGCCACTTGGCTGAGCCTGTTCCTCCCCTGCCCACCCCTCCCCCTACCAGGAGGGCCACATCCAATGCCGCCAGCAACAATGTGCCAGTTTGTGTCCATACCCTGCCCGGCCCCTCCCAGGCACCTGCTGCCCAGTGTGCGATGGTGAGTCAGTGGGTTCCAAGTTTAGAGGGCTCAGAATGGTGACAGCTGGCCAGCTTGGGATTCCCACAAAGGTCAGGCGAGGGGCAGGGAGGGGTCCCTGAGGAGGGTCTGAGCACCTCTTCCCAACAGGTTGTTTCCTAAATGGACGAGAGCACCGCAGCGGGGAGCCTGTGGGCTCTGGGGACCCCTGCTTGCACTGCCGATGTGCTGTGAGTGTGACTGCCTGGCAGGGAGGGCCTGGCTTCTGGGCCTACCTGCTGCCTGCTGACCAGGCCCTGTTGGCAGAACGGGAGTGTCCAGTGTGAGCCTCTACCCTGCCCACCTGTGCCCTGCAGATACCCAGGCAGGATTCCCGGGCAGTGCTGCCCAGTCTGTGATGGTAAGTAGGGACTGGGGTTGCTGGGAGAGGTGCAGAGTGTGGGTACCGTGGGCCTACACTTCTGTGGGATGTGTGGTGGGGATTGGCAGATCCTACTGGAGGACAAGCCTGGGTGTTCTTCATGGGGTGGGGGTGGATGCCTTTGGATGGCACGAGGTTCCCCTCCTGGCTCTCTGTCCTCCCGTCCAGGCTGTGAGTACCAGGGACACCAGTATCGGAGCCAGGAGACCTTCAGGCTCCAAGAGAGTGGCCGCTGTGTCCACTGCTCTTGCCAGGTGGGCACCCCTGCCGTCTCCCACCCAGGTCTGTGTCACTCCTTAAGAGCCTCTCACCTGGTCTCCCTCCTAGGCTGGCGAGGTCTCCTGTGAGGAGCAGGAGTGTCCATTTGCCCCCTGTGCCCCATCTGCCTCGGGTCCCCAGCCCTGCTCAGGTGTGTGCATGTGTTTTTGGGAGGGAAGAAGCAGCTGCCAAGGGCACTGCTTCCATGGGACTAGAGAGGGAGGACATTTTTTCCCAGTAAGGAAGATGCTTCATTAACTATCCAGAATTTGTTTAGAAGTTATGGTGAAGATGCAAGCCAGGGTCCCTGTGGGCTGCAGAGGAGGGGGAAGGATTGAGGGGGCATCTTTGGTTCCCATGGTAACAGCTCAACCCTCCCCCCCTTGCTGTAGCCTGTGTGCTCAATGGAGAGGAGTTTGCTGAAGGGGTCCAATGGGAACCCGATGACCAGCCCTGCACTGCCTGCTCTTGTCAAGATGGTGTACCAGTGTGTGGGGCTGTACTGTGTCCCCCACCCCTCTGCCAGCACCCCACTCAGCCCCCTGGTGAGTGCCGTTCCAATTATCTTGGTTTTCTTCCCCTGCTTTGCCCAGCTTACCCTGATCAGCCTGTTCCACCAGGTGACTGCTGCCCCAACTGTGAGAGCTGCACCTACCACGGTCAAGTGTATACCAATGGGCAGAACTTCACAGATGTGGACAGCCCTTGCCACATCTGCCGCTGTGAGGTACATCCCTGAGGCTTGTTGCTGCCCTGCTGAGCCCCTCCTAGGGCCCATTCCCATGGCCCTCTCCCCTGCTCGCAGGATGGGACTGTGAGGTGCTCCTTGATTGACTGCCCTCCCACGACCTGCGCCAGGCCCCAGAGTGGTTCCCGCCAGTGCTGCCCCAGGTGCCCAGGTGTGTGCTTATTGCGCTTAACTGGCCTGGGGACCCAGACCTTGCTGTCCTGCAGCCCTGTGGGCCCAAAGCCATCTTCCAAAGTGGTGGTCTTCTGAATTGTTTTTTTGTCTCACACAACTAAGAACTCTCTGGAACTCAAAGGGCGTGGGTAGGAGAATAGAGATTTGTTGCCTTTTGGTATTACTGTACTGCCTTTCCTTCCCATTCTGCATTTCCAATACCCCACCTCTTAGATGTGTTCATATGGATAGCCATTTGCATAGCACAAACTAGCATTTGTGTCCACCAGCTAGGGACCGGATGCTGGGTGCAATGGGATATGATCCCTGCCTGCACGAGGAGTTCTGTGCTAAGGTGTGTGTCTTGTGCACACACCTGTGTAAGCTCTTCACTGCTACACCCTCAAAGACATGCATCTGCATGCAGATAAATGGTCTCAACCCAGCCAGACTTACACCTGCACGTATCTTACAGAGCCCCCTTCCTCAGAAGTGGATCTGGCCTTCAGGGGCAGGGGGCACCTAGTGCTGTCAGCCTTTGCTTCTACTCTTACTCCCACTGTCCTCTGCCCAGACTGCATCCTGGAGACACAGGTGTTTGTGGACGGTGAGAGTTTCTCCCACCCTGGAGACCCCTGCCAGGAGTGCCACTGTCAGGAAGGCCAGGCCCGCTGCCAGCTTCGTGCCTGCCCCAGGGCCCCCTGTACCCACCCGCTGTTGGGTACCTGTTGCCGGAGTGACTGCAGTGGTAGGTGGCAGAGCTGGGGAGAGGGGCTCTTGGGTGGCATTTAGCCCTGGGGGCAGCGGGGCCTCTTCAGGCCTACAGTTGCCTCTTCCCCCAGGCTGTGCCTTTGGTGGGAAAGAATACCCCAACGGAGCCGACTTCCCCCACCCCTCTGACCCCTGTCGTCTGTGTCACTGTCTGGTGAGTTTGCGGGGATGAGAGGAGCCTAGGGGAGTGGAGGTGGGACTTGGGGAGGCCAGGAGAGTCCACCGAGATGGGCTGGAAAGGGGTGGGGGACCTCCTTGGCCTCCTCCCATTAGCCTGACTGGGCGTGGTCCATCTGTCCATCCGCAGAGCGGCAACGTGCAGTGCCTGGCGCGCCGTTGCCCGCCGCTGTCCTGTCCAGAACCGATCGTGGTGCCCGGAGACTGCTGCCCGCAGTGCCCGGGTAGGAGCCGCTTCCCCGGCCCCCGCGGCCGCTGCCTGGCCCCGCGTGACGCTCTTTCTCCACGCAGCCGTCCCCGCCGGCTGCCCGCGGCCCGGGAGCGCGGTCCCCGCCGGCCACCAGGAGCACTTTACCCCGCCCGGCGACCCCTGCCGCCGCTGCCTCTGCCTCAACGGCTCTGTGTCCTGCCAGCGGCTGCCCTGTCCGCCCGCGCCCTGCGCCCACCCGCGCCAGGGTCCCTGCTGCCCCTCCTGCGACGGTACCGCCCTGGTGGCTCCCCATCTCCCATCTCGCCTCGGTGCCTCCTGCTCAGCCAACTCTCACTCGACCCCCAGACACAGCTCACCTGGGGACCCTCCTGCCTCCCAGGTCGGGGTCTCACTAAGAATGTAGGGACAGTGCCCCATTCGCCAGCCGCCACTGTCCCCAGCCACTGCTCCTCTCCCTAGGCTGCCTGTACCACGGGAAGGAGTTTGCCAGCGGGGAGCGCTTCCCGTCGCCCAGCGCCGCCTGCCACGTGTGCCTCTGCTGGGAGGGCAGCGTGGGCTGCGAGCCAAGGGCTTGTGCCCCTGCACAGTGCCCCTTCCCCGCCAGGGGCGACTGCTGTCCTGCCTGTGATGGTGAGGGGCAGGAGACGGCCTGCGGGGGTGGGGTGGGGGCGGACGGGAGATCTGGGTCAGTGCCTTCTTCACTGCTCTAGAGTGGATCTAAATTGTTCTGACAATTGGACAATAAGACTAAAGCTCGGATTTTCTCCTGCCCTTGATGCTATTTAGCTGCAGGACCTTGGGCAAGTTACATAACCTCTCTTTGTGGGGGGAGGGGGCGGGGGGGGGCGGGGGAGCGGTACCAGGATTTGAACTCAGGCACTTAAGCTTGCTAGGCAGGTACTCTACCACTTGAGCCATTCCACCAGCCAGAAAGGAGAGAGTTGATCAGACCCAGTTGCCTAGTCTTGGGTTGCTTTTGTATTATCTTAGCAATTTTTGCTGCACATCTTCTACCATCTGTAATTTTATTTATCTTGTACTTTTCTTCAGATGAACTTATTAATTTAAATTTATTTAGCTGGCGTTTATTTGGATGTTGTAAATGGACAATTAGAACTTGCTAGAGGATTGCCACAAAACGACTACGATTAAAATATAATAGTGTTAAATTCTACTCAGTTACTTCAGCCTGTCAAGGCTTGAGCCTGAGACTCGTCCTCTTCTTTTTGGAAAGGGGAGACGAGCAAGGGTCAGACAGGAGCCTAGCCAGACTGCCAGCCCTCCTTGATCAGTCAGGAGAGCTTAAAAGAGCATTGGAAGGGGGTGCTTTGACCTATTCTACCTATGTCCACTCTAGCTATTCCCAGCTGTCCTTGGGCTGGGAATATCAGAGTGTGGGGAAAATCTTGCAGTGGCCTGTCCAGCATCTAACTGGGCTGATCCCTATGGGAATTCTTCCCCTCCTCCCCCATAGATGGACAGGGAGATTTTCTTGCAGGCTGTAGGACAGAAAGTTTGCCCTTTGGCCAGTCCGAACCTCACACCCTCCAGGCTCCTTTGCCCCTGGCCTGGACTAGTCCCTTTTCCCCTCAGAGGCTGGGTCTTTGAGGCTCTGGCCTCCTGCCAGGCCAAGCTCAGAGCCAGTAACTGTTTTCCTGTCACCTCTTTCTGCCTTCTTCCACTCCCCCACCTCTGGAAGGCTGTGAGTACCTGGGGGTGTCCTATCTGAGCAGCCAGGAGTTCCCGGATCCCCGAGAAGCCTGTAATGTGTGCAACTGCCTTGGAGGCTTTGTGACTTGCAGCCGCTGGCCCTGTGAGCCTCCAGGCTGCAGCCACCCCCTCACCATGCCTGGACATTGCTGCCCAATCTGCCAGGGTAGGGCTACACCTGCCCTTCCTGCCCTTTCCACTGCTGGGGCTTCCAGGGGTCAGTGCTATTGGGCAGGAGATTTGCATACAGCTGAGCCACATTGGGTCCTCATGCCTGAGACAGATGGACAGTCCCCCACCCTTCTCTCTCTCTCTCTTTCTCCTCCTCCTCCTCTGTTTCCACTGTCACCTCACACCAGATTGTCACACTCACCAAATAACTAATCCTTTTTTGACTTCCATACCTTCCATACTCTTAAATTGTCTCACTGCCTTCCTAAAATATCTTGTCACCCTACTGGAAACTCTTCAGTGACTCCCATTGCCCTGGAGCCACCAACCAGGAGGCAGCTTCCCTAGTCCATCCTCTCTGGCCCAGCCCACGTGACTGCATGTCCGGTGTGCCCTCTTCCCACACAGGTAGAACAATCTCTCCAGTCTTTTCATCCCATCTCCCCCCATGTGCATCTTCAGTCTTCTTGCCTGGAGTGCACTGTCCTCCAGCCTCTTCATGCATGAAAATCTTGCCACCTGTGGCCCCCGGAGATCTTTCCTTCAACCCCTCACCTTCCCTATCATACTTACCTCTCCCTAAGCTTTGTAGGAGGTTACCAGGCTTGGCCGTGTGTGTGTGTGTGTGTGTGTGTGTGTGTGTGTGATAGTGGAGGGCTCAACTGACAGTGGCCTTTCCATTGTGTTCCCCACTCTGACAGGATGCCTGTATCATGGGGTCACTGCTGCCCCTGGAGAGACTTTCCCTGATCCACTTGATCCCACCTGCTCTCTCTGCACCTGCCAGGTGAGGCAAAGCATTGGGATCTTGGTAACGTTTGCATTCCCATCCTCCTCCCTAGTCTGGTAGGGATTGTCTCCACCCAGGTCGCAAGGGGTACACTGCCTCTGACATCTGGTGGGACAGGATTGGACTCAGGTCTCCCAGGCAAGGGCAGGGGCTTGGGCCTGGCAAGCTGAATCAGGTGTCTGCCAGGGATCAACATGACTGGTTTGAGAATACAAAGCAGTAAGATGGGAAGCATCAGCAATCACTGTCTCCCCCCAGGAAGGTTCTGTAAGCTGCCAGAAGAAACCATGCCCCCCAGCTCTGTGCACACACCCCTCTCCTGGCCCCTGCTTCTGTCCTGTTTGCCATAGTGAGTTGCCTTCTTCATGCCCTGCCCCCCTGCTCTTCCCTGCCTCTTCCTCTCCCCTTTCTTCCCCTCCCTTCCTGTGAGGCCTGAGGTTGGGCAGTGCAGGGCAGTGTGGCACAGGACACCTGCCCAGAAAATGTGTCCCCCACAGGCTGCCTCTCTCAGGGCCAGGAGCACCAGGATGGGGAGGAGTTTGAGGGACCTGCAGGCAGCTGTGAGCGCTGTAGCTGTCAGGTACTTGGGGCTGGGGGCTGGGACCTGGGGCAGGGACTAGGCCAGCGTGTGTCTGGGTCCGTGTGTCTGGCAAGCTACTGGCCTTGCATCTCCTGCAGGCTGGTCACGTGAGCTGTGTTCGGTTGCGGTGCCCGCCCCTGCCCTGCCTGCTCCAGGTCACAGAGCCAGGGAGCTGCTGTCCTCGCTGCAGAGGTAAACTGGCCCTTGGGGTGGCCCCTACTCTTCAGGGCCTGGCCTGAGTCTGTCACCCTCTGTCCCTCCCTCCCTCCATCCTTGGCTGCTCACTTTCAGCTCTTCTTCCCTCTCTCTGCCCATTCCACCCCTCCAGGTACTGGTTAGATTTCCCCTTGATGTTATCTCTCTTCTTAACCACATCCAAGTCATAACAGTCAATTGCGAAAATCAACTTTTTTTGTATGGTACTGGGGCTTGAAGTTGGGGCTTGCATTTGCTAGTCCAGTGCTGTGTCACTTGAGCCGTGCCCCCACCTCTTTTGCTTTTAGTATATTTTAGATAAGGTCTTAAGCTTTTGTCCAAGACCTCAATCTTCCTACCTCTACTTCCTGTGTAACTGGGATTATAGATGTGTGCCATGATACTCAGCCAATAATGAACATTTATCGAGCACATAACCATGTGCCAGACCCTAAGTACTTTACATGTACCACCTCTTTAAGCAGTACAACAATCTTATCAGGGAAATGCTATCCTTACTCTCATTTTATGGACGGAAAAAGAGGTACAAAGAGGTAATATAGCCAGGTATGGTGGTGCACACCTGTAATCCCAGCACCCAGGAAGTAGAGGCAGGAGGATGTCAAGTTCAAGGCCAGCCTGGGCTATATGGCGAGAACCTGTCTCAAACAAACAAGGAGACAAAAAGGTAACATATGCTGCTGCTTATCCCACATGTTTGTCAGCTTGGTGTAGTTAACAGAACCAGCCGTGTATCGCTTGGGGAGGACTGAAAATTGGAGGCCAAGTTACTTAGGGCACATTGTGAGTGATAGAGCCATATGCATTTTTCAAACACCTACTGCATGCTAATGCTGTTCGTCCTGGGCTGCCATGGACTCTGTCTGCTGTTTGCAGCTTGCTCCGGCAAGTGATTTTTCCCTCCACCATAGATAGGAGCTCTGCCCCAGCCTACCTCCCTGTCACAACCCTCTGCTGCCCACATGTTCTACCTACCACTGGGGCTGGGGGAGAGGCTGCCATCTAGATCTCAGCCCCCAAAGCTTACCCCTGTCCACCCGGGACTGCAGGCTGCCTGGCTCATGGGGCGGAGCACCCTGAAGGCAGTAGCTGGGTGCCCCCAGACAGTCCCTGCTCCTCCTGCATGTGTCATGAGGGCGTCGTCACCTGTGCCCGTGTCCAGTGTGTTAGCTCCTGCACCCAGCCCCACCAGGGGCCCAATGACTGCTGCCCTCGATGCTCTGGTACTGGGAACCTGGGACAAGATGGGGTGCTGGAGTCTGTTCCATCTCCCTGCCTTTGTACTGGCTGGGGGGCAGAGGGGACTCCCTAAGGGGGAGGACCTGAAGGGCGGAGGACCCCACCCCTGGCATTGCTGCCAGCTTGAAGGCTTCCTGCTCTGTTCTTACCCCACCCCAAGGCTGTGAGCATGAGGGGCAGAAGTACGGGCCCGGGGAAATCTTCCAGCCTGGGGCAGACCCCTGCCATGTGTGCATCTGTGAGGTAGGAGAGGGCAGAGCTAGGGGGCTGGGACACCATGGGGAGGGCCAGGCAGCATGAGGGAGGCCTAGTCAAGCTAGGCACTGCATAGAGTGGGCACCATGGGGGTCAGACACAGAGCGGGTCTCTGGAGCTAGGGCTTGGGTCAGTTGGACCAGATCTGGGTTTAACCTGGGGCTCAGGGTTTGAGTATAGAAGGCAGTAGGCAGGTCTTCTGCTGGCCTGTGGGACCGGGTGTATAGAGGTGATGAGGGAGCCACATAGGATGTGTCATAGGTCAGGAGATGGGCAGTGGAGATGGAGGATAGCATTGAATACCAGAGGGTCAAGAGTCACAAAGACTCAGGACCCACATGACTAGAAAAAGGAAAGGACATTGTATCTGGGGATTTGGACTTGGAGTAGGGAGCAAGTTTAGGGGAACATTGAGTCTCTCTTTAGGCTTGAGGCTGATGTACCCATAGCAGACCTCAGGAGAAGGGTACAGAAGGCAGGTGGAGGGCCAGGAGTCCAGGAAAAGGAGTGGATCTTGGCTTCCACGGCTTGGAACCCACCCCTGCTCATTTATTCTTGTTGCAGCCACAGCCTGAGGGACCTCCCAGTCTTCACTGTCACCGACGGCAGTGTCCCAGCCTGGTGGGCTGCCCAGATAGCCAGCTTCTGCCCCCTGGACCCCAGCACTGCTGTCCCACCTGTGCCCGTGAGTCACAACTATCAGGGAGATAAGATAGGAGGGTGGGGTTGCTGTCCCCAGAGTGATGCTGGAAAGCCAGCCAGCAGTCCTTCTCAGCTGACTTTAGTGGACTGTTCTGGAAACCCTTGCACTGACTGGTGAGGCCTGCACAGGCCCACAGGGTAGCTGGTAGGAGCTGGGGAAAGTGACAGACCCCTTGCTTCCCTAAGCTGGGTGCAGTCTGTGGAGCATCTTGCCCAGCAGGTGGCGCTGTAGGACTGCAATTGTGGGGAATGCCAGCTCCTCGGGGGCTGTGATGTGAGGACCAGAGAGGAACATTGGCCCAGCCTCAGGGATCTGGAGAGCTACTCGGCTCCCCTCCCCTCCCAACCCCTCCCCTCTTTAGAATGAGGACTTATAAAGACAAGGGGGTGAGTAAAGAAACGGTTGTAGTTTTAATTACAAATATTCTTGGATTTGAGACCTGCAGCTTATCCAACAGCCATTTCACCATTGTGGAAACCATGTTTCAGCAGCCAGTTACAGCATGGAAATGACCGCCCTGCTTTGTCGTGCTGGCTAATGTCCTCACATGCTAAGATGAGAATCACTGTCCTCTTCCCTTATTGTAGTAGACATACAATTACATGGTGACATACAATTTACTGTCTTAGCCACATTTTAGTGTACAGCTCAGTGGTATTAAGTGCAATTCATAAGTGTACAAACACCACCAGCACCATCAGGGAAAAGTATTCCTATAATACTGACTAGGATGACCTTTAGGAAACAAGAAGACTCATTTATTAAGTACCTAATGCATGTCACATGCTGTACTTTATGCTTCTAATAAACAGTATCTCAGGGCCAGGCAAAGTGACACATACCTGTAATCCCAGCTATAAGGGAGGTAGAGATGGGAAGATCAAAGCTTGAGGCCAGCCAGGGGAGAAAAAAATTTGTGAGACCCTATCACAAGAATGACCAACACAAAATGGGTTGGCGGAGTGTCTCAAGTGGTAGAGTGCCTGCTTAGCAAGTGCAAGGCTCTGAGTTCAGACCCAAATACCACTAAACCAAAAACTAAAACCCCAAACAAAACATTATCTCATTAAATGTTCACACTTACCCAGTAAGGTAAGTGATATTATTCCCTTTTTACAGATTAAGAAACAGACTCAGAAAGCTTGATTAATCTGCCCAAAGGACTGGACCTAGGATATCTGGCTCTTTGTGATTTATTGTGCTGTTTTAGCCAGATTATATGAATGGAAGTGACAAGGACAGCAGGCAGCCTGGTTGTTCTTAGTGACCTTGGACTGAGGGAGCCAGTTTCCAGGCCCCCTCACCTAGTAGCCTAGCAAAGTTCCTTTAAAAAGTCTGACATTTTCTTTGCCAAACCAAAGGGAAAGAGGACTTATCCTCTCTGGAGTCAAGGTGCTAGGGACCTGGGTATGTCTTGGGCCCAAGAACTCTGGGGACACAGCTGGATGGTAATCCCTGCCTCCTGCCCTTTTCGTCTCCTCATGGGTTGGTTTCTTGCTTTCACAGAGGCACTGAGTAACTGCACAGAAGGCCTGCTGGGGTCTGAACTGACTCCACCAGACCCCTGCTACACCTGCCAGTGCCAGGTGAGTCCTGCCTCGGGGACTCTCAGAGTCCTCCTTTACCCTCCTCTGTGGACTGTGGCTGAGACTCCTCCCTGTGGCAGCTCTCAGCCTCTCCACTCACCTTGCTCTTCGTCCATTTGTCATGGGAGTCATACCCTGCCTTCATCCTACTCCCCACCTTGCCCTCCAACTCCTTGAGAGCTGCTGTTCTCTGCCTACTGTGTTCCTGTAACCACTGGCAGGATCTGACATGGCTCTGCATTCACCGGACCTGTCCTGAGCTCAGCTGTCCCCTGTTGGAGCGCCACACCCCCGCTGGGAGCTGCTGCCCGGTGTGCCAGGGTAAGTACCCAGTTTTGTTCTTCCCAATGAGAGGGAAGCCCAGGAGGGAGACAGGACGGGGTGACATTCATAAGCCAAGTTGGTGCCCTGGGGTCCACATTCAGAATGCAGGTTTCATTATTTGTAGAAATGGAGGGGGTACTCATTGAGGTGGAGAGGAGACCCAAGAGGAAGAGGGAGGCAGAGAATGCAGGCTGGATTCTTTTTTTTTTTTTAAATTTTGGTGGTACTGGTTGAATTCAGAGTCTCAAACTTGCTAAGCAGGTGCTGTACCACTTGAGCTACACCCCCAGCCCTTTTTGCTTTGGTTAATTTTCAAATAGGATCTCAATTTATGCCCTTGGCTGGCTTGGACCCTGATCTTCCTATTTATGTTTCTTACATAGCTGGAATGGCAGGTGCATGCCGCCGTGCCCAGCTTTTGTTGGTTGAGATGGGGTCTCACTACCTTTTTCCCCCGGGCTGGCCTCAAACCTCAGTCCTTCTGATGTCTGCCTCCTAAGCAGCTGGCATATAGGCTTGAACCACTGATCCTGGCCAAGCCTGGATTCTTGAGCCTCTGGATTTTTCAGGAGGCTTGGGGACCCCAGACCAATAGTAGGGCATTGCACTGCAGAGCTGGCAGTTCATCCAGAGGAGAATTCCAGCCTCTGGCTCTTTGGGCCTCCAGCATCCTAGAGATATCCTGAGCACAGGTACAAGGTCCAACACCTGTTAAGTTTTCTGCATATTGGTTGAAGAAATGAACCCATCAGGCAGCTGGTGGGGCGGGGCTTACCTGCTGGGAAGCTAAGAGTGATCTCCAGGGAGGGAGGATGCAGCTGGAAGGACAGAGCCAGCCCATCCATTCCTTTCTCCTTAGAATGTGTGGTGGAAGCTGATGGCCGTAGAGTGGCAGATGGAGAAAGCTGGCAGGACCCCAGCAACGCTTGCATCACCTGCACCTGCCACGTAATCTGGGGGAGGAGCTGGGATGGGGCCTTACAGACAGATAAAGGGAGAAGGGTCCCACATCTACCAGCAAGTACGGGTTCTTTGAGAGGCAGAGATCTCTGGGGTGAGCAAGATGTATCCTGATGTCTGTGCTTTTGGGAGGAGAGGGCAGGCAGAAGGCGCTGCAGCCTAGACTCTGTCCAGGAGACCCCTAACAATGTAAGACCAAGGATACAGGCCCTGCAGGAGATCCCTACAACAATGATGTCTGCCCTCAGCGGGGCCACGTGAAGTGTCACCTCGAGGAGTGTCAGATGCTCTCCTGCCCCCACGGCTGGGTGAAGGTGCCCCAGGCTGGCAGCTGCTGTGAGCGATGCCAAGGTGCGGGGCCGGGATGATGGAGGAGGGGGTGGGAGTGAAACCTGGTGTGTGTGTGGAGCACTGATTCTCCCTGTCTCCTGTCTCCTCAGCCTCCAACCAGTCGTGTGAGCACCAGGGCCGCCAGGTAGCCTCCGGGGAGCGCTGGGCGGTGGATACCTGCACCAGCTGCTCCTGCGTGGCCGGCACCGTGCGCTGCCAGAGCCAGCGATGCCCGCCGCTCTCATGTGGCCGGGTGAGTGCCCAGGTCTAAGGCGGTGGGGCGGAGATGCCCAGGACACCGAGAGTGAGAAGGAGGCTGGGCTTCTGACCTTGAGCGGTGGGGAGCTGGGGACGGTGCTGTTTCCGAAACGGCCACCAGGTGGCGCCCTGAGCCACTAGCCCGTGAGCCTGGGCGGGGGGAGGGGCAGGTTTCCCGGTTGGGACAGGGAGGGGAGTGCCACGTGACTGACCCTGGCTGGGGCTGAGGCCAGGACGAGGCCCCTGCCCTGAGTCCTGGCAGCTGCTGTCCCCGCTGCCTGCCCCGGCCTGCTTCCTGCATGGCCTTCGGAGACCCCCATTACCGCACCTTCGACGGCCGTCTGCTGCACTTTCAAGGCAGCTGCAGCTACGTGCTGGCCAAGGACTGCCATGGCGGGGACTTCAGGTGTGCATCCCCTCCCCCCTTCTCCCTGACCCTCACATCTGACTCCGCTGACCACTGGCACCTTGGCCTCTTCCGCCCACAGTGTGCATGTGACTAACAATGATCGGGGCCGGAGTGGCGTGGCCTGGACCCAGGAGGTGACAGTGCTGTTGGGGGACGTGGCTGTGCGGCTGCTGCAGGGCAGGACAGTCACGGTGAGCAGAAGACCTAGGCGATGGTCGGACCTGTTCTGTTCACCTGTAGCCCCAACATCGTCCCTCCTCCTGCCTCCTCTTTCAGGTGGACCAGCGCCCAGTGGCTTTGCCTTTCCTGCAGGAGCCGTTGCTTTACGTGGAGCTGCGGGGTCGCACAGTGATTCTGCACGCCCAGCCTGGGCTCCAGGTGTGGCAAGAGGAGAAGACTTGGATAGGGCTGGACTCCCAAACCAGGGCTGGGAGCCTCAGGCCTGTTTAGATTTCTGTGTCTATAGAGCCAGTGGGGGGTGCCAGCTACCTCTTGGGGAGAATAAGGCAGTGGAGGTGCTGCTGGAGTCCCAGGAAAAGAGTCAGGGTCAGAGACCTCTGGGGGACAGCCAGAGGTTCTGAGCCTGGTTTTAATCTTGTCTCAGCCACCCATACACCAGGGTTCTTTGGCCACTACCGACCTTGTATGGGCCTCAGTTTACTCATCTGTAAAGTGGGGTGGGGAGGATGTCAGCTAAGATCTCTTGGGTGGTCTCTGAGGTTCCTCCTAACTCCCATGTGGAAGAGTGACTTGCCCCCCAACCCTAGCCAGAGCACTGCTTATAAATTCATACTGATAAGGCTTGTGTGGACTTCTGAGCCTCACTCTAATTGTGTTTTGCCCTCCAAAAGGCCCAAGTGCTCACCAGACCCTGAGCGTTAGGCAGTGGATTGCGTTCCACTTGGGGCCCAGTTGAGGGGTGTGCAGGAGGGGTGGACAGCGCTTCCTGCCATCTGTTATAGCCTGGACTGTATAGCATGTGTGCGGACCAGGGCAGCATCACTTCCTTGGGGAGTTTGTGCCTGTCCATCCCCCTCCCCTACAGCACAGGGCATACCAATACATACAGTTCATGGGGCCATGATGGACTTTGGGCTTCTTGGGGTCCCTCCCCTTTCCCCCACCCCAGTACCAGACATCTCTGCACAGGTGCTGTGGGATGGGCAGTCCCAGGTGGAGGTGAGCGTGCCCGGCTCCTACCGGGGCCAGACTTGCGGGCTTTGTGGGAACTTCAATGGCTTTGCCCAGGATGATCTGCAAAGCCCTGATGGGCTGCTCCTGCCCACGGAGGCTGCATTTGGGAATAGCTGGCAGGTGAGTGGCACAGAAGCCAGAAGGTGGGGGAGGTTGGAGGAACTGGGCACAGCTGGGTGTGAGCCCCAGAGCAGCCCTCTGCTGTGGAAAAAGGGCCCCAGATGGGCTTTTGTGGCCTTCTTGCCTACCATGGTGCTAAGGGGAGGTAGGATAGCGTGTTGAAAAAAGCCTTGTTCCCTGAATCTAAGCTCTGCTTTGCCTCACACTGGAAGGAGGAACATACCTATGCTGGTACCTATACTGTAAAATGAGGACAAGAAGAGGTCCTTGTGATGTTTTCTTCACTCTTCTAAAAGGGACATTTTTGATGCTAAAGCAAATGACAGGGTAGGAAGTGCTTGGAAGACTTGGCAAGCAAAGGTCATCTGCCAGCCATGGTGTCACATCAGGGTTGCCCTCCCTGCCTAGGTCCCAGAAGGCCCAGGGCCTAGCCGGCCCTGTTCTGAGGGTCAAGAGGTGGATCCATGCCGGACAGCAGGTTACTGGGCCAGGCGTGAGGCCAATGCCAGGTGTGGGCTGCTAAAGTCATCACCGTTCAGTCGCTGCCATGCTGTTGTGCCACCAGAGCCCTTCTTTGCTGCCTGCGTGTATGACCTGTGTGCTTGTGGCCATGGCTCCTCAGCAGATGCCTGCCTCTGTGATGCTCTGGAAGCCTATGCCAGCCACTGTCGCCAGGCGGGGGTGACACCTGTCTGGAGAGGCCCTACACTCTGTGGTGAGAAGGCAATGTCTGATGCAGGTTGGGAGAGGGAGAGGTACAGAGAGGAAGGTACCCAGAAGACTCAGGTCTGGACAGGGTGGGTACAGGGAAGCCCACAAGGCGTGACTATAGCAACTGAAGTAGTGTTGGGGGCCCCTGTGGCCCTGCTTTTCATTGTGCCTACAGTGATGGGCTGTCCCCTGGACCGAGGTTTCGTGTTTGATGAGTGTGGACCACCCTGTCCCCGTACCTGTTTCAACCAGCATGTCCCCCTGGGGGAGCTGGCAGCCCACTGCGTGAGGCCCTGCATTCCTGGCTGCCAGTGTCCTGCAGGCCTGGTGGAGCATGAGACCCACTGTATACCACCTGAGGACTGTCCCCCCTTCCTGCTCACCGGAGACCAGCCACTCCACAACCTGCCCAGCCTCAGCCGGGAGCAGCCCCTGGCTCCACCCTGAGCCAGGGGGACCCAAAACTAGAACTCATCAGTCCAGAAGTCTCCCTTTGGCGAGCAGCAACCACCGGGCCAGAGCTGCAGGGACAGTGCCCTGCTCAGATACCAACCCCAATGGTGTTGAACACAGGCAATAAACCCTGGGCCTGCCAAGTCTTCCATGTGTGTATGTGTGCATGTGTGTGTGTGCTTGTGTTCCCTCCTTGCAAGGGGTGGTGGTGGGGCTGCTGACATCATGGGACCCAGTGGCCATTGTCCCTAGAGTTGCATCCCTAGGCTGCCCCAGCTGGCCATGCTCTGGTGCTGTCTGGGAAACCTTGATTCAGGCAGATGGACTGAGGTGTCCTGGTCCCCATCTATGCTCAGTCTATGTGGCAGACATGGCTGTGGCCCCCACGTGAGATCCCACAGGGGCTGAGGAGCCAAAGAAGGAGCCAGAGAAGGAGCCAAGTCTATGCCCAGTCTTTCCTTCCTTCTGTTTGTGGCATTGAGTGCTCAGGTCCTTCTCAGCCACTCTAAGAGCTGGTGACATAGGACCCTATGCTCGAGGGGAGAGAGACAATAGAAATACAGATACATGTGTGCACACGTAAATGTGAATAGCCTTCAGAAATGCGTGATGTTCCTTGCACACCTGTCTGTGTTCACAACCACACTCATCCAAGGGACAGTGGACAGTAGGTACATGTGCAGCTTGCCAAGATCCCTACGGTAGTAGGGGAGAGAACATGGGTTTTGAAATGGCAAAAAGTCCAGAATTTGAGTTCTCTTTGTCAACTCTTTGAGAACTCTTTGAGTACTCTTTGAGTTCTCAAGTACCAGCAATGTGATCTTGGAGTCTTGACTACAGCTATAAGATCAGAGGGACTTAATTGTCATTATGTGCCCCTAATATTCCAGTGGGGAGTGAGGGCTCCATACAGGAAAGGACACAGCCAAGCCCATTATTGTCTACTTGAGCAAGACACTTTGGAGTTGAATTGGAGATCACTTGCCCCATCAGCTCAACTGTCTTTTGGGGAGGCTGCTCTCACTAGGGGACCAGAGAGGAGAGCTCCATCCTTTCATGGGTGTGCCTTGTCACAAGGCAAAGCTACTTGTGACAGTACAGGATGCAGTTCCAGACTGCATTAGTCAGCTTTCCATTACAATAATGAAATAACAGCGGCAACTAATAAAAAGAAAAGGTTTATTTGGCTCATGGTTCTGGAGCCAAAGATCAGGCCACTCCTGCTTTGAGCCTCTGGCAAGGGCACCAGATGGCAATGCCAGTGAGCATGTGTTGCAGCAAACTTCTCACATTGTGAGCCAGGAAACAGAGAGGGACAGAGCAGGGGTCCCAGAATCCCCTTCAAAGGCACACTGCCAGTGACCTAAGGACCTCCCATAACACTGAATTTCCCAGAGGTGCACAGACCCTCCCCAACAGCACCATCCTGGGAACCCAGCTCTTTACACTTAGGCCTTTGGGGCTTTAACATCCCAACTGTAGCTGAGCCCACCTTCCTGTCCTTAGTATAACTTGGGTAACAGTTTCCTCATCTGTAACAGGACAAGAGCACCCATGTGCATCTGACAAGGTGGGAGGAATCGATGGGGTGGCTGTGGGTAGTATTTAGCAGGTGGGTCTGGCCCATTCAGCAGCCCAGCTCACAGTTGCTGGACTCCTTGCTTGTACTGACTTCTTGGTGAAGGACAACCTCGCCCCCCAGGGACCATGCTTTCCCAGAGAGTGTTTGTCATGGTTTTCTGTCTCCTGGTAAGAAAAAGGTTGCCACTAATTAGGGCAGGCTGCTCTCTGGAGCCACTCTTTTCAGTAAACTGGGACGATCATGGCACCTACTTCATGAAGCTACTGTGAGTTGGATCACATGTTGAGGCATCTGGTCCCCAGCATGTAGGAAGCTGCTGAACCTGCTGCTGCTGTTGCCCATACAGGGCACATGTGTAATGTGTCCATAGAACACAGCTGCACATGGCTGGGTGTGGAGGTGCACATCTGTAATCCCAGCTACTTGGGTGGTGGAGATCCAGAGACTCAGGCTTCAAGGCCAGCCAAGGGTGCGTGTGGGGGGGGGGCGGGGGGAAGTTAGCAAGACCCCATCTCCATCTCCACCAATAAAAAGCCAGGCATGGTGGCTCCCACCTGTAAAATCCCAGCTACTCAGGAAGCCTAGGTAGGAGAATGGTGGTACAAGGCTGGCTCCAGCAAAAACATGAAACCCTACCTGAAAAATAACTAAAGCAAAAAGGGCTCGGGGCATGGCTCAAGTGGAACACCTGCTTATCAAGTTGGAGACCCAGAGTTCAAAATGCCAGTGTTACCAGCAAAGCAAAACAAAAGAAAGAAAAAACCACAGTTCAAGGTTCACATGGATGATACACATGTAAGACAGATACTCACCGGCGGGTTGCAAAGGGGCACATGTACATACCTCTGTCTGTCAGGGTCACACTCCACACTGCCACCTCCCAGCCAAGAAACTCATCTGAGTCAGGCTAGAGTCTCTGACGCACAGGTATAGTCAGGCTCGGCTCCGGCGTCAGGGCCCTGAATTATTGAGATCACAGCCTTTGTTCCTCCTTGCTCCTGGTCCTCAGCACCCTGTCCTCCTCTTTCCAGGCTCTGGTGGCAGTGGCAAAGGCAGAGGCGGAGGCAGAGGAAGGAGGGAACATCTGCCCTGACCTCTTCTCTATGGCGCAGGCAGCCACTCCTTGGGAGCAGGCCTTGGCCCTGTACCAGCTCCTCTTCCGGTGGCCTGCAGGCCTGGGCCAGCTCCGCGCTGCCCTTTGGCAGGTGAGCAGGCGAGGTACTGCACCCAGGGAGGTAAGCAGGAGCCTGATGCTATCTTGTTGCCTCACCCCCAGGTGCAAGAGGGCCAGGTCTGTCCTCCAGGGCTGGAGCTGCCCGCTGTACTGCTGGAGATGGAGACGAGCCAGCGGGCCGAGGAGCAGGTTGGGGCTGGCGAGTGTGAGTGAGTGTGAGTGTGAGTGTGAGTGTGCAGAGGGGAAGTGCCCTCTCACACCATGATTCCCCACCTTCTTGCAGCTCCTCTGGGACTTGAAGCTGCTGACCGGGTCAGGGCTGGGCCTCTTCTGGCCACGCTGGGCCCGGTTTGGTGGTCAGAGGAACAAGGCTCAGCATGCATGGAGCCCTCTCGGTCAACCTTGTGGTAGGATGGGTGAGAACTCTGAGCTGCTGGTGAGTGGAGTGAGCAGGGACACTGTGTGACACTGGGGCAGCTGTGACAGTGGGGGGAAGTGGAAGGTGCATGGGTTTTGGAGACCCACAGTCCAGTGTTCAAATCTCTGCTCAGCCTTTCCCTGGAGACTCTGAGCCTCAGTTTCCTCAGCTATAACACAAAATGTTGAAAGTGATAGCGGTTGGAAGGACCAGTGAATTCACAAGAGGTTCTCGTTCTGCCTAGCACATAGCCATGCAGGCTGCTGTTACCATTCCACAATCAACAGCTGGCTTGGTCCAATCAACTGTGGCAGTACCTGAAGCCTTTCAATGTGGCTGCCACCTGGCAGGTCTCAGATTGTAGAAGCACTGTGCACAGGTGGCCTTGAAACTGTGCTCTGGTGGCCCCTGCTGTGGGCCCCTCCTTCTAGGGCTAGAGTCACTGACACTCTGGGAAGGGTGCTATGGTGACTGATTTCAGAACAGAGTTGAGAACTGGGGATGTGAGCCCCAGTCCTGGCTCAACCACCGGATGCCTGAGTCACTTTGGGAGTTTAGTGGCCTCTATGCTGAGGCATCCTCAGCTGTGATGGGAGGAGGTATTAGTGGTGACAACTAAGGAAGGGTCCAGCCAGAATCGCTGACCAAGGCCATAGACTCGTCTGAAGGCTCAAGTGGGTAGAGGGACAAGTTTCAAGCTCCTTGCCATGGAGAGGAAGGCAGAGAGGCCCCACAGGGGTCTGCCTGAATACCAGGAGGCAGGGATCATGGAAGCCAGCTTAAAGGCTGCCTACCACACTGGGGAATGGTGCCCTGTGGATCTGGGCTCTTCTAATCCTTTCAGAGTTCCTGGCTAAACCCTCCACCCCAGGCTGTGGACTCCATGAGCCAGAACCATCAGCTCCTGGAGGGGTGAGTCTGTTTCCTAGGGGATCAGGCATTCTCTCTGTGTTGCCCCACAGTGATCGATAACTGAACCCTTCCTCCCATCTCCTTTTGCAGTCAGTTCCAATGTCCCTTCCTCATGCCTCTGGTTCTTCTCAGGCCCTCACTTCAGTTGCATGATTGAAACTCAGTTGCACCCCACAGCCCCTGAAGGGGTAACCCCTGAATTCCAGCTCCTGAGATCCAGTAGTTACAGGGGTCAGAGGAGGGGTGTTGGGATGGGGGAAGCTCAACAGCCTGTGGGGACTTGGGAGAGTAGCAGGCAAGCTCCCTCCCCACTCCATAGCTCACAGGCCACAGGGGTGCATCCAAGACAGCCCTTGAACTCCTGTAGGGGAAAGGCCATGGACCCATTACCTGTCCAGGATCTGGATGAAGCTGAGAGTGTTGCAGAACCAAGACTGGAAGGCCCTGGCAAACCTGCAGAGGCCGCACCTGGTAAGTCAACAGTCAATGAGGAGGGGTGGAGGGGTCAAAGGGGTCGGGAAGACAAGACAGCAGGGAGCCCTGGAGCTGGGGAAGCCAGACAAGGGACGACCTCACTCAGGTCCAAGGGTTCCTTTCTTTCGCTCGTTCTTCATTCCACATTTTTTCATTGGGTACTGGGGTCACCTAAGGAAAGTAAATAGGTTTTATGTGCCAATTCCACCTGATTGGCACCAGCTGTCTCCAGAAGCTGACCTGGGGCTCAGGAAGGAGTGCCAGGTGTGGGGGCGGGAATGTACCTCCCCCACACCTGGCATATCCCCAACTGACACTTGATTCCATCCTGGAGATCACAGCCTAGTGAGAGAGGGTGACATTAAATAGACAATTAAGATGGGGGGAGGGGAGAATGGATGCTGTGACACTAGGGAATTGGATGCCTATCAATTGAAAGAAAACAGATTCTCAAATGATATGTTAAACAATAAATCTTCCAAAGCCATAGCTTCTAATTGTTTCAACACCTGCGTGACAGAAGAGGAGAACACCAATGGTTCTTTTTGGATTGACAGCAAAGTTTTTACAAGTATTTTATCCTTGGGAAGACAGGTCTAAAGTACACCATTAACTAGGATTTAAGCTCTCTAATAAGACCACAGTCAGCATCCTGGAGGGAGAGGCTGGGAGGTTGCTTCCCCGTTCCTGGCAATCATTTGTAAGGGCTGGCAGTCTTATGAGATGCCTTTGCTCAAAAACCTTTGAAAACCGGATTTATTTCCATAGAAAACATGCTCATTTGGTGACTGTTAAGAATATTCGTCTGGATCCCTCTTGCCTCCAGAGAAAGATGTGCTATTCTTATGAAATTTCTCAATTTAAGACTTTATGAATCAGGTTCCTGAAGCTAGTTTTATGCATGCAGGGCATCTCTCCTTCCTCCAGCAGCTGCAGGGAAGCAGTGACAGTGTATTTCCCATTTTTTAGACTTCTTTTGTTAATTATGAAGACTTGCAGTTTTTAGGACAGGCTCTGGCTTAAATATTCATTTCCCAAATTTCCTTTGATTTTGCTATCAGAGACAAAGGTCTAAAGAGGATTTTCCTTAAGAATGGGAAAAAGTATGGCACATACAGTGGGTTTCTTTTATGGGCCTGAACCAGTATACCAGGACAAAGTGAGGGTGTTCTTCTGCAGAGGAACCCGAGCTAATGGACCCTTCCTGTTCCCAGGCACCCTGTGGTGGTCTTAGGGAGGAGGTGTGCAAGTTTCCTGAGGTTACTCTGCCTTGGCTGGGAGGATGAGGAAGATGGAGTTGGATGGTGCCTGGAGGCTGTGGGCATAAAGATGGAGTGATGAGCTGTGATGGTCGAGTGGCACCCTAAGGGCTCCATGCCACTCCACACCAGAGGACGCCCTAGACTGCTTGGTGCTCAGGGTAGAATGTGTGTGCGGGGCAGGGACATGAGGTGACAGCTGTCATCATCAGTCTTTCTCCCTCAGGGTGTTTAGAAGATCTGAACTCCTTTACCAGCAGTAGCCTTGCAGAGCCAGGAAACTTGGAATTTAAGGTGAAAGGGTCAAAGGGTCCTGGGCAAAGGCCCTCTAAGGTTGGGGACAGCAGGAGTGGGGTCACTCTGGGAGGAGGCTGCTGAGATGAGGTGGGGCTACCCCTTGTAGCCACGTGGAAGAAGGAACTATCGGTGAAGCACCATTCACCACATCAAATGGGTTTAGCAAATTCGGAAATCAAGGAAGAACCAGCCACTGGGGTGTCCGGGCTCCACTAGAAGGGCCCTAGTACAGGATTCCCTCACAAGCTTGACCCAAAGTGTGCTTCCTTCCTAGGTCCCGGCCCAGAGGGAAGAGAGGAGCCAAGCAGAACCTGAGGTCCAGAGGCCTCACAGAGAGAAGTCCAAGAGCCCACAGGGGAGAAAGCTCCTCCTGGAAACTCCAGGGCCCCCTGGCCTGGCCTCCCAACACCTGCCAGCACCCCAACATTCCTCCAAGGGGCTGGGCTCCAGCCTGGGTCAGGAGAGAGCAGATCCTCAGACACCGCTGAGGATGGACACTCCTGGGGGTCAGAAAGCAGAGACTCCTCAGGGTCAGAAAGGAGAGGCACTGCAGGGGGAGAACAAAGGGGTTCTTCAAAGTCAGAGAGGAAGTAGTCCTGTGTGCAGGGTCAGAAAATGAAAACCCCTCAGCCTGGGGAAGGCAATTCCGCACAAGCCTGGGAGGTGGCCCAAAAAGAAGCGACAGTACAGCCAAGGGAAGAAGGCAGCCCCCGGGGTCATCCGAGGTCCCCAGATGAACAGTGGCGAAAAGGAGAGCCCAGGCCCCCAGGCAAGGACCACGCAGATAACTCGGGTCAAGACAGAAGGCCAGAGACAGGAGTGCGCGGCTCTGGCAACGCTGGGGGCCCGGGAGGGGACGCGGGCTCCTCTCCCTGCCCTGATGCCCGGGGCGCAGCCTCAGCTCCCAGTCTCAGGAGCCGGGAGGCTTGCGGCACGCAGCACCGGGGACTCTGGGGAGCAGAGGGGCGGCTCTGGGGGCCCCAAGACACCGAAGCCCGCGTGGCCGACGGGCGTGAGCTCGGCGCAGCAGGAGACGGCTCTGCAGCGGCTGCTGGAGCTGCACGGCGCGGCCAGAAGGCGGCGGCGGCGAGACCGCGAGCAGCAGCGGCTCCGGGTGCGTGACCGCGCGGGGTCTGATCGGGGCCTGCGGAGGGAGGGCGGGCGGAAAGCCGAGGTGGAGCCGCGCTGACTGCCGCCTCCCCAGGTCCTGGAACGGCTCCGCATCGCCGGGAACCGCCACCGCCGAGTTCACCCCTTGAGGCTCCCTCCTAGCACAGCTCAGCTCCCGCCACCGGCAAGAATCCGGGTCAGAAGGCGGCGGGGCCCCCGGCACGCTGGTGGCGGGGTGGGCGGCGGGGACCGAGCACGGCGGGTGCGGTGCGCGGGGCCGCCCCCTAATGGCCGCACAGCTCTGCCCGCCCAGGAGGACGCGGCCGGGCGGCGGCGCGCCCTGCAGGAGCAGCTGCAACTAGTGCACGGGAAGAGGACCGGTTGGCTTCTGGCCCTCAGGGCCAGGTAAATGGGAGCGGGGGTGCAGGGAGGCTAGTGTGTTGGGGTGTGGGGATCCCTCTTCCCTGGCATCTGGATGACAGGCTACTCTCTCTGCAGGAACACCCAGAACTTCCAGGAGCTCCTGTGCCCTGGTGCTGAGGAGCCTGCGCCCGAACAAAAGTGCCCACCTTTCCCAGCCCATCCTGGCCATTGCTGGGTCCCCAACGATGATTAAGGAGGTGGAAAATGCAAGTGGGCGACCTCTAGGTCCGAGGTAGTTTAGCAAAAGCCCAGAGTGCAGCCCCAGGGCCTGCGAGAGCAGAGACACAGACACAGCAATTTCACTCCACTGGGAGGGAGGCCTGTTATTTCCTCTTCCCACCTCAAGCCCCAAAGTCAGAAGGCCAGGTCCCTGGGGTCCAGCAGTGCGAAGGCCCCGTTCTTGCGGAAGAACGACTCAATGCGGCACATCTTGCAGGAGACCAGTTCTTGCTTCACTGGGGGACCTGGGATAAGATATCAGGGGCCAGGAATGGGTTTCTGGGGGCATCAAAGCACAGGAGGCCTGTTCTTCTGCATAGCTCTAGCCCTCAGCTGGTGTTGTACCCACTTTGTGTAAGAAATAAAAAGGGCTTCTAATGAGTGGGGGGTTACTGGAAAATGCAGGCGGGACACCCAGATAAGCAGTGATGGCAGCATGGCCCACAGCTGTCTGCCATCGTCAACCCTAACTTCAGGATTCATTCGGCAGGATGAAGGGGGACTCCAGTCCTGCTTGTCACAGAGACAGAGTGTAGAGACACGGGGGGTTCTTTCTACCTCTGCTCCCTTCCCGCTTGTCTCCTGTTGTTGGAAAGCTACTCCCTCTTTCTTCCTTCTTAGAATCTTAGGGAAAACAGGGAGATATTTGGGATAAAAATTCAACTGTGTTGATCCCCAGCCACCCACTTTTTCTGCACAGGCATTCAAGCACCTGGGGACTCATGACTGAGTGGTCTCCTTTGAAATCCATGAGATGGTCAGGGGATACTCAGCATTCCCCAGCAACCTGGCATCACTCACAGCCATGTCCCTGTCCCCATGCCTTCACTCTTCTTTGGAAACTCCATAGACTGAGCCATCTCCTTCCCAGCTGATGACCTGTTCTCTGCCTCACAGATGTCTCAGGTGGACAGCCTTCCCTGACAACACCATCTCTCCCCACCTCTGACCCTGCCCTCCTGCCTCCCCTCCGGTCAGATTCCAGCAATTCCAGCTCCTGGGTGACCTTATCCAACCTCTCTGCTTTAAATAGCATGTATATTCTAATAGAACTTGCATCTTGAACTCTGACTGACTTTCACACACAGCAAGCCTCAGTGACACCTCTAGGCTACCATGACCAATGCCTATAGCCAATACAGACCTGTCTTCTCACACCCTCCAGCCTTCTCCTCTCCCAGTCTTACATCTGGGCATTGCCACTTCTCTCTTCCATTCATATTCAGCCCTTCAATAAGTACCAGAATCTTCCTCTAAAACATCCTGAACTGATTTCAGCCCTACTGCTAAACCCCCTAGCTGGAGCCACCCTCCAAGTCTTGCCAAGATAAACAGATGCCTAACTCACCTTCCAGATTGTACAATTTCCCCTGAAAAAAGCCACTACTTATAAATTGGGGTGATTTTTTTTTTTTTTGGCAGTACTGGGTTTGAACTCAGGGCCTACACCTTTTGAGCCACTCCACCAGCCCTTTTTTTGTGATAGGTTTTTTAAAGATAGGGTCTCTTGGACTATTTGCCCAGTCTGGCTTCAAACCGTGATCCTCCTGATCTCTGCCTCCTGAATAACTAGGATTACAGGTGTGAGCCACCATCACCCAGCAGTGCTCTATCTCTTGAGCCATGCTCCCAGCCCCCCAAAACTGGGTGACCTTTAAAAGTAAGTCAGTTGCTGGGAGAGAGGCTCTAGTAGTAGAGCACCTGCCTAGCAAGTATGAGGCTCTGAGTTTAAACCCCCAGTACTGCCAAAAAAAGAAAAATCACTACCACTCACTTCCTTAAAACCCTCCACTGGCTTCTCCTTGCTCCAGAATAAAATCCAGACTCCTTTAGCTCTCAGCCTTGAGGGGCTCCGAAGAGCTTTTCCTGACAACTTACTCTGAAGCAGCACATGCCTGCGGCCTCCCTGCCCACCATCACTTCCTAGTTCCATGGGATTTGACCCTCCTAGACATCTCTTTGCTCTCTATTAATGGTTTAGACCTTCCACTCCCTGATACATGGCAGGTGCTCCATGTTTTTGAGGTGACTAATTTGTGGGAAGTTGGGCTCACCCAGCTGCCAGCCATATGTGAAGCTGGTGGTGATGGGGAAGAGGTAGCGCCTCTCTGGCATGTCCAGTTTTCGGGTGTTGAGGTACTGGTAGCGCCCCTGGAAGTCGTGGGAGATGCCTTCATACAGCAGGGCCCGAGTGGCAGGTGGTACTGGGTACATTTCTGAGTAAGAAGGAGCCTGTGGGACAGGTCTGGGGGCCTTGGCAGGGGCTGCTTTGGGAACAGGTGTGGGTGACAGCGGGGCCTTGGGTCGCAGCATGGGTAGTTTGAGGGGTAGGAGGGCTGCAGCCTTTGCCTTCTGCTTTGCTTTCACCAAAGTCCCGTATTTGCGGAGCCACTCACAGCGCAATGTCTTCTCCCTTAGATATTCCTCCTTCCAGAAGTTTTGCAGCTCCGTGTCCATGTTGAGCTGCCGTGCCATGGTGATAAGGGAAGGAGCAATACTAGGGAGGCTGCAGCTAAGGGGTGAGCACAGCAAGCAGATTCCTTCCAACAGTGGGTGGCTGCCCTGGGGCAGTCACTTGGCAACCAAGCCTCACCTCACACAGGGCCAGGGTTCTACCTACGGTGCCCTCAGTAGACCTCATGTGCCACCTTCCTGCAGGACCGAGGCTCCATACAGAACCATGGGCTTCCAGGTTTCCTGTGCTTTCTGTCCCCTGTGCCATATCCCCTCCCACCCCACGCAGATCTGGGCCTTGTCTTCTACCCTTCAGCTGGTCCTCTTTGATCCAGATAACCAGTCCTTGAGTTATAGCCTCCTTGCCCAACTTCTTTGCCTGACTTTTCAGCAGAACCTGCTCCATCCTTGCCAATCTAATCTCCCCCAAAGCCTCACCCTACACGTGTCCTGTCCAGCACCCAGCCCCAGTTTGAACATAAGCAAGAATATTACTTTAATTTAACATTGACAGTGACACTGAGTAACAGCACAGGGAAGAGGTAGTGGAGAGAGAAGATGGTTGGGTTTTCTGTTCCTAACCAGCCTGGATTTTACTGGCAGAGCCCCAGTCATCATCTAGAAGTACCTCACCCAGCCTCTTGGTGGAGTGGGAAAGGGTGGGGATTGGAAACCAGGGACTTGAAACTTAAAAGCTGATGACAAACTGGGAGAGGCCTGGTAAGGAGCAAGGGGCAGAGGAGCCCCTAGCGCAGGTCTTCAGCAGTGAACATGCCCTTGGCCCTGCGCAGGATGGAGTCTTTGGCTGCATCATAGGGGTGCTCCTTGGATGGGATCTCCAGGACAGCGGGAATAGAGCGCTGGTGGGCGTCAAGGGCATGCCGCACCATCTCTGCGATGTACTGGTTGATAAGGATGATGCCGATGTCCTCCCGGTTTAGAAACTGCCTGTTGTGGAGATGAGAATGGGGATCAGGACAGCTTAGGGGGTTGCTGTGTCCCCTGCTTCAAAAGCCCACTCTTGAATATGGAACTGGGCTCTAGAGGAGATTAGGCATGACTCCAGGGCACAGAGGACAAAAGGAAAGGCTGCAACACCATTTCTCAATTTTGTCCTTCCTTGAATGAAGCAACTACATTCAAGAGCACAGAGCCACGACGGTCCGGGTTGGCGTCTACACTGCTGCTCAGAGAGGGACTAGTAATAAGACTAGAGTTCATGCCAGTGTAATCAATCAATATGCTGCCTTTGTGTAGGAAAGGGGGAGGTGTTTATGTGTGTCCCTTTGTATCCGCATAAAGAGATTCTAGAAAGATAAGGGTCTTTCTCATGTTGTTATTGACAGAGGTAAAGAAGGGAGAAAACTGAGGTGCAAAGACTGGGTGGAAGTGAGACTCCTTAATGTATACCTTTTGAATATTATTAAATTGAAAAAATAGGGCTAATGAGACCCTCAAGGTCTATACCAATGGGGGATGGGCCAGGGTCAATGTTTGCTAAGAGCCAAGGACACAAGATGGGAAAAGGAAACTCAACAAGGAAAGAATCACACTTTCCACAGACAAAACCTGTCACTTTTGCCCTCCTTTCATGTGATCACCCTCCCCTCCCCCAATCATTCATTTACTCATTAAAAATCACTTATTAAGCATCTACCCAGTAGGGTAGGTTAGTCTTGATAATCTCTGAGATCCCTTTTACTTGGAAACATGGAAAATTCTTAGAAGTAAAAATTGTCCTTTTCTAGTGACAACTTGGGTCACTTTACCAGACTGCTTACAGATCAGCAGACAACAGCCTCACAGGTCAGGACCTATCATACCCCAGGCAGCAGGAACCTGCTGAGACCTGCTGAGACTGACAGCTCTGGGCTGGGCTGTTTAGGAGAAACAGGTGAGAGCAGTTTATTCCTGAAACCTAGCATGGAACCCCAGAGAAGGGGTGAGGGAAAGAGGAGGCAGTCATTCTCAAATCTAGTCAACAGGACACCTCCTGGATTAAAGGGCATGTCTGCACCCAAACTTTGAAGCTATCATCCTTGACCCAGGGCTGGAAGTGAGGACTTGAAGTATAAGGTCTTACAAGAAAGCCAGGCAGTCCAGATGTTCTCCCCACTGTGCTCAAGACAAAGGGAAGTTCCAAGGCAGACTGAGCTATAGAAGCAAAGTGGATGCTGACTTAAGAGAGGTAGAAAGGGTGATGACACTAGGTTCAAGTCCCAGCTCTGCCTTTTCTACTTGTGTGCATTTGGGTATGTCCCTTAATCTCTCAGAGATTAACCCCTACCTTACTGGACTCCGATTGTGAGCCTCTTAGGCAGGTAAGAGTACAAGAAAGCCAGAGCCCACTGCGTAGGCTCAGAGTGTGCGGTTCCTTTAGGGTGCAAAAAAGTCGAGCGGTGCTGGCAAGGCCTGGAGACTGCTCTATGGGTGAATGTCGGGGACCCCGGAAGAAGCGCTGAGGCTGGCCGTCTGGTGCTGGGGGGGGCTCCAGACGTACAGATTCAGCAGGGGCAGGTCACAAGCTCTGTTCCCCTTCTTTCGTGACACAAGATCATGTGATGGGGGAGCTTGTGGACCTGACATAGCTCCGGACCCAATCGAAACCCAAAAGAGAACTTGGGGCGCACGGGCCTCTGTTCCGGAAGCGTGGACGGACTTCCAGGACCTATCCCGGTCGGGGTCTGACATCACAGTTCCCAGGCCGCCTCCGCCCTCTCCCCGCGCTCGCACCGAGCACAAGAGCCCATTCAGGCCTCGCAGGCAACCTTACCGGAAAGTGTCTTCGATCTCATTGATGGTGGTGTCCTTCTCCACCACCAGGAAATTAGGGTGGCGGTTCTTATTAAGCTCCCCTATGCCGCCCAGCAGGAAGCCAGTCACCGTGTCCTCGTCTCCGATCACTGCGATGAGTTTCCCTCTTCCTGCCATCCTTTCAGCCAGGCAGAGCTCACCCAGAGCACCTGATATTTCCGAAACCCCGCCTCCTCACCGAGTCGCCGGCGCCCCTCCCTTCAGACATGCGCATTCTCTCCACCGCCTCCCGGACACGCGCAATAGCACCGCCTCAATTTGAGTACGCCTGCGCCATAAAGAGAGAGGCCGGAACCCAGGACTACGATTCCCAGAAGGCTTTGCGACGCGGGCCTCCACCCTTTTCCGGTCGTTCGTTGAGGTTTTCCTTCGTTTATTTGTCCGACAAGCCTTTTTGTTGTTGTTGGGTGTTTTTTTGTTGTTTTTGGACAGGGTTTCGCTTTGTAGCTCAAGATAGCCTTACACTCGCTATCCTTCTTTTCAAGTTCTGGAATTACAGGCATACACCACGCCTAGCACGACAAACGTTTTGAAACAAACCCTATGAGACTCTGGGACTCCAGGGAAGAAAACACACCTCCTTTTTGTTTTTGTTTTAAGACAGGGTCTCGTTACGTGGTCCAAGCAGGCCTTGGACTGAGTACAGACGTGCACCACCACACCCGGAGGACGAGGTCTGAGTCTGGACCGTGTGTGCATGTGTATAGCTACAACACAGTTAACCCAGTACATACTTGAGTTACTAAAAGGAAGGACCTAGTTGGTGGTACTGTCTGATGAGGTAGTCAAGGGAACAGCTAGTTACAACGTGTTGTGTAAGTTACTAAAATGTGAGAAGTGCATAGAAACACACAGCAGGGGTAACTAGCCCCCAGAGAGAGGGTGCTCTAAACGTTTTCCCAAGACGGTTATGTCATCTAAACTGTAACCTTGAGGGACCAGCAGGGTGATGAGGATGGACAATGAGGACAAGAGGGTGCAAAGGCTTGGCTAGAGAACTTAGGTTCTCTAAACAGTCAAGAAAAGTTGAAAAATCTAGAAACTTTCCTAAGTGTAAAGTTTTCTTAAGCCACTGAAGGATTTTAAGCAAAAGGGTGGTATCACCAGACTTATGTTTTAGAACTATCACTGGAACTGTACTGTATGCAGAGGCAACACTGAAGGAGGAGAAACCAAACTGGGAGGTTGGGAGGTAGGGGGGGTGGAGGGGTGGGCAATTGTGGTGAGAGATGACAGTGGCTGGAACTCAGTGATAATGAGGGCTGTGGAACTGATGGAATCAAGACATACTTAGAACTAAATGCACAAAGCTAGGTTTTGGATTGGATGTATTTGGGGAACAAGGAGAGAAAGAGAGACCCAGGTGATTTCTAGGCTTCTGGTCTGCATAGCTAGATGGATAGGAGTAACAGAGGGAGTGAGCCCTGAAATGAACAGGTCCAAAGGGACAGGGCCACTCTTCTTCATCAGACAGGCATCCTGGTGTCTGGCATGTACTTGTGTGTTTGGAGTGCCTGAAACATCCACATATTCTGGTCTAGTGGTTGTATGTATGATAGGCCTGGGATTTGGGGATATGCCTAGGTTTGACTCTTGGCCCTGCTACTTTGAGGTTTGATTCTAGACTCATCACTGAAATTCTCCAGGCCTTAGTTTCTTCAGATAATAGTAGGCCCACCACTAAGGGGTGTTAGCAGGATTAAGTGAAAAAGAACCACAAATTTCAGTATCTAGTGTCCCATTAAAGTTGGGTGAGAGCAGCTGGCCAGAGATCTATACACATATGAAGCCACAGAGTGAGGGAAGCAAACCAGCCAGGAAGACCCTCAATCTGAGAATGAGGAGGGACAAAGACAGAAAGTGAAGGGGTCAGTGAGGGTATGTGTAAGAGCAGTTGGCCCAGCACCTGGCACAGAACTGCTTCTCCCTGTCCACAGGTGGTTGGGTACTTTGGAGAATGAATCCACCTTTAATGGGTTTGTCAGGTAAAGTACAGAGCTGGGATAGCTCCATTTTCATCACTGTACACTCCTCCATTCAACCACATCAAATGTAACCACAATTAGGGGCCGAGAATACAAGATTGATAAAACATGATTTCTGTCCTCAGGAGCTCCTCAGGACTAACAGGAAAGTGAGAAATTTCAGGGGATGGGACAGGAAGGAAAAGAAGAAACAGGAACAAGGAGGCAGGCAGGCTTATCAAATGAAGAGGGGAGGAAGAGCAGGGTTAGAAACTGGGGCCATGTGTATTTTGAGTCTTGTCTGGCAGCACCTCTACCACCAAGTGCCAGGGGACAAGTCTTATTACAGAATCCACTCAGTGAAATGTCTGTGTCCCACTGTGCAGCTCAGTTTCTCATTCATATTTTATCCAGGCCCATATTAGACCTCACGGGGTCAGGAGGCTCAGGCTGTTGGGGACAGCCATGGATACCTGGTTGTAGATCAGGATAGTAAACGCCCCCAGAGAGGTGCCTAGTGTGATGGCCCTAACCCAGGAGGAGTCTGGGAACACTTCCTGTTAATTAGGAAGATGAGGGCAGAGAGGCAAGGATGTTCTCAGGCAGAGGCCCAAACTGCAGTACAGGTGCTAGAAAACCAGAGACCATAAAGGGAGTTGGAGGTAGAAAATGCTATTCGGAGTGAGCATGCTGTCTAGCTCACATGGTGAGGAGGCTGGTGTCTGAATCTGGAGATTTTGGAGTAGAAGTTAGCCTTGAGCAGAAGGGAGCCACTACAGGCCCTAAACCAAAAGGCCATACTGTCCCTAAACCAAAAGGCCATAATGTCTTCAACAGGACCCCCTCCAGCAGCAGCACTAATGAGTTGAGGGAGCTGGACAGGGCTAGGTTAGTTCAGAGGCTAGTGTAGGAGTCCAGGAGGAGGCCCATGCAAGGTTTGGAAGTAGGGAAGCAACAGGCCCAGGTTTGCCTCAAGCCCTGGAGTGAGGATTTAGGGTTCATGCGTGGTTCTGCCTGCCTGCTGGCTGAGTAGCATTCTTATTAGAGTCTATGCTCACTGTTTTCAGAGTCTAATTTGAAGTACATCCTCCAGGTCAGCCTGAACTGAAACTAGCCTTCCAGAAGTGTTAGGGCAGTCTTCCAGAAAACAGTGTCCACTCCCGCCCACCACCCTTCCAGCCAGCTGATGGCTGAGCTCCACCCCCGCCCTGGTCTTTGGTGCTTTGGGCCAATGTCTCAGACCTTATTTCTGCCCCAGGCTCTTCCTCTTGGCCTGGGTCAGTCCTCCAGGGGCTAGCCATGGAACCTCTGCCTCCTGGGACTAATTTAGTGTCATCAGGCCAGAAGGAGGCCAGCCGCAGAGAACACACCCACAAGGAATAGTCAAGCCTCTGCGACAGCCACACTTTATTTGGAGTTTTCCACTTGAGCAGCTATTAACTCAGCCGCATGACATGTGCAAAATCCCCCTAGAAAGCTGGGCCTCGCTGTGTGTAAAAAAGGCCCCCCATGGGGCAGAGCTGTGCAACCGTAAAAAAAAAAAAAAAGGAGAGAAAGAGAGAGAGAGAGAGAGAGAGAGAGAGAGAGAGAGAAATCAGTCCCCCAGTAAGCCTGGCTTGGGTGGAATATGTGCCGCTCAGGTCAGTCCACATGCCACTTGTTCCGGGTCTGTTTTCTTCTCCAATTGTGCTTTCTTGACCAAGTCCTTAAAACTCTGGGGCTATGGCCACCAGAGGGGCCAGTCACAGTCCTCAGGGACAGGAGGTTTGAGGGCAGCCTCTCTCACACACAGACCCCCCACCCCACACACAGCATAATGCACCCCCATTGGCCTCGGCCCAACCAGGAAACTCAAGAGTTTTCCTGGACCGCCTACCCCTTATGTTACAGTCACTGCCCGAGGCTGGCCTGAGTCTGCCCTTGTGTCACATTCAAGAGAAGGCCCTCCACCCTGCAGGGGCACAAAGGGGTGGGAGGCTGCGCCATTCACGTCACACCCAAGGCAGGCGTTTGTAGTGTCTGGTTCTGCAAGTGTGTATCTGGGTGTGGCACGCTGTTGTGTGGAAGTGGAGTAAGTGTGTTTGGCCAGAGGTGGGGGCTGAGGCTGGGGGAGGCACTTCTGGGATTCAAGGCACATTGACTTTGAAAGGGCTTCCGGGGACACTTTCATCACCCCACTTGACGATGAGTATGTAGTCTCCTTTCTCCTTGACAGTGTAGGTGACATTGTACACGCGGTTCCCCATGTGCTTCACATACACCTCCTCACAGGGAGTCTTGGGCCCGTGTACACCCACCATCATCATGTTGGTGCCTGGAGAGGGAGGCAGAGGAAAAGGGTCATACCAGGCCCCACAGCCCACACCCTGCTCCTCTACCAGCCCTCCCTGCCCTGTACCCCCCGCAGACAAGCCACCCTGGAAGGCAGCTTCCTCTGCCCTGGAGCCTACCTGCTTTGCTGCAGTCCACGGTGAAGGAGTTCTTCTGACCCACAAATGCCTGGGACAGTCCAGGACCTCGTGTCACCACCTTGCTGGCATCCGAAGAGAACTTGGGGATGGAACTGTAGCTGGAGCCACGGCTTGAGGAGGACTTGGTCACAGTCTCCACCAGAACCGTGGATGTTTCGTGAAGGCTGTGGCCTCCAGACAACCGGGGACCTAAGAGGCACAGTGGGTGGCCATGACCCCAGTCACTGGGGCTTTCTGCTATTCCCTAAGTAGGAAGCCCTCAGCTAGCACTGACAACTTTTTGAGACTCAGGGACCTAGGCCACGATGCCTGCACTGTCTGATCCCCCTCCTTCCTGTCCTCAGCCCATTCTCAACAGGTTCCAACTCCTACTTCTCCTTAGGCCTTGGCCTTTGTTGCTCCATCTCTCATCCTTCTAGGCTTTATCTGGAACTGAAGTTAAAAAGGAACCTATAGGATTGGTAGAAAGGCTCAAGTGGTAGAATGCCTGCCTTGTAAGTGTGAGGTCCTGAGTTCAATCTCCAGTATTGCAAAAAACAAACAAACAAACAAACCAACCCTATAATGAACAAGTCCTTCAAACAGCTTCAAAAATTGTCACCAAATATTTACTCTTTTTTTTTTTTTTAAGCAGTACTGAGGTTTAAACTCAGGACCTTGCTAAGTAGGTGCTCTACCACTTGAGTCATGTCCCCAGCCCCTTTTAAATACATTTTTTGACACCGGGTCACTACGCAGCCCAGGATACCTTTGAACTCCAGATCCTCCTGCCTTGGCCTCCTGAATGCTAGGATTACAGATATGCATCACAGTGCACAGCTTTATTCACTCTATCTTACTGAAAACAAAACATAACAGAGAACCCAGGAGGAAGAAAGTTAAGCTAAAGCTTGGGAAGCCACTGCAGGTAAAAGATTAATCAAGTGATGGACAATGATAAAGAGGACGATTTGGATTTTTAAAGATGATTATGGGGCTAGAGGAGTGGCTTAAGTGGTAGAGTGCCTGCCTAGCAAGCATGAGGCCCTGAGTTCAAGTCCCAGTGCTGCAAAAAAAAAAAAAAGATGATTGTGCATTGATTCCACAGAATGGAATGCTGCATAAAGCCAGGCCCACCTCTGCTGCTGGTAATCTGACCATGATGTCTGGGGGCAGACTATGATCTGATGTGAATGGCCAATAGAGTAATCCAGGCTGGGCTAGGCTACATGGGCCTTCTCAACCTAGGACACTCACCTGTGACCTTCGCTTTGAAGGGGCTGCCCACGATGTGCTGGGGGCCACCATACTTGATGGCAATGAGGTAGTTGCCAGGGGCCATGGGAGTGTAAGTGACCACATGGCCCTCAGGACACTCCCGACAGTCCAGCTGCACTTTGGAAGGGCCATCAATGGTGACAGACAAGGCTCCTGATCCTGCGTTCAGGGTGTTCACGATGAACTCTGATGACACACCTGAGGGCCAGGGGGAGCAAGGCTTAGGAAGGAAGAGATGTGACCCAGAGCAGAGCTGAGCCCCTGAGCAGCTCTGCAAGAACTTGGGGACTTAGTGAGCACTACCCCTGCCTCCAGGACAAGGCAATACCCATGAGTGTCTAAGCACCCCAAAATCCACCTGCTCCTCAACTCCAGGCACTCACCAGTGGTGCCCCCCTCGAGTCCAGGACCATAGGCTGACACCAAGCCTGGGTCTCCAGCCTGGCTCTGCTCCCCAACACGGATCTTGAAGGGGCTTCCGGGTATGTGGGCACCATTGAACTTGACATCGATGGAGTGAACACCATTCTCATGGGGGATGAAGCGGATGGTATGCTTGTCTGTGGGGGCAGAGGGTTGGTGGGTAAGCCTCCATCCTCTATCTCTCTCCAGGAGGTCATGCCCTGGCAAGGGGAGGCAGGGACAAGGCCAACTCACCACTGTCCAGCTCAGAGACATAGCACTCCTCCACAGCTCCTGAGGGTGTATGCACCCTAGCATCGATCACACCCCGTGCACCATTGAGCTGCACTGCAAAGGATGCTGGCTGGTTCACTTTCAGCCCCGTTTCCTACACAGGCCACAGAAGATGATCAGAGTCCTGGAAGCTGGGGCTGAAGCAGTCCTCTCTGGGTCCTCTCTACAACCTGACACTGCTTTCAGTGTAAGCCCAGTCCCAGGCCCCCACCTGCCCGGCCCAATTACTGCCTGCCAGCCCAGCTTGCAGGGAGGGAAGAGGAGGCAGAGGCCGGTCTGCAAGCCTGTGCCTCTAACTGTCACAAAGTGTGCATCATCCTATGCTGAGTACCATAGGGGACAAGGATTGATATGCCCTTGTCCTGCTGAGGAAGCAGAGGCCAGGCACTATGCAAAGCAGGCCTGGTGGCAAAGAAGCAAGAGCTTGACAGTGTTGTATAGTCTGCGGGCACCCCAGAGCTCAGAGTGGAAACCTAAGTATGCTGGATTGGCCCAGAGTGCTTCCAGAAGATGGTGGGCCAAGAGGGAGGATTGAAGGAAGCTCAGGCAGGGCTCTGAGGGGAAAAGGAGGTGAGCCTGGGCTGGGAATGGAGCCCCATACTAGAGTGGGGGGTATTTGGAAGGGGATGGAGTGAGGCCTTTTCTCCCTGTCCCTTACTTAGCAAGCTCTTTGACAGTGTATCCCTAGAACACATGACTTGCTAAGAGCCTATATGGCACATATTCCCGTAGAATATGGAAAGAAAGACATGTTCTCTCTAGAAGTCACAGCAGGAGAAAGCATAGCAGCCCCCAGTGGCCAGGAGAGGCACAGCTCAGGTCCTGTGGCTACACACACCTGCACCTACATAGGAGCCCCTGGGGTCCTCTCTGCAAATTGGCTCACTCTCATTTTGTGTTGATTTTATATTCCTATTACCATAAAGTCATTAATTTAGAACTTTCAGAAGGAAATGGAACAAACTCAGTAACAAGAAACGACAAATGACAGTAAGGACAGGGAGACAAAAATTGTAAAAGGCAAGGTGTGGAGTGACAGAGCTGGGGCAACCAGTGGGGTCCCAGATACTGTTCTCAGAGGGCCCCCTCCTGTGCTGTAGATGGTGGGAGACAGGGGCTTAGGCTGACTGGCCCTTCCAAGGTTACTGCTAGATCCCTGCCTATTTGGGTTTGCCATCCTAGACTCCTGCCCATTGCTCAACTGGCAGAGGAGCCCCACCCCTGGCACACACCTGGAGGCTGGTAACCGTGAGACGGCGAGCATCATCTGAGAGGGAGGCCACAGGCACCACAAAGGGGCTGTCTGGGATGTGCTCATCGTTGAACTTGATGGACACCTCGTAGTCACCTGGGAAGGGAGGCCAATCAGCACATAACCCAGGATGGGGGTAGTGGGAGCCCAACTATCTCCACCCCAGCCTCATCTCAGCACAGGCTTCCAGGGTCAGGACTCAGCTTTGAAGACAGACATGCATTCCCAGGGGTGGGGTGGAAGGAGATGGGCCAGACAAGGAGCAGGGGCCAGTCAGGGGAGTCCTGAAGCCTGAGGCACCTTCTGCCTGATCAGTGAGCAGTGTGGAAGGTCAGGCTGGCCCAGCCCCCACCCCAGCATGGTCACCTACCTGGCTCCTGAACAACATAGGAGACACCACAGGAGCCATCTTTGCGGTCCTCAAATGCAATCTCTGCCTTGCTGGGACCCTCCACAGCAATGGACAGGCCCCCGGCACCTGCTTCTCGGGTCCAGATGCTGAACTCAGCTGGATTTAGGGAAGCAGGGCAGGGGTGGCACTTGAGTACCATCAGCCCTCACATGGACTGCCCTAACTCCAACCTCCCTCCTGGCCTCCTGGCCCTCACCTGGCATGCCAGCCACACCTCGCTCCAAGCCTGTGCCTCCAGCCCGCACCTTGTGAGCACCACCTTCACCCAGAGGCCCCACAGTGAACTGGAAGGGGCTACCAGGGCACGTGCTGGCCCCGGTACTTGACAGCGACCGTGTGGGGCCCCATCTCCTGGGGCACAAAGCGTACGCTGTATGCACTGTCCTCCCCCTCCACAATCTCTGCAGCCTCTGTCTTGCCTGATGGGCTGGTCACCTGCGCCGTCATGTCCTGAGAGCTGGCCTCACCTGCAGGGTTGGAGGGATGTCAGGACAACGGGGCTCTTCCTGCTCCCACCTCTGCTCCCTCTTTCGTGAATCCCCCTTCTCTGCTCAGACAAACTCTGGCCATCTGGGCTGAGAATGCCAGGGCTGTGGTCTGCTGACTTCACCCTCCCATCCTGACTCGGGGGACAGAAGAAGGCCCAGCCTCCCTGTGAGGACCATCCCAGTGCGCTCTACTCACCCTCCTGCTGCCGGGTGATGCTGCCAAAGGATCCTAGGCGTTCCCGACCCAGGAAGTCCCCAAAAACAGCAGGGAAGGGGTCTCCGCCAACCTGGGTGGACTCCTCCACCCGCACCTCACGCTTGGTCTCCCCACCCCGAGTCTTGCTGATCTCTGTCCGCTCTGTGCGGGTGTATGTGTGGCTGCTTCGTGTGAAGGTGCGTGTCAGGCGCTCCTGAGCAGACACCATCTGGAACCAGTTCCCTGTTAGGATGCCAGGAGCCGGGGAGAGGAATGAGTAAGCAGGACAGAGCCTCCGGGGCAGGCCCTGGGCCCACCAGTATATCCCCATAGGCCTGCCCCAACCTGGCTCTTCCCCGCCATTCTTGGCTCTCTACCTGGGATCTTGAGGTTGAGGTCACAGGTGCTACCAATGGTGGCAATGGAAGGTGCCTGTCTACGTCGGGTGATACTTTCCTTCATGCGGCCCTCGCCAGTCACCTTCACGGTGAAGGGGCTTCCTGTGGGGCAGAAAGGGTGGGTCAGGCACACACATCATCTGCCTCCCAGCTCCCGGTCGGTCCCCACCTGGCTTCTGCCGAGAGCCTTACCGGGTACGTGTTTGTCAGCAAACTTGATGTTGATGATGTAGGTGCCGGGCTCAGTGGGGCAGTAGGTGACTTTGCATGTGCCGTCCTCCATGTCCTCACAGTTGATGTCCACCTTACTAGGGCCTTCAATACTCAGCCCCAATCCCCCATAACCTGGGCAGAAGTGAAGGACATACCCTCCTCAGTCCTGCGTCGCACACACCACACGGCTCTCCCTGCCTGGAACTGTAAGCTCCGCCCAAAAGGGAGGTGGCACAGGGAAGGCATGGGGTGAGCCAGGCACTGTCTCTAAGGCCTACCAAAGTGGGGGGGGGCGTCTAGAAAAGTCCCCAAGGAAGTCCTCTTGGATGCTAGTGAGCGAGGGAGAGATGAGCTCAGGATGACTTAAAAGTGAGAGAACTGACAGACCACTCACTTTCCCCTAAGTGGGCTCCATGCTATGAATCCTAACATGGAGGAAGGTATTGTTGGAGGTAGGGGTGCTTGGCAGGAAAGACAGATGGGTACCCATGGAGTACCAGCTGGAAAGGGGGTCTCTAGAAGTACCTGCGTTACGAGTATCCACGATGAACTCTGCCACCTGGAAAGTGTGGCCCTCAGAAAGTCCCTTGCCCCAGACGCGAACCTTGCTGGCATCCCCAATCTCTGATGGCCCCACCAGGATCTTGAAGGGGCTGTTGGTGACATGCTTGCCACTCTTGCGCACACTCACCACATGCTCCCCAACTTCCTTGGGGGTGAAGGAGATCCCTGTGGAGAGGAGGTGTCAGGCAGAGCATCCATGGGGCCTCCCTCTCCCCAGGGATCCCTGGAGGCAAGGCCCCATAACTCACCAATATGCCGGTTAGGCAGACGCTTCAACAGGCAGGGCTCCTCGTTGCCTGAGGGGGCTCGGATACTGGCAGTCAGCTGGCTCAGGTCACTCTCAGTGATCTTCAGTGACACATCCGTGGAGGTGCCCACATTCAGCTGTGATGTCCTCATTGAGTCATCACCTGAGTGAAGAGTTGGTATGCCAGGCAGTTGTGACTACAGGCAGGCCCTGATGTCATGGGGGTTGAGGACCAAGCATCCCAATTCTCATGGCTGCACTAGTCCTTTGTGGGCTAAATCCTTACATGAAACTTTGTCTACTCCTGAGTGTGGTAGAAATGAGGCACTGGACTGAACCACACAGACACCTTCCTTGCTGTGTGGCTCTGATCAAAGTACTTAACCTCGCTGGTATGGGTCTCCTCAGGTATCAAAAAGATTTTCAATACCCTAGTTTCTCAAGAGTAACTTCAAAAATGAAATGGGATCATGTCTTTTAAGGCACTGGTGTGGTTGGATGTTTCTTGCCATTGGTCTAAAGATGCTCTCCTCCACTTGTAGGGGGCATCTGCCCAAATGCCCTGAGTGAACTGAACATGCTGGGCTTGCACAAATGTTGTATGCACTGTGCGTGTGTCAGGGTGCCTTAAAGCTCACCCCACCTGTGATCTTGGCCGTGAAGGGGCTCCCTGGGATGTGCTTGTCATCAAAGCGCACAATGATGCTGTAGTCACCAGGCGCTGTGGGCAGGTAGGACACGGTGCAGGTGCCATCCTTGTTGTCCTTGCAGGTGATCTCAGCTTTGGATGGGCCCTCCACAGCCAACGACAGACCCCCTGTGGGTGGAGGTGGGGCTGAGATCAGAGGTCCTGCCCCCTGCCCCTTCACCCAGCCAGGTCTTCACCCTATCCCCTTCTTGCAGCTCTACTCACCTTCCCCAGCATCCTTGGTGACAATGGTAAAGGTGGCCGGCTTGTTGACCATGCCATGGCTCAGGCCTGGCCCATAGGCACTGACATGGCGGCTGTTGATGGCATCCACATAGAACTGCAGGGGACTCCCTGGGGAGACAAACCAGGGGCTGAGCCAGCATAGGGATAGGAGCACCTTGGACCCCAGCACTTTCTGGCAGCCTCCTTGCTGAGCCCTGCGTCTCTGCCATAGGGACCTGGCTCATGGAAGCCAGTCACCCACCAGGACATCAAATTTCTCAGCACCTCGCATAGTATCTGCATGTAGCAGGTGCTCAGTAAATATTCATTTAAAGAAGAAAGGCATGAATGACGTGGTGTCAGCTCTTTTTGCCCCAGCCCAGCCCAGCTCAGCCCCCAACTCACCAGGGATGTGGTTGCCATCATACTTGATGCCCATCTGGTGCAGGCCCTTCTCTGTGGGCGCATACCTAACCGTGATGGTGCCGTCCTTGTTGTCGGTGATGTTGGGCCGTGCGGTCTTCCCAGAAGGCATCCGCACCTCTCCTGCAAAGCAGACACGGTTACGTGGGGACCCTGGTTTCTCCTACCACAAGCCCTTCTGTGCAAGGGTCTGATCCTGTGTGGCTCTGCTGTCATCCCAGAGGCCAGGCACTGGGACACAGCACAGAGCAGACACAGGAACCCTGAACTGGGGGACAGATGTTTGAGTCTGAATTCTAGCTCTCTCCAACTTGCTGTGTGACCTGGAATAGTTTGGTTCCCCTCTCTGGGCCCCAGTTTTTACCTCTAAGAGAAGAGCTAGGCCTGCAAGAGGATTTCTGCCCTCTGAGCCCTTCTGCCTGGGGGTCCCAGGCAGTACCTGTGAGTTCTCCTTTCTGCACGGTGAAGGGGATGACCAGGTTGAAGGGCCTCAGCATAGACTCCAATGGTTCCACAGGCACCACCGGCTCCTCTGTGGCCTACGGCAGGTGAGAGAAAAAAGTCATTGGCTGGGGACGACGTGGAGTGTGGTCTGCCTCATGGCTGATGCTGGAGAAAAGAATAAGATGGTTAATGGTAGGACTTGCAAGGCAGGAGAGGGGTGCCAGCTGCAAGAAAGGGGTGCTGTGCCCAGATCACGGCTGCCTCTGCCCAGCCTAATGCCCACCTGCTCCCCAAGAGGCTCGCAAACCATGGCCCAGCCCTGGCTGCAGAAAAGTAGAGGAAGATATGAAGAAAGGGGAGGAGGACAAGGGGGAGGCAAGGCCCACTGTGGGAGGCAGCAGTACCCAGTGTGTGGGGCAGGTGCTGGGCCGGGGAGGGGCGTGGGGTTGGTGCAGCTGTAGCACTTCAGCAGGCTCCTCCACACGGGGCAGGGAGTCACAAGCCTGGGGAGGTAAGGTACGGGGAACAGGATGTGGCAGGCCCGAGGGACCAGAGCTGACTCAGATAATGGAACCTGAACGCCTGGGTGAGTATCTCACGTGTCTACCCTCGTCCTCTTTGCAGGGCCACCTCTGTGGAGATGGAGTCTGGGATAGTGGTCCAAGGACCAGAAAGGGACATGTTGAGCTCCTCCAGGGAGGGCTGACACCTCTGGGGCCAAAGATGAGGCTGTGCTCACCTTCTACTTTGGGACACTGTGGGGATAGCAAAGGCTTGATTCTAGGACACTGTGGCACTAGATAGAATCTATCAGATTTTAGGACAGCTTCCAGGATGCCCTGCTTCAGCTAAGAAGGATGGGTCCCACCTCCACCCCACCATCTGAGCCCACTGTGCCCAGGAGCTTACCAGCACATGGAAGGGGCTGTTGGGGATGTGCTCGCCCCCGAAGCGGATGGTGATGACGTACTTCCCTGGCTCGGGTGCTGTGTAGTAGATGTCAAAGGTACCATCGTGGTTCTCAACCACGTCCACGTCGAGCTCTGCCCCGTCTGGCGTAGAGACTGTGCAGGTCACCTTCCCCTTGCCTGCTGCCTTGGCATCCACCGTGATCACCGTCTCCTCTCCAATCTGGATTCGGGGTCCCAGGCAGGCACCTAGCACATGGAAAAGCCAGGTCAGGGGCTGCTGGAGCTGCGCCCAGCCCCTTGTCCCCCACCTCCCACCTCCCCAGCCTATAGCAAGAGAGGAGGAAGGCACTCACCAAGGCCATGGCCTCCAATGGACACTGGAAGTAGAGAAGAGTGTTAGGTCATATGCGTTCAGGATGGGCCTGGGGGTGGGGAGGGGGCAGGGGCAGGCCCTCTGTCTTTGGGGAACTGGGCTGATATAGATGCACTTCAAGGGGATTAGATGATGAGTAGGGCAGGGATGTGGAGTGGGTGCTGACCTGTGACAAGGCACTTGCTGGCATCTCCAGTGGGCAGGGCGTGGATTCGGAAGGGAGAATAGGGGATCTCGTCACCACCATACTTGATGGTGATGGTGTATCGGCCACTCATGTCTGGCAGGTAGGACACAGTGTATGTGCCATCCCCATTGTCTCGGATGTTGGCCTTCTTGGGTTTACCCTCAGGATCCTGCAGGAAATGCAGAGGTCAAGGCCTGACTGTGCCCAGAGCCCAACCAGAAGGTGGGTTGTGTCTGGACTCACCAGGATCTGAACAGTGAGGAGCCCCTCTCCAGCATCCCGGGCATCTATAGTGAACTCCACAGGCAGGCTGGCGGGTATGCCAGAGGCGTTGAGGCCAGGGCCACTGGCCCTCACCTTGCTGGCATCATGGGCTGGAAGCACCTTGATCTTGAAAGGGCTTGAGGAGCAGAAGGGATGGATAGTTGGCAGGGGGTTGGGGGAGTCCCGTATCATCTTGGGCACGGGGTCTTCCCCACCCACAGGCAGGAGGATGACTTTGAGGGGCAGGAAGGGAGGATAGTTCCCAGGAGCCAGGTCACATCCTGAGTCTTGGGGAAGGTCACTTGAAGACCCCTTTGACCGACCTGAGCATTTCTGCTCCATTCCTGGGGAGATGCTGTAGTTTGTTTAAAGAAGAGGGCCCAGCAGGCTCTCCCAGGCCTCTTGCCCTTCCCTGTCCCTAGTTACTAATTAGGGGTCGAAGCCCCAGGAGCTGTGCCATCTCCAGGGCAGAGAACCCTAGGGAAGATCAGGATGAGGCAGCCAGACGCATAGGCCTCAAAACAGGTGGGAGGGGCTCTCCCTAACGCCCACAGAGGCCCTGCAGGTGTGGCCCCAGAAGAAGCATTCCAGAGCTCAACACGGGGAACCCAAGGCTGGTCCTTACCTGCGTGGCACCTCCTGGTCAGCATACTTGACCGCTACTGTGTAGGGCCCGTCAGTGGCAGGGGTATAGTGGACAGTGTGGGTGCCATCTCCATTATCACGCACCTCCACAGGCTCAGCCACACCTGGGAAAGGGGAGTGGAGTCAGCAGAACCTCCTGGCACCCTACCCTACCTCCTTCCCTCTCTGCTGCAGACATTCTGTACCTGTAGGGCCTAGCACAGCCACCTGCAGGGGGGCCCGGCCAGCTTGACTGCAGTCCACTGTGAAGGTCTGGGGTACCCGTGCCCTGACACCGGCCCCCAGCCCTGGTCCTGAGCACTTCACCTTCCCAGGGTCTACCACATCCTTTACTGGTACCCGGAATGGGCTCCCTGTGAGGATGGAGACAACAGCTTCTACTCACCCGCTTATGAGGGTCTACCCGATACCCCTCCTGAGCATCCGAGGATCCAAGGAGGAGATAGGCCTCCCTGCCACCAAGATGACCACAAGGCAGTCAGACCAACATGTAAAGATGCTTAGAAACTTGCTAAGCAATCATAAACAAGAATAGATAAGTTTGGCTGTAGACTGAGGCAGGGCAAATCTCATTCATTTGGGCTCAAGCTAGGAAGAAGGCCTTCCGAAATTAATAAAAAGTTAAAAATAGAATATTTTAAAAAAATAATAAAATGTGTTTTTGATATTATGACTGATAAAAATAGAAAACATGAAATTCGACAAGGGGCAAAACATCCCATTACAGCAGGCCCAACTTCTGTAATAGTCAAAGACATGACACACCCAGGCAGCTTGGCCACAGGACAGTGAGGAAGTTCTGCAAACAATGAGAGCAAAAGGGTGGAAGACAGAGCAGCCAGGGAGCCAGTGACAGTGGCCTAGACTGAGTGACTGAACCCAGTGAATGAACCTATATGACCAAGTTCTGGTGCTCTCGTCAAGGGCATTTGGGAATGAACTAGAGAACTGTCACATCCACAGCACCCATGGTCCTGTCTCTGGGCCAGACCATCAGCCCAGGCCTCTTCCTGTTGTCTGGGCTCCTGCCACACCTGGTCTCCATGTCGCCTCTGTGAACTCCACACCCAACTTCCCTCCAGTGTTCCCCATGGAGCCCCCAGCATCCTGCATCCTTCTCTGACACCCCTGCATTACCTGGGATGGGCCGCCCCCCAAAGGTGATGTTGACATCATAGTCTCCGGGGGTGAAGGGGATGTACTCCACAGTGCAGCTACCATCCTTGTTGTCTTTGCAAGACATCTTGGCTTCTGAGGGGCCCTCGATGGCCAGTCCTAGGCCCCCAGTGCCAGCTCCCCTGTAAGATGACATTCCTGTCAGCTCTGCTAGGACCAGTGAATGAGAATGGAGGAGGTTGGAGAACAGGGAGGAAAAACAGGCCAGGATGCTGGGGGCCCAGCTCAGTAGGAACAAGCTATAGGGGCTGCTAGGGGACTCTAGGGAAGGTTTGCTCTTTGTTTCCCCCTGGGAAAAGATGGCCTGGGGTGAGGAACAAACAGGACAAATGGGAAGGATGTATGTCTGAGATCAAGGTGGCCATAGCCCCAGGTTAAGGTTAGGCAAGGCGAAGGATACCTGGTTTCCACAGTGAAGCGGTTGGCCTTGTTGACCAAGCCACTCTCCAGGCCTGGTCCAAAGGCTCGGACACGGGTGGGATCACAGCCCTCGGTCACGCCCACCCGGAAGGGGCTCTTGGGCACAGCTACCTCATCATAGAGCACCTCCACCAAATGCACACCTGGAAGTGGGTCACAGATTCAGTTGAGGAACATGAGCACTCCTGCTCTGCTCCCCCACCAGCCCCACCCCGTTCAGGCAGGCCCCTCACCCTCTTCATAGGCCGTGTACTGCACTCGGTAGGTGCCATCCCCGTTGTCTGTCACGTAGGTGTCTGTCTTAGCACCCGAGGGGTTGAGCACATGTGCTGTCACATGGTTGCCACCAGTGGCTGTTAGGGACCTTGCGTCCACAGTGAATTCAGTGGTCACCTCCCGTAGAACACCTGGACCCAGGAAGCGTGCTCAGCAAGGGGGGGGCTCAGCCTTTACCCAGTCCCTCCCCTCCTCCACTCTATGACTGTTCCTCCAAGTGGCGCCCAGGGACCTCTGCAACTCTGAGAGCTTCAGGCTATCTCCCACAGCTCTGCCTTCATTCCACTCACCATTTGGTGATGTTCCCTGTTCACATCAGTTATTCACCCCACGCTGTGAACCCTTGAGGGCAGGCATGGGTCTTACATGCCTCTTCCCACTCCATGCCCAAACCACAGCCTGCCCCTCCCAACAGGTGGCCCCCTCATGCCACTGTCTCGTGACTCTTGTCACCCTCTACCCCAGACTTTTCCTCTGCATCCTCTCGAGCAGATTCTTAGCTTTCTTGGGTGCAGGAACTCTTAAGCTGATGAGTGCAAGGATCTCATGGGAAAGACGCCCAGGGGCAGATACCAATTTGTCCTAAGAGCAGAGGCCAATCTCCATGCCCTGCTCGATCCCTTTGTTCCTTCTCTGGGATATCTTTAGGACTCAGGACTTCCTCAAGAGCCCTCCCCTCACCCAGCCCTCAATTCTGTTTCCCTTCCTCCTGCTGATGACCTGGCTCCTTTACTCACAACTTTGGGTTGTGGGTGGAGAAGGCTGGCCCCTTTTCTCTTACCGTGTGGCTCCACACCCGGTCCTGAGACCTTGACACCACTGGTATCAACAGCAGGCTGCACATGGACACGCGTGGGGAATTTGGGTATTGGATGGCCTCCATATTTGATGGTGATGGTGTAGGTGCCAGGGAAGGCAGGGCTGTAGGTGATGTGGTAGGTGCCATCGGCGTTGTTATGGATCAGCACCTCAGCCTTGACACCAGCGTCCGACAGGATCTCAATGGTCAGCTCTGCCTCTCCAGCTTCTGAGCAGTCCACAGTGAATGTGGCTGCCTCACCAGCTTTGCCACGCTCTAGGCCTGGCCCACTGGCTCGAACCTTGCTCGGGTCGAACACGGGTCGGATGGTGGCCTTGAAGGGTGAGCCAGGGATATGGGCTTCGGCAAACAGGATGTTAATGGTGTATTCGCCTGGCTCTGTGGGTAGGTAACTGACAGCACAGGAGCCATCACCGTTATCCTGGCACTCAATCTTGGCCTCGCAGGGGCCTTCCACAGTCAGCCCCAGGCCTCCTGTGCCGGCCCCTTTGGTGTCGATGGAGAAGGGTGCAGGGGTGCCTACGAGTCCGCCCTTGAGACCAGGGCCATAAGCACAGACCTACAGGGAGGAGCAGAAAAGTGGGTTGCCTGCACCTGGATTCTCCCAGGCTGCCCCCTCCTCACCTCATCACCTGGCTAACACCTTCAGCTGCAGCAGCTACTGCAGATGGAGAGCTTACAACTCCAGGTGAGACACCAAAGTGGAGAGACAGAATAATCTAGCCTCATTAGTGTACCTGGGATTCAAACCCGAGTCTGATTCCAAGGCCAGGCTCTTAATAACTAAGTTGTCTCTAAGGCAGGTCGTGGGGTGGGAGAGGGTCCTGGCCTTGGGTCACATAAGTCCTCTGGCCTCTAACCTGTATATGACTCATCAATTTTCCCTGCCAGCCCCAACTCCCGGCTCCCATCAACCCCTATCTGCTCACCTTGGAGGGGTCAGGGGGCAGGACACCTTCCACAGCAAAGGGGCTGCCAGGGACGGGGTGGCCATCATAGGTAATATCCACCTTGTATGGCCCCTCCTCAGGGGGCATGTAACGCACGGCCTGAGTTTCAGCTCCAGCTCCAGGCTCCAGCTTGCAGGGGACGGGCCGTCGGGAGGGTGAGGTCATCCGCACGTCTAATTGACCCTGACCGCCAGCCCCTTGTGTGCTCACGGAGAATGCCTGTTCCTGCCCCACAGCCACCTCTGCATGAAGGGCCAGACAACACGGGCTGAGGCTCAAGTGTCCACCCCAACACCCCTGGTTCCCAGGGCAGCTCTTGCCCTACTTACTGCTGTTGAGGCCTTGAACTTTAACTTTGCTGAGGTCCAGTGGGGGTGCCACATTCACCACAAAGGGGCTTTTGGGGACAGGGTCTCCACCGTAGGTCACTGTTACTGCCATGTTGCCCTATTGGATAAATCAGAAGGTCAGAAATGGATGGTGTGGATATAATCTGGCAATGTCTCCTTGGCCTGTGTGGACACTTAGCCTCAGAGGTCCAAAGTGAGAGAGGATGGGAGGCAGGAAAGGGCCAAGGATCCAGAACGGTCCTATGAGATTGGACGAGGGACACCCTGGGCCCTGGTCAGCAGGATGGGGAGAGCATGCAAGGTTGGGACACACCTGCTGTACGGCAGTGTACTTGACGGTGTAGGAGTAGTCGTGATTGTCTATGATTTCAAAGTCCCGCACAACCTCTCCCTTGGCTGCTCCAGCAAACTGCACATCTAGCTTGGCCTTGCCTGCCCCCTTGGTCAGCACAGTGAAGTGAGTGGGCTTTCCGACTTCCACACCTGGAAGCACCCCCAGGGATGTTGGTGAAGGCCTGGAAGTCGCCTAAGCTCAACTCCAACCTCACACCAGCCCCAGACCCTGCCAAGACACCTACCTGTGCGGTTCAGCCCAGGGCCCTCAGCCTTGACCTTGCTGGCATCGTGGGATGGGTCCACCTTGATGTGGAAGGGGCTGGCAGGGATCTCCTGGATGTGAAAAAGGCCTGGTTAAGGCTTTACCCAGGGGGTCACATCCCCCTGCTGGGCTAAATGCTGGTTGAGATGCCCAGGGACCCAGCGTGGGCAAGAGCAGCCTCTGAAAGAGCCCCTTTGTACTCATCTGAGGCAGTGCCTACACATAGGAAGGGCTCCACCAGCATCCATGAAACAGTGCCTCCTGCCCCTGAAACTGAATTTCCAGCTGCCTGCTTAGACCTCCATCATACAGGCTTGTGACTACCAATAGCTGAGGGCTGGGGTACCTGGTTGGCAAAAAGCACCATGATGGTGTAGTGTCCGGCCCCTGGAGGTGTGTACTTGACTGTGAAGGTGTCATTGTCATTCTTGATAATGTCGAAGTCGATGTCAGCCTCTGCAGGGCCCACCACACCAGGGGCACACTTGATGCCAATGCTCACATCACCTGATGGGAGGCAGGCAGAGGCTGTGAGTGAGGCTTAGTAGCCTCCCCCACTGACAGTCCCCTGGAGCTATGCCCAGGAAACAGTCCAAGCCCCTCCCACTAGACCCTGGTCCTGTGGCAGGTACATACCTTGCCCTGCCTCACTGCAGTCCACTGTGAAATAGGTGGGCTCATTGGCCTTGAGGCCTGTCTTCTCCACGCCAGGGCCATACACCTTCACCCGCTCAGGGTGACTGCCCTCTCCCACGTTCACCTGTGGGCAGGGGTTGATGCTCAGTAGGGTGGCCCTCCCTCAAGGCCCATCCCCCTCCCAGCCTCATCTGGACCAGTGTTAGCCTCTTTGTGGGAGCCTTGAGGTGGAGAAGGTGGCAAGGGCCCAGGGACAGCCAACATCTGCTGCGTGGAGGCCTGCCTCCCTCTGGGACTCCTGGCAGTGGACACAGGGCAAGCTTAGAGACGCACCCTGAAGGGGCTCTTGGGCACGTTGACACCTCCCCAGGAGATGATGATGGTGTGCTTAATGGGCTTGGTGGGCACATAGGAGCAGCGGAAGGTGCCATCGCCGTTGGGGATCACTTTGATGTCGATGGGGCAGCCGTCTGCATCCTGTGGGCATCACCCAAGCAAAGGTGATAAGAGCTTTCATTGCCTCAGAGCACCTCAGTCCTCCCTCTGCTGTCTGTAGGCAGTCTTGGCACCCATTCTTTCCCACCCAGTCTCACGCTCACATCTCCCAGACACTGACATCAGGCCATGTGAACCTAGTGCCATGTGTTCTGGTGGCCAGGGCCCACCGTGGAAGCTAGGAGACCTGGTTCAAGGCCATCCATGTGGCCTGCTCCCCCCAATCTAGGTCTCTTCGTGTCTAGAACTGTTGGTCAGGGAGAGGCTGAGCTAAACCAATATTCCTAAAATTGAGTAAGAGACTGTTAAAGAAGAACCATCCCTTTGGAGCCTCAAGAAAACAGACAATGACCTCTAGGAGTGACCATAATCTAGTTTGAGAAATTGATTTGAAACCAATGTCCTATTTGGTGAAACCATCTTTAAATTGCAAATCATCAGTACAAAAATTAGTTTTTGGAAAAATATGTTTTTAAAGACAAAAGTAAGAAAACATTATTTTAAATTTTCCATAGTACTATGGGCTTGTGAAACTCGGTCCTCCTTCCTGTGATGCTACCACCTCCCTTCTGGAAGGCCCTGCCTTGGGTAGTGAGGCAGTGGAGACAGGCAGTACCAGTACCCTACCTGGGCATAGAGCTTCAGGTCTCCCTTGCCAGCAGCACGAGCATCAATGGTGAACTCAGCAGGCCTGTCCACGATGCAGCCAGTGGGCTCCAGGCCAGGCCCAAAGGCCTTCACCTGTGGAGGGCCAGAGAGGAGGGCTGTGTTGGGCACCGGAGGAGGACCAGTGCACCCTGTGCTGTCCCAGTCAGCATGCAGGAGCTGGGACCGTACCTTGTCAGGGAAGCAGTCTGGTGGGGCTGGCTGGATGTGGGCAATGAAGGGTGAGTCACGGATGTCCTCATCGTCACAGATGACATGGACAGCATACTCCCCAGGCTCTGTAGGCCAGTACCGCACATCACAGGAACCATCACCCTTGTCATCACACTCAATCTTGGCCTGTGAGGGTCCCTCAATGGAGAAGCCTGGGGAGAGACAGGGAGGGTCAGAGGCGTAAGAGGCAGCTTGGACTCTCAGCCATTCCCCAATGTCCCTCTGTTGTGTCACAGCCCTCCCTAGCATTCCCATCATCTACTACCCAGCCACTTACCTAGTGTCCCCACTTCTGTGCCGATGGCTTCTACCACAAAGTCAGCTGACTTGCCCACCTGGCCAGTCTCCAAACCAGGACCCCAGGCCCGTACCTTCTGGGCTCCTGCCTCTGGGCTCACCTGGACCTCAAAGGGGCTGGGGCAAAGAGGGAGCTGGTGTCAATGCCAGGAAGTGCCTCTGCCAGAGGCATGCTCAATCCCCATGCAGCCACCTCCCTTCCTCTCACCTCTTGATGACCCAGACAGCAAGGCCTCAGAGGGATGGTGCTTACCTACGGGGAATGGCATAGCCGCCCCACGTGATGGTCACCACATACTTTCCAGGCACCACAGGATAGTACTCGCACTCGAACACACCATCCCCAGCCTCCCGCACCTTCACTGGCTCCTCTGTGCCCTCTGAGGAAATCAGGGGTAAGGGGTGCAGATCAACATCCCCTCAAGGAGCCCTTGGGACCCAAGCCAACCTAAGGGCAGTGTTACTAGTGGGCAGAGCTGAAACTTAGGTCAGGGACCATGTATTACTCCTGTGCATAACAGCCTGGCGTAGCACATAGAGCATGAACAATTAATCCCAGCTTGCAGGCTGAGAAACTGAGGCAGAGAAGAAATGATGTGCCTGAGATCCCATGGTATCTCCCACTGTGTCTCCTTGAAGGCTACCCCTGGGTGAGGGTGGGTTGCTGGCTAGTTGTCACTGACCTCAAGTTGTCAGAACTACTACCCAGTCCTCCCCAGCCCTGGGCCCTGGCACTCACTTGGCCCCTTGACTGTGACCTTGAGCTCTCCACTGCCAGCACCCTTGGTGAACACCTTGAAGTCAGCCACCTCTTTTACACGCACACCTTTGGGCTGCAGGCCTCGCCCAGAGGCACGGCAGGCATTGGGGTTACAGGCTGGGGGGAGAAGAAGGAAGGAGAGGTTGGGGGTACTGAGGGGGTAATTGGATAAAGCCTTAGTTCCTTACCACTTGTTCCCATTCACTGTACACAGTCCTCCTGACCCATCACAGACACAGGCCATGGCCTCATGCAACCCTGTCCCACGCTTTCTTGTGTTCTCCACATAACTGGGGCTGCTAGGAGCCATACTGGGCACAAAGGAGCTAGCTGCAGACCCCAGGTCAGGAAGGTTACAAGAAACTCTTCCTGCTGGGTTCCTCAGAGCTGGTGCCACTTAGGATGAAGGCATGGCAGAGCCTGGACTGAGTGGGCTAAGAGAGACAGGGAAGGGCCCTTTACTCACATCCAAGGCCATCCACAGTCACCTGGGCCTTTTCAGAGCTACCATAGCAACCTCAGAAACTCAGTCATGCCACATCCAGCAACGCCATGGAACAAGAGCTCTTCCATGTAACATGAAGCCTGCCACTGAGCACAGGCAATGCATGGAAACCAGCCTGCCACAGAACACTGGCAAGAGTGGGAATCTCAGTCTGTCATAGAACACATAAAAATGGCATGGAACCCACGAGACACCACAAAACAGGCAATGACATGTATCCAGGCCTGCCACAGAACACGGGCTATGACATAAAACCTAAATTTTATCACAGAAACTATCAGGCAACAACAGGAAACTAGACCTGCAAGAGAATACAGGCAATGGCATGGAACCCTGGCCACCACAGAATGCCATGAAATGGGGCAAATCCACATCACATGGCCCATGCCACACAGCACAGATGAGATCAGTCAGCTATGGCCATGCCTGGCTCCACCTCCACTGGTGAGTACTAACGTGGTGCCACTTTCTTGGCCTGGTGGATGATGGGTACAGAGGGCCTGGGCAGCGGCAGGGGCACTGAGTGCAGGAGAGAACCGGGAAGGGGGGGTGTCACCAACTGAGGGCTTGGAGAACGGGGTGGGGCTCACCACATGTGCTCCATTTGTGTGGTTCTGCCACTCCCCACTCAACCATTCCACAAGACCTCCATTCTGATACCCTTCCCTGTGGTCTTCTGACCCTTCTTTTACCCATTCCAGCCTCCTTCAGGGATCTCCCTAGAGCCCTGCCCAGCTGCTCCTTCTGCCTATCTCAATTCCTCAGCTGGGTGCCTCCTACTTGTGGATTAAGTGCCGCATTTCCCATCAACCCTCAGCCTTAGAATTTGGTGGTAAGTCTCTCTGTATCTGGCTTTGGTGAGCTGCAGGGCCCTTACCTTCAGCCACATGGACAGGGAAAGGACTGCGGGTGATGGGAGCACCAGCAAAGGCCACGTGAACTGTGTGTGGCCCCTCCATCACAGGCCTGTATGTGCAGCGGAATGTGCTGTCACCCTTGTCCTCCAAGGCTACCTCCACTGTGTCCCTCCGGCCCTGTGGGTCCACGATCACCACGGCAACATCACCAGTGCCAGCCCCTGCAAAGGACAGAGGCGATCAGCATCCACTGTGGACGTGCACAGCTGATTAGGTTCGCTCATCCTAAGACTATTAGGCCTCTACCTAGGACCTATGTCCTAGCCCATTCACACCGAACCCCCGCCCCCATACACACATCGTCAAGGGCTGCCCAACCTCACATACCCTGGGGCCCACCTTACCTGCAGTATAGATATCAAAGTAGGTGGGTTTGTTGGCCACATTACCCACAGGTTCCAGGCCAGGGCCACGGGCTGACACCTTGTTGGCATCTCCCAGGGCCATGCCCACATTCACCTCAAAGGGGCTACGCTCAATGTTCTGGCCAGCAAAGAGCACAGTCACCTGGGGTACAGGAGTCAAAGGTTAGCTTCTAGGGTCAAGCAGTTCTTTACGGGGTGGAGGGACAGAAAAGAGCCAAGAAGGGAGAGAGGTGGATGGTTGGCAGGGGTAAGGTGTAGGTCGAGAGGGCTCCATTTAGTCAGAGCCACAGATGGTAACGGCAGGATGGACAGAAGGTCCTACAGGGGGATACCTTGTGTAACCCAGCAACCTTTGGTACGTAGGAGACGGCGTAGGTGCGGTCCTTATCATTGTTGGGAACCACCTTGGCCTACAGGGAAAGAAAAAGATTGGAAGTCACAGTGGTTGTATCTGCTGCTGACCCACCAGTGCCCAGGGCTTCCCAGCCCTAGGCAGCCTCTGCGCTGATTCCACACTAATCCCTTCACCCCCAGCACCTCTCCATACCTCCTCGGTGTGGCCCTCAGGGTCCTCAATGTAGACTAGCACCTCGCCCACTCCAGCATCCACAGTCTGCACAGTGAAGTGGGCGGGCTGCAGCACAGTGTTGCCCTGGGGCTCAATGCCTGCAGGCAGAGGCAGAGCCCAGATTACTCAGGGAGACCCCACACCATTCCTGCTGCTCCAGGAGGACTGTCAGGGTTCAGCACATACCCGGCCCATAGGCGATGGCTTTCTTTGGGTTCAACTGCTTGGAACGAACAGGGGCACCAGGTTTTAGCTTGGCCTTGGGGAACTGGGACAGGTAGGTCATGACCGAATGCTCATCCACATTGGGGTCCACAATTTCCTCGGGGGCAATCACCTGCCATAGGGAGGAACGTTTATACAGTGCACTCTACCCAACAGCCTCAGTCCTACCTGTATCCTTATAGACCCTCCTCCACCCCACCCCTCCTGCCCCATGCCCCACCCAGTGTACCTGGGGCACCCCGAGCCAGTCGTCTGCTTGCTGCATGGCTTCCCGAGCATTCTGCACAGGCTGGTTGGGGTCCCAGGCTTCCCAGTCAGGGCAGAGACCTAAAGAGATGGTGAAGGGACACACAGTTAGGGAGAACCAGCCAAACCACAGCGTAGAACATTTGTTCACTCAACACCCCCAGAGGCTGGGACTTCATACCCTCTCTGGCCAGCCAGCATTAGGCCTTTGCCCAGCCAGGTTCCTGCTATCCCGATGTTGTAATCCATTTGCTGGGTTGCCCACCACTGTGTCGTGGCAAGGCAGCCCCTGACAGCAACAACAATGAGGCCTTTCTGTCCCAGCTGATGTAGCCTGGCACCAGCTCTGCCAGCCAGCCTCCTGCTTGTCCAGGACCCATCAGGTCCTGCCCAGACCCTGAATACCAAGCCTCCATGAGGAATCCCTGCCTCATGCCAGCTGCCTCAGGAGTGGACAGAGGGGATCAGAGCCCCTGTCCCAATATACTTCTGACTTATCCCCTCCTCAGAGCTGCCTGAAGTCCCAGCTCTTAAGTAATGTCACACCAGCCTTAGGGCATAAGACTTCCTCTCCCTTCCTAGCTGCCCACTTAGGGAAACTAAGGCACTGAAGGGCCTATTGGAAGAGGATGGGTCTTCTTGTTTGCTCATCAAGAGCAGCCCAGCCTGCTAGCAGGAAGGATGCAAAGCAGCCCCAGATCACCCTGAGAAGGACTGCGCAGTCAGGGGGTGCTTGGTCCAGGCCAGAGCTGAAGGGGGCGCATTGGTGGGGAGGGGGCCGGCTCACAGGCTGGAATCCATGACTGGCTGGAACAGCTGAGCTCACTCCTGGCAGCCACACCAGTTGTGGGCAATGGCTCAGCAGCTGGGAATGCTTCCCAGGCTGTGTGCCCCCGCCTCCCACCCCTGCTCTCCAGCTGACCCCATGGTGGGGGAGGATTACCCCCAAGAAGCCAGGGCTCCTCAGGCAGGGCCAACTAGCACAGGGAAGAAGACCTCTCTTCTCTCTTCTCAGGAGATGAGGGTCAGGATGGAGCTGCACATGGCTTGCGACTTTGGCCTGCACTACTCAGTGTTCTTAGGCCTGTGATCTGTTCTGGCTTGACCAGGCCAGGGTCTACACCCAGGGGGGTGGGGCTGGGTCACCTGCCATTGGACAGTACCACGCTGCCTCAACCCACTTCATCTCATCCTAGGCCTGACCCTTTCTCAGAGCTGCCCTGGGGCCTCACAAAGAAGAGCCTTCTCTGGTTCTAACTCTAGACCTTCTTGCTACAAGTTCCACTGTATTCCTGTTCTCTCAGCTCAGCAGGGATGTGGCAAAGTAGGCAGTTTGCAGAGCAGGGAGTCAGGGCCCTGGGCTCCAGGTGTACTTCTGCCACAGTTAGGCTGTGTGATCTTGGACAAGTCATTAGCTCTTCCTGAATTTCTCTGTCCTTGCCTGTAAAATGAGGGCTTTAAACCTTTTCCTGCAGAATCTGAACCTCCCATCAAGTAAGGCCTGACTCCAGCAGTGATTCCCAGGTAGAAGAGGGGCTAACCCCATAGGTGATCCTATCCCCAGACACTGGAGTGTGCATCCTGACAACCACCAGCTTCAGCATCCCCAGATTATCCCCACTATCCTTCTGAGCTAAGGGCTCCATGATGTGCCCACTGTCCTACTCACCAGGGGCACAGTTGTCCACCAGGGCACCCAGAGCCTTGCCGTCTTGCCAATCACGGTTGAAGTTGGTGATGGGCAGCTGGGGGACCTTGTTCTGGATCCAGCCGAGCAGACGCTGCTTGGGTGTCTGTTTGCGGGCATCTTCATCATCTTCATCCTCCCACATGGGCATGGAAATGGAGTAGTGCAGAATCAGAGTCCAGATCAGACCCAGGATCAGCTTTAGGTTCCCATCCACGATGGCCTTGCTGTCTGCAGAGTGGAGGGAACAAGCCAGCTCAGGAGGGCATCCGTGTGCCCACCACCTTCATCTGCCAAGCTCCTGAGGTACCTACTAGAGCACCAGGATCAGGTTTCTACTTTTGGAACCTTTTCTCTGCCTACCAAATTCTCTTCTTCCTGGCCAGATGTCAAATCCTCTCTGGAACCAGGCTGCTTCTTTCTGCATTCCTGCACAGGTACCTCTCCCTCTACCCCCAGCACTTGAGGCTGCTTCCCATCTATGCAAGTTTTAGTTTTTGGCCTTCTGGACTGCATCCCTCTTGGGGGCAGGCACTATTTTATTTTGTTTTCTTAATGGTTTTACTGACATTCAGCAGACTGCACATATTAAGAGAGTACAATCAATTTGAACAACAGGCACATACCAATAAAATCACTGTGGTAAGTAGGGCTGGAGATTTGGCTCAAGAGGTAGAGGGCCTGCCTAGCAAGAACAAAGCCTTGAGTTCAAATCCCATACCACCAAATAATAATAAGTATAGTGTCATCATTCCCCAAATTTCCTTGTATGTATACTTTTATAATCTCTCCCTCCTGCCTGTCCCCTTGTCCCACCTTCCCTGGTAACAACTGGTATGTTCTGTCTTCTGATATTTTGTATTTTCTAGACTTTTATGTAAATGGAATCATACGGAACACTTATTATTTATTTATTAATTTTTTTGGTTGGGCTTCTTTCACTCTAGACCCTGAATTTTATCTTTCTATGCTGACCTAAAACTTAGCAGTGTCTCACAGTGGTTAAAAACTGAAGTTAGAGGGGAATAGGACCAGCCTGATTCTATCCATAAAGGCTTTTGGAACAAAAGGGGTCCCAAAAGGGGTTCTGGGAGAAGAGAGGGCACATGCTCAGTTACGGCTTGGAGGGCATGTTGCCAAATGCTGGGGGCCAGTGGGGTCTCAAAAGAGCCAGATGAAATGTAACCCACATGGACTCAAATCTCAGGGATGCTTTGGACCAGAACTGGTCCCCGTTCTGCTTTCACAGTTAAAGGGAAATATTTAGGAGGAGGAGGGGCTTGAGTATAGATTTGGGAATCCAGCTAATTTGAAAAGGGCAATGTGAGTCTGAAATCCATCAGCTGCCCTGAGCGCTGCTTTTAGGAGGCTGGAAGGGGGCAGCCCTTGTTTGTTGATGTTCTCTGAAGGATAGGAGAAGGTGGGACTGGAGGATCCCCTTACACATCTTTCATGTCTCCCCTTCCCCAGATCTGGAGGAAAGCGCGTGAGGCCTGGGGAGCCCCTGGCATCTTCTATTCTACCCCAACCTGTCCCTGGAGGGGGAATCTCCATTTCCCTGGCCCCCAGGGCTAGAGTTCTAGCCCTGGCTCCCCACCCTGTCACTGATTCATCCTTCCTTCCCCAGCAGCTCCCTTGCCCGCCCCTTTCCCCTGGCTTCACTGCAGCACAATGGTTTGGCAGCTCTTGGATTCCATGACACACTCACTCCCTGCCTCCTGGTGCTTTTGCTCTCTCTCAAACACACAGGCCCACAACACTTTCACACAGTCTGGACACTTCAGTGCCCTAGCCTTTCATGGTCATCAGGGCTACCAAAGCCGTGGCTCACACAACCAGAAGTGCTTCTTGCAAATTGGAGCCAGAGCCCTAGGAGGGAGGCCTTGAAGCTTTAGGGTTGGGAAAGAGTGCGGAGTGGCAAGAGGGTCATTCATGTTTGCTGGTGAGAGAGGTTTCTCCCTAGCAACTGGCCCTGGGCCAGACAGCAAGTGGTCCCAGCTCAGGGCAGGAGGGGGACAGCAGGACCAGACTCCCACTCTGGGAGCAATGATCTTTCTCTCCCTCCATCTCCTTGGAGTCCAGGCAGGGGTGGAGGGGCCTCAACTCACCCCAGGCTCAGCAGCCCACTAAGCTATCACTTCACTGCTTGCCTAAGGACACCCCAAAAGGGGTAGGAGGAGCCAGATAGCTAGTCCCAGACCACCCCCCCTGCCTCCATGGAGGTGGAGGAGAAAGGGCTGGGTCGAGGGAGGTGCTGGGACAGCTGCTGGCCCCTTCAGCCCCTCCCTCAGCCGTTGGCTCCAGGAGAAGGAATAGCAACTGGGGAACAGCTGCGGGAGAGAGCAGCCTCATAGGCCTCTTTGTTTGGAGGAACTGAGGGGGCGGTGGGGGCCCATGCTGGGTGCTGGAGGGTGAGAAGGGCACACATTTCCTTCAGTCCAGACTGAGGACCCTGAGGACCCCTTTTCCAGGTGAACTTCTCATCTCCCAGCTCCCACACCAGGCCCTAACTTCCCTTCTAGAAAGAGAAGTGGGGGGAGTCTTTGAGAGCCCCCTCACAGGTGCCCCAGAGGCTCAACTTCAGACCTAAGACAATGCCTCACAGGAGGCCCCTTGATGGTCCCTTTCCACCACTAAGTGGGACCAGGGGAGCAAGAGGAAGCAAGATGCCCCCTCCTTGCTGGCGGCCCCTTTACATAGCCTGGATGGTGTCAGTGCCCCTTCTCTACAGCCTCAGCCCCAGCCCAGCAGCTGAATTGCTGACAGCTTATCTCATCAACTGGAGTGAGCTTCTTGGCCCAAACAGGGCGGGCTCCCCTTCCTCCCAGCAGGAACTTAGGAAGCTTCCTTCCCACCCCCCAAACCAGCATTGGCTTCTTCCCCTTCTACTCAGAGCAGGCCCCTCTACAGCTGAGCCAAGGGGGCCCAGAGCCAGGCACCACCATGGGGGAGGGGAGAGGTGCACAGGGAAAGGATGAGGCCTGGAGAGGGGCCAACCGCCCCCAGCAACCGGAGAGAAGGCTGAGCAGTTTCCTATAATGTCTTGCAGAGGCCTCAGGCTTTTCCCTGGAGACCCCACCTGGGACAGTCAGTCCTGCTTTTCAAATCTCAGCCTGGAGGGGGATGCTGGAGGGGGATGATGGCCCTAGGGTTGGCTCCTCCTAACCCCCCAGGCCCTCCCCCCACTTCTACTTTCCTAGCCCTCAGCCCCACTACATACACCAGGGCCCCCTCCCCCACCCCTTGCCCTCAGGTTTGTCCTTCTGGAAAGCTCAGAGACATCTGCTGTGTCACGGAGACAGAGCTATTTCCAGGCCAGAGCAGGCCGGTGGGGGGGGGGTAGTATTGGGGCAAGAGGAGGTAGGGCCTAGGGAGGGGACTGGACAGGGCAAAGGGCCCCAGACTGACCTCAGCTACTAATTCAGGAGGTCTGGAGATGGCCCTGAGGGAAAGTGGGGAGTGGACAGACATCTAATTATGTAGAGATGTCTCTGGGGCAGTCTGTGTGTGTGGGACCACCTGGTGTCTTGTGCAACTCCCCTCCTGGGGCCCCAGGGCACCCCAGCCAAGGGGGTCCTTCCTGTAAATCACAGCAGGGCTCTTAAGAGCTCACCAAAGGGTTGGTAGGAGTCTGCCCCTATCCCCATCAGGGCAGGTGGTGAGGTGGGGGACGACATCTTGCCACTCAAAGCCCACCCAGGGCTTCTGGACTGTCAAGGTTAGACTACCTCCCCACCCCCACCCAGCACTGATACACCTTCCAAATCTGGTTACACTCAATGACTTCCTCCCTTCCGCAGGCTTCCCTCCCTCCCTCCCTCCCTCCCTCCCTCCCTCTAGCCAGACGGTTAGCTGCAGCCAATCCCAGGCAAAGGGGGTGGACAGGCAGGAGCCCCCTCTCAGGCCAGGCAACTGAAGCAGGGGAAGGGCAAGCAGGGGTTAAGGCTCCCTGCCATCGCTCAGCGCCTTTTTAGGCTTCTGAGGCTGGGCTCTGCTTGCCCTGGCTGGGCCTGATCCCAGCTGCTGAGCACATGCCTGCAGAGGGGCCCCGGTGGAGCTGCCCTGCCACCAGTTCTTAGCTTCAGATCCTCGAGGTGGCTGGGACCTGTCTTCAGCTGCTTCCTCCCATGTGGAAGGGCTGAGAAGCCATTTGCTTTGTTGGGAGGAGGGGGTAATCGCCCCCAGGAATCAGCAATGAGTACTGGCTCTGTTCTCTCAAGCATGCCCAAGGGGACAGTGAGCCAGGGAGTGGCGACAGGTTGGTGAGAGTGTGCATGGGGAGGGTGTAGCTTCAAGGTTCCAGAACGGTAAGGTCTGGACTAACCAGGCCACCCAGTGGGTACCTGCTGTCCCAAGATGGGTGTCAAAGCAGTGCCCAGGTGGCCTGTGTTAGTGAGGGGAGAGACCCGGTCCGGGTCTTTTCTGGTGGAAGTGAGGCTTCTCTGCCAACTCCTTGCGCGCCCACCCGGCACCTGTGTTCCCTGCCCCTATGGGACAGCCCCTCTCTCTCTCTGTGCCCACGCCCTCGTCGCCCGCACTGACCGATGGACACGAGCTTGATGTGCTCGCGCTCCAGGAACTCGAGAGCCACAGACACGTTCTCCAGCTTCATCTGGCGGAAGTTGGGGCGCGGGTGGAACTTGCGGTACATGCGCTTCTGACTGAGCACCTCGAGCAGCGCGATGAGGCGCAGCCCGTCGCTGAGGTCGCGCTGCAGGTCGGTCAGGCGCTTGCCCACGCACTTGAGGTGTTCGTTGCACCAGCGCGTGAACGTGTTCTGCTGGATCTTCTTCCATGGCGCGTCCTCCGCCAGGTCCTTCTCAGTGGACGGCATCTCGTCCGCCTCATCGCCCAGGCCGAGGCCGGAGGCGTCGGAGTAGCCACTGTTGTTCATCATGCTGGAGCCCGCGGGGACAGGGACTTTGTGGCCTGGGGACTCGGGCTGCGGGCGCTGTCGGGGCGCTGTCGGGACGGGACAGCTCGCTACGCTCTCTCCAACTTCTCTTGCGCCTTGGCTGGCGGGGCTCGGCGGGCCTCTCGGCTTCTCTGCCGCTCTCTGGCTCTCTCTCCCTCCGCAGGCGGAGCGGTGCTCGGGAAGTGCGGGCTGGGCCCGGGTGGGGGGTTTAAGAAACCCCCGGGCTGCCGCCCCCCCGCCGCGCCCGCGGCCCCCGAGTCCACGTCAGAGCGCCGGCCTCCCAGGAATGCTGCCCGGCCCGCGGGTGGGGGCCGCGCCGAGCCCCACGGCCCCGCCTCCGCCCGCCCCTCCCCCACGCGGCCCGCGCAAGCTGCGGGATGGGGAGTGAGCGCCCGACCCCTAGGCCCGGGGAGTTCCCCCATGCTCACCCAGCACCCCAAAACTAAGCTCTATCAGTAAGGGATGAAATATGGTCTCTCCAACACACAGGCAGGGATTTAAGAGATAAATGGGGAAACTGAGGCCAGTGGCTGGGGCTAAACGTGTTGATCTGATGTTGACAGATTTTTCTGGATAAATTGGTGTTGAGGCTGTTGACAGAGCCTGGGAGTCCTGGCTCCTAGCCCGGCATATTGTCCACCTGTGGACAGAGAAGGGAAATGTGCGTGTGTGTGTGTGTGTGTGTGTGTGTGTGTGTGCTTGTGTAGAAAGGAAGCAGGGACACTGACCAGGCCAATTAGGAAGAAGACGAGGGTGGACACGGGACTCCCCTTATTGCTCCAACTTTACAGGTAGAAAATTGTCATTTGCCCAAATCTAGGGTCATAGGGGAAAGACAGAGGCACTTGCCCTGACTCAGTGTCCCTGTCACTAGCCCATTTGGCCTCATCCTCTTAGAATGAAGCTGAGCTCAGGCAAAGGGTACCCAGTGAGTCAGTAAGTCATACCTTCCCCCCCACCCCAGTCTGACTCAACTGAGGTGATGATGGGAGAGGCTGCCCCTTGTAATGCCAGGGACCCCCCCTCCCTGGGCAATATGCCCATCTGGGCCACAGGGCAGATCCTCCCAGGGAAAGGCGATTGAGCCAGACAGTAGGGAGAGCCCTGGCAGCCAAGCCAAAACGTGACTGGGGTAGATGGGTCAGCGCCAGGGGCAGAGTGGGCAGGGAGAGCCCAAGGGAGCCGGGTGGGAAGTCTAGGTGAGATTGGGCTCAGGGTAAGCCCAGGATGGATGGAGGCTTGGGGAATGGTAACAGGAAACTGAGGCACTCAAACAGAGGAACCAGCCTGAGATGAGGAGAAAGAGCTACAGAAAATATTTATGTAAGAATGTATATTTGGCAACTTTGTAGCGTACATGTATCCCATACCTCCTGGCTCTCCTTCAGGCCATGCTTCCTCTAATTTCCCATCTTTCTAGACTCAGTAAGCTTAATAGGGAAGTCATGTCTGAGCCTCAGAAGTTTCTTTAAGTCAAATGGTCCCCATCTCAAGTCATGGGATGGTTAAGGTTTGGGAAGGTTCTGTGACCTTACTCCTTTCTTCCTCCCAGGCCTGGCAAAAAGGCAGGCAATAGTGGGCATCTTTGGGGGCTCTGACTCCCAAAGGCCAGAGGGAGCCTATTTCGGTCTATTAGGGACCGAAAAAGAAGTTTAGGAGTTTGTGGGGGGGGCATGCTTATGACAACAGGGTTCCATGGATCGTTTTTTTCCCCTTCTCATTTAAGGAGATTGCCTGGTTCTTAGGTAGGGAGGGGGAGGAGTAGAGAAGGGACCAGAAACAGAAAAAGGACCTGCTGTGCATGGCTGTTGGGGGGTGGGGGAGGAGCAGTGTCTGGGGACCTTGATAGTGACAGGCGAGGTATAAATAGCTTGGGCCCTGCAGCTCATGTTCTGTCGGCTGCCGGTGACGAGGTGCTCAGGAATTCCACTCTCCTATTGGCAACTCTCTCTCCCTGTCTCCAGAACTGTCATTTCCCCAAGCCACCTTCATCCCGTGGCCAAAACCACCCAGCAGGCACCAGCCAAAACCACCCAGCAGGCACCAGCGAGAGGCTGAGCTCTCCTGGGGAGAGATGCCCAGCTTGGTACACATGCTGGGTCTTACAGGGAAACTGTGTGTGTGAAGGCAGATTTTTGACAAGCCTGAGGAGCCAGCAGCTTAGGGCTCCACTGTGTTGTCTGTGAAACCCTGATAAAGAAACTGAGGTACAGATATGGGAAAGGATGGATTCCTCTCTGAGCTGCTAGAAAGGGAAGAAGGGAGTCAGGTGGTAGCTTGGAGCTGACAACCCCTTTATAAGCTCTAATGGCTTATAGTCCAGTCTGGTGGGAATTATCAGAGGCCTCCAGTCAGCCAGGGGCCTCTGTTAAGGCAGGAGGATCCAGAGGGAAGCCAACAACTGGAGAAAGACCTCTCAAGGATAGCCTCCCTTGCTGTTCCTCTTCAACTCATCTCACTCCAGGAGAGATCAATGTGCAGATCCCAGGGGAGTGAGTGAATGGTGGACAGAGCAGGGTGCGGAGTGCCAAAGGATGGTTCCCATCACCCTCCTTCCCAGAAACCTGAGCCTGTTGCTCTCCAGGATAAATCCAGGGGCCTGACTCAGGCCCCAGTAACCAGTCACTGTCAGCCTACCCAGGCGCAGGCTGGTGACTCAGCCCTCAATATAGCGCATGAGCCCAGGTCCCAAGCCTGGCCATGCAGGGGGAACAGACCGTGCACAATGCTGTCCTGGAGCCTGCCAAATGGGGCCCCCTCCCTGAGGAGAGCTAATGTGTTCTTCCCCGAGCCAGGCAGAGGCACAGAGGGGGCTTACGGGGGGTTTCATCAGCTGAGTATGTGTGGCAGGGCTGGCTGGGGCTCCAGGCCATTTATAGCCCCCTGACTCATCACCTGTTGACCTATCTCAGGAGACCAGGTTGCCTGGCTCTTTACCTGGGCCTGCCTTTCCCATCAGGGGGCACTGCTTGTCAACCACCAACACTGGCCATATTTAACTTGGGCTGAGCTGAATCTGCCTGAGCAGATTCATTGGGCCATGTTTGAAAATCTTGTTTTTTGGAACCACAGACATTCCCACAGCCATCTGTGATGTTTCCACGCTAGCCAGGCTCACAACAGGCACTTTGACAATCAGTGATACTGACTGTGGTTCTGACCTGGGTGCCAGGGAGGCAGTGGAGAAGAAAGATCCATGGGCTGAATTCCAGCCTCTCCACTTCTAGCTTTGTAACCTTGGGTAGGTTAGGCAATTCTTTTGGGCCTCTGTTTTCTCATCTGTAAAATAAAAGTTAATAATATCCTCAAAGGAATTTTTTAAACAGGGGTGAAGATAAGAGGAAATAATATGAAAGATGACTAGCACAGTGTCTAGCATCTAACGGGATTAAAAACTTTTTTTTTTTGTGGTACTGGGGTTTGAACTCAGGACCTACACCTTGAGCCACTCCACCAGTCCTTTTTTGTGATGGGTTTTTTCAAAATAGGTTCTTGCAGATTATTTGCCTGGGCTGGCTTTGAATCTCAGTCCTACTGATCTCTGCCTCCTGAGTAGCTAGGATTACAGGCGTGAGCCACCAGTGTCTGGCTGGGATTAAAAAATTTAGTTTGCTTCTGCTGTCATCTGGGCAACCCAGTGGGTTCTGGAGAGTTAGGCCCTTCCACAGCCTGGATCTCTATGCTACTCCCTTTGCTCCTTCCTGCATCCTAACACTCAGCCCACTCAGCCTGCTAGAATCAGAAACATCAGTTCTGACTTTTAGAGCCATCTACCCAGCCTCCAATAGTACCTGGTCTTTGGTAGGATGGGCAGGTGGCAGGCTGGACAGGGACAGCAGAGGGGCCTGGTCTGCAGGGATAGAGTAGAAAGCAGGCAGTAGAAAGCTAGGAGAGATGGAGGCTCCTGAACAGTTTGGAACCATTGGTTCTAGCTGTATCCAGACTCGGGTACATGACTGCCTCTGGCTGCTAAAACACACCCCTGTAGACTTAAAATCAGTGCCTTCCCCCTGCCTTTTAAAGCTAGCTCAAGTGAATATTTCACATTTCACAAAAAAAAAAAAAACCTTTCTTTCACATGCTCTGGTAATACAGGATCAACAGGACCAAAAGGCAACAAGTTCAAGCCAAATGAAGAGAGAGAGGTTCTAAAATGATCAGAAGCGCCAAGTGTCCTAAAGGGAAGAGCTCTGTTTTCTAAACAAAAAGGCTGGGGGAAGGCAGGTCCACATTCCTGTCATTACCCAGGCTCTAGGTTCAGGTCCCCTGATTGGACATACTGCCTACTAGAACCTGACCTCCTTCTAGATTCTAATTTCAAATGAAATCAGTGATCCTTGGTGGTGTAGCTGTCTGAACTGCTATTGAAAAAAATAGCAACCGAATGGCTTATAAATAACAGAATTTATTCTTCACAGTCCTGGAAGCTGGAAAGTCTAAGATTCTGTGTATGGTGATGTCTCCGTCATAGACAGTCATCTTCTCACTGTAACCTTACACTGCAGAAGAGGTGAGGGATTTCTGTGGGTCTCTTTTCTAAGGCACTGATCCCCACGGAGGAGCACTCTGACTCACCTCTTAATTGCATCATCTCAGGGATTAGAATTTAGCATGAATTTTGGGGGGACAAGAAACATCTAGATCATAGTGCTTAGCTATAGTAATCTTCCAGTCCTTTTCAACATGTGTTTTCCAGGCAACTGGTGATGGGGTAAAGTGGATAAAAAAGCAGGGTGTCACTGCCCTCAAATACAAGTGGCTAATGGCTGTGGAGGAATTTCTTGAATTAGTTTACAAGTGGAAATGTATACCGGGAGAGGGCAGTGCTTCTCCAATCTCACTGGGCATATTAATCTCTGGAGGCTTGTCATAAAGCAGATTCTGTGTCAGGAGATCTGCAATGGGCCTGAGACTCTGCCTTCCTTCCTAATAAGCACCAGGTGATGCTGATGCTGCTGATTCCTGGGTCACATGGAATGGAGTAGCAAGGGTCTGGAGGACCCTAAATCAGGACAATCTTCAAGGAAGAGTCAGAGGTGAAAAGGACATGTGACATCATTCTCAGCTTGCTACATAGTTGCAGTCATGTTTATGAGGGGCTGGTCACAATGTCAGCCCTTGACCCCAGACCTGCAAGGAAGTACTCTCAGTTCAGCTGTGTCACTCCTTTAGGCGGTATACAATGTGAAAATATGCTTCATTGCTACTCCTCCCTGGGAAAGGGCTTCAGAAAAATGAAGGGACATATATAAATTTTTCCTAGCTATGCTGCTCAGGTCTGGTCTCAATCCTCTTTCCTGCTCTGAGCTCCAGGAGGCTGACCTTGAAAGATTACAACACTGGAGCACCTTTGCTCTCTGGTTCCCTGCTGGGCTCAGCCCGTGAGAGGTACCACTAGGAAGCAGACAGGAGGAGGAAAAGGGTAAGGGACTAAAGAACCCAACCACTTCATTATGGTTCTGGCACAACACTCCTGTCTGCGCCCTTTTCAGGACTCCAGCTCTCTCTTTCCCCCTCCAGCCTAGGGTGGTAACAGATTTCCATTGTTGCTAGGGCCAGGGTACTTCCCAGTTTTTTGTTGATTCTTCTAACTCTGCTTTCTGTAATAGTTCCTTCATTAAACTCTCTTTAAAGCTTCCAGTATCCTGTTTACAGCCAAGACCTTTCCTGCTTAAAAACTCACATCAGTGAATCCCTTGAATCACAGACTAAGCCACACAGGCTCCCTTGCAGATCTTCTTTAGAGCATTCTTTTCACCAAGATGGGGTTGTGCACAGCACCTAAGGGAAGGTCTTTTGTCCACCTACTGCCAAAGTACCCAGTTCTTTCCATTTCCCCATGCTTAGAGGAGTTCCTTGAGATAGGGCTAATAAGTACAGATCAATCCCTGCAGGGATCCCCAAGGCTGGCAGCACAGGGAGCCAGCCTCATTTCTGACACCTGAGGGTGAGAAATTTAGTTAGGAGTCGACTCTTATGTGAGATACTTGAAGGGAAACTGCTCTGTTCTGGTCATGTGTGAAGCATTTAGCAAATGAAAAGCCACAAAGTCTCATGTACTTGGTTTGATATTTAATTACAAGGAACCCAAGTTCTTACACAAGACAGGAAGTGGGAGCCAACAGGAGCCAGCAGCTCCCATAAGCCTTTCCAGCCTAAGTGATGAAGGAAAAGGAGATGGGGACACATGGGACACATGGATGGGGTGGGGGCTCTGGCATAGTATGTCCCGCCCGAAAGTGAGGGTGTTGGCCGCTGGGGATCTGCCACCTGGGCTGGCCCAGGTCTGCCATCACTCCATGAGGCAAAACTCTGTCTCCTGCGGTCGCATGTTGGGTAACACATACAGAGCCACAGCTGCAATAGCCAAGAATACCATAGGCTTCCACATCCCAAACATGTTCTGTGGGGACCAAGAAAAACAGTGAGAATCCAGCCTTCTGAACCCTTCCCTAAGCCAGCCATCACCTGCCCTTTGGTGCTGGAGAGAGGGACATCATGGGTTTGCCTCTCTTATCTCCTAGGTAACCACTGGAGACCATGTGGTCTCTTCATACTGGCACCACTAGATATGCAGCATGCTTCTGGACACATTACCTTAGGTGATGCCTGAATTCATGTCTCGATTTCTCCCCATGGAGGGAGAATATACCTATGTACAGAAGCAAGCTCATAGGCCAGTCTTTATAGATTTTCCACTTGGATGCATAAGAACAAGTGGGGTAATCTGGGCCTTTAGGGAAAGCAGCAGCACCTCATGAGCTTTATGGAAGAGAAATGAACTCAAAGTCAAAGGGAAGGAAAGGGGGTCTAAGATGGAGGGGAGGTGAAGAAAGTGCACTGCAGAATACAGGTAAATAGGAGGTTTTCAGGCAGCCACGCCTTTTGCACAGAATGAAGTTGGTTCAAGGAAATTCAAAGGAACCTGTTACTGGTCCTGGAGGCAAGTGTCAGAGTCATTAAACATACTCTAACCATCCCCCACATCACCAAGTTCATGGACTGACTTCCTGGTGTGTGTACTGGAGTACGTTGAGGCTTCTAGGAACTGCTGACCACTGGCTAATCCTGCTGATTCATAGACTAAAATGACATTATCAGAAGATCCAAAAAGTGCCCTTTAGGAAATAAGAAATCTTAGGCAAGAAAATACATACTTGGGCTAAAAAGTTCCTATTTTTGCTGTATTACTTGAAAGCTGAAATTTGGATTTTGAGTCATGAGTTCTGGTATAAGATAAAAGGAATGGTTTTAGGTAAAAATGTATAGACTCATTAAAGCTAAAAACACATTTGCTTGGAGAATAATTGCTCTAAAAAGAGGATTTTTAAGCTAACTATAAAGAGCAAAGAAAATCTCCTAAATTTGTAAAAAGTTACCAAGAACAAGAGATACAAAATGAAAAACAAAATAATGTTGGAGGTGAATATACAGAATAATACACATAAGAAAACTAAGCTGGGCAGGGTAGTTCGCACCTGTAGTCCCAGCACTCAGGAAGAAGAGGCAGAAAGACCTTGAGTTCACGTCAAGCTTGGGCTATATAGTGAGTTCAATACCAGCCTGGGCTGTACATAGTGAGACTCCAACAAAACAAAACCAGAAAATAATTGAGAAGGGATCTAGAAAAAAAGTTTCCATGCTCAGGTGTTTATATCCTAATGTGAATTGCTAAAAAGGTCAGCCTGATATTCTTAATGAAGGGAAGAGCTGAAATCCATAAACGCAAACTGGACCACTTTCCACTGGGAAGAGGCAAGATTCTGTCCAGTGCGAAGAGATGGTTTGGGTGTCCTGTCCAGTGCGAAAAGAGATGGTTTGGGTGTCCCAAAAGGATTCTAGAAATCACATGCTTCTGGACTGCATTGCCAAGTTGACAGATCAGGGGAATCATGTTTTGGTTCTTAACCAAGATGTTTAATGAGATTTTCCTGGAAATCCTTGCAGGTAATATGAGGAAATAAGAGTAGAATGACAGTACCGTCTGTTGTATGAACATTTGTTAAGTGCCCATTGAGCTGAATAAAAGAGGATTTGGCAAGGTGACACCCTAGAGGCTGGGCTCTCGCTTGTAACTTGGGTGAAGGCATGGGTTGTGGGCTTGTCATCCTGGAGGATGATATCAATCAAGTTGGCAGGGCAGGTGAATATTTTGAAAGCACAGGTGTCAGATAAAAAATAAATGACTGGCAGCGTGGCTCAAGTGGTAGAGTGCTTCCTGCCTGGGTAAGATTAAATAAAACACACACACACACACACACACACACACACACACAACTTCCTAAGTTAGAAAAGAACAGTAGACTATATCTGGTAGGGAAGGATGGAAAAAATCTGCTTTTGGACCCAAAATAATCCAATGCCAGGACAGAAAAAGGAGAAGATGCTTAGCATATGCAAGTGCAAAGGGGTTTTATAAACAAGACATGAAGTGAATTATGACCTTGGTTACCAGAAGAGCTAGTGAGATCCAAGGTTGCATAAACAGAAGTATGGTGTCTTTTTAATTACTTGGGGCCAACCAAGGAAAGGTCTTCAAAATGAGGAGAGATAACACAGGGAAACAGGATTCATTTTTTTTTTCGTTCTTTCTTTCTGAGACAGGGTGTCTTTATATAGTCCAGCCTGGCCTTGAACTCTCTCCCAGTGCTGGAATTATAGGTGTGTACCACCACAGCTAGCCAGGATTCAAATTTTATCTGTTGCTGATATTAAGTCCTTATAATCTGATTCACAATTTCCTGACTATATTCACTTTTCTATGCTTTAGTTTTATCATGTACAAAATAACAACATTAAGAGCTTCCTCATAGGGTTGCTGCAAGAATTGAATCAGTTAACATATGTAAAGTGATTAGAGCAATGCCTGGCACAGTGTGCATTATGTAAGTGCATACTCTTTTTGTTACTTATGTAGTGTTTCATCTATAAGGTGTTTTATATACATTAACTCAACTGATCCTTGCAGAAACCCAAAGCAGAGCTTAATTATCCTTAGTTTACATTTGAAGAAACTAAGTTCAGATGACACATTTTGCTTCCTGGAACAAAGTCTGTGAGAAGACACACTGAACCAATTCTCCTATACTATGCCGCCTCAAGTCCTGGATAGGAGCTGAACACCGGGGCTTGGCCAGAGCAGTGGAGATAACAAGTTCCCCAAGAGGACCCTTAGCAGTTTCTTCCTTGTACTCTGATGGGGTCTGACAAAACTGGGGTTGCGTAAAGGTTATGGTTAAGTTCTTTGTGTCTTGTTCCAGAGATGTTCAAGAATTTTGAGAGTGTACAGGAGATGAACCACTGTCACTAAAGGAGCCGTCATGGGAAGTAGTAATTGGAATGCCTAAAAGAAAGGCAAAAAGGGAGAAGTGAGGAGGGGACAAAAAAGAACAGAAAAGAAAATAGAGATACCATCAACAAATGCCTCACCTGCCACTCTGAACCTTTGTATTAAGCCAACAATACTTTACTTACAGGGACAGAAAAGAAAGAGAAGAGAGGAGAAGAGAGGACACAGGAAGGGAGGGGAGTAGAGGGGAAGGAAATGGAGGGGAGGTAGCAGGGAGAGCATGAGAGAGGAGCCAAAATGGGACAAGAAAAATAGCTTATGGTTCCAAAAGGAAAGTAGAACTTCAGGTTCTACCTTAGGCCATGAGACAATCTGCCTCCTGAATTGGGCATCCTGAGAAAAGACCAGATTACATGAACTGGGCCAACATAGAGGTGCCCAGAATATATCAGTACTGATTTCCTGAGAACACCTACATCTCTAGCTAATAGAAACTTTTCACCAATACCACACTCTTTCCAGAAAACTTACTTTGGGAAGCCAATTACAATGGAATTTGGCCCCCAAAAGGGACAAACAGAGAACTGTACATTATTTCTTGATATTTTGCTCTAATTTTTCTGGAAACAAGAGGTTCCAAACCAGAGAACTTTTTAGGGAAAAGTGCACAATATGGTAGGGGTTCAGTTCCACTTTCATCAAGGTGGAAGGACCAATGTAGGTTGCCTCATTCAAATGCTTCTGGGAGGATCAGAAGGATCACAGCTCTTCAGACCTCTCTCACCCACCAGGACAGCGGATGACTCCTTATTTTGCCATCCTAGATAGAAGCAGTAGTAGAAGTTGGCTCTGGGGTTAAACACAAAGAGAGCCCAGGCCCACCTTGCAGACAAACGTTTGAAGTAGTCGGGCAGCTTTAACAGTAGCAACAGAGATGGGCTTGCTTTAAGTTTTTGCCAACCAAGGACAGAAACTCAAACCACGCCTCTGATAAGCATTCCAACTCTCCAAGTGCACTATGTGCATCACAGTCATGCTTGAGAAGTTACAGGCTTTGCAGAAGCCTGAGGAAAAACTAGGGCTAAAACTTAGAACTGAGCATCACCTATTGCACAATGATCAAGGCAAGAAGCAAGTAGCTGAGGGGAAGAGGAGAGGAAGCAGTATCAGTACCTGTGTTAGGATGATGTCTCAGCCCACCAGCACCAGAGCAGAGCTGATATGACCACCAGGCCTACAAGAGGTAAGGAGAAGATGGGGGGATTGGGGGCAGGGGATGGCTGCAACACATCAAATGAGAGAGAGGCACAAGGAGAGACCAGGAGATGTGAAGTGATATGAAAAGACATAAATGCATGAATCCAACAGATAATGAAGATGAGAACAAAGGGAAAAGAGAGAAGAATCAAGAGGTTAAAAACCATGTAAGCAGCAGCATTTGTTCTCTGCTCCCTGGGCCTTGAGGAGAGCAGAGTTCTTCCCACTGGCAGCCTGTAGAAGTTGCAAAACCGAACAAGTTAAGCAGCAGCTAAGTTCCAATCAGGTAGTGAGACAAGTTTCTGTCTTGTCAAGTACTTCTTTATCTCGTCGTTTATCTTCTCTATCAAGCAGGAGTTATCTGTACCTAGACCTTTCTTGAGGGTTGGACCTTCTGGAAAAGTGAAGCTCCAATGAGTATAGAGGGCTTCCTTAGAGGAGTAGGGTGGACACTTTTTCTATACCACTCTACAAAGAACCAGTCTTCAGCCAGGCCACCTGTATGGTTTGCTTTCCATGAAGTTTCTTAGTATTTTGAACTCTGGTTTTTATGATCCTCTAGGAGTCTAATTTTTAGAGACAAAATGCACTAAAATGAGGTAACAATGGAGAAAGGCTATTTCTTTGATTACAACAATTTTCCAGAGAGAAACTGAATTTGCAAGCAGTAACACCTATGCCAGTTGAACTATTTGCAAAAGATGCAGGATCCACCTGGGGCAAAAGGGCCCCTCCATTGTGTAGATATAAACAATGGACTCAACTTGGAAGTACAAAAATTAGATCTGGTTTTAAAAATGTGGTCCCCAAGGTCAAGAAATCTATGAGTTTTTGAGGTAGCTTGTGGTAGGATATGATAAGTTCAAAGAAATATAACCCGGAGGAAGGGCTACAGTTGCTCCTATAGTTTACATCCTAAGTAACAGTCCTCTGCTACAAGGTTAATGGAGAAATGCATGCTGAATCTTTAGCCTGTACTACAGACTGAACTGCTGGAAAATTCCAGTTATCCTTTGAGTTGACAGGATAATCCCACCACAAGAGGCTTATTTTCCTTCCCTGTGTTTAAAGGGACAGAAAGGACCTGTGCTTATAAACTGAGGACTTACTCAGGTAGTACTAAAACTCCAGAGTCTCCAGTTAATCCTAAGGTAGGAATTCAGCTGGTACATACCAATAGAGATGTAACAATTGTTAAAAGACTGAAATACTTCTGTATGGTTGGTAAATTACCCTTGCCATCCTAGCATATACCCCAAGATACCTCCACTTCAGTTTCTCAAAGGTCTAGCTACGAAAGGGTTAGGGCTGTGGTTGGTCATGGACTGGTCAATGCCTCTGCTGTACAGACTGAAATTTTCACCATCACTCCTGATCATCCTCAGCCCCCACCCTCACATCCTGTGATTTGTCGAACCTACTAGGTGACACATGCCTACAAAGTAGAGATTATCCCTCTTTGCACACCCCTAACAACAATAACAAAGGTTAACTCTAACAGAGTACCATGGAAAACAGGACAGAGTGACTTGCCCAGGCTGGCAGAAATGTCCTGAAGGCCTTACACTGTCATAGTCCTTCATGCAGTGCCAAGGAGAGGGGTGAGGGAACATTCTTGACACAGAAAGACTCAAGTTTCAAGAAGTCACAAAAAACAGAAAGTTAACAAGGACTACCATGTCAATGAAAGGACACAGGACTCCAAAGCCCCCATCTTGGTTCCCAGAAAAGGCGGTCACTGTGAGATGGTTCCATACCAAATTGGTCTAAGCCTGCCATTTCTCTAAGAGAGAGTGCTCTCTCCAACCCTTCTTTCCCAATTTCCTCGAGTGCCACCATGCCTCACATTCACTGGCTTCTACTCCTGTAGAAGTCCACCACTGGCAGGGCCACCCATGAATACTGAGGCATCTGAGCCCAAAGCTCATTCTCACTTGATCCAGCCTTTGGCTATGGTTACCTTTTTGCTGTCAGAAAGTTTAAGGGGACTGTTTTCCTCGAGAGTTTCACAAGAGTCATCCTCCTCCTCCTCATCATCTTCTTCCTTATCGTTCTGTTCTCTGTACTCTTCATATTCTTCCTGATCTTTTGTTGACTTAACTTCCCCAGGATCTACTGGCTTGGCAGCTAGCTCATACCATGAATCCTTGTTCTTCTCATCTGTTTCTTCTTTTTGTGCCTTTTCCATCTCCTGTTTCGTTTCCTCTTTTGCTGGCTGATTTAATTGCGTCTGGCTGGCCTCATAGTACAATACCATCTCCAGACTCTGTGGGGTGGAGGTAGGACAGGATGGGGGCTGCTGTTACCACTGAAAAATCTTACTCTTGCGAGAAGGGTACAGTATTTCCAGAAAACTCTATTTCCACTCTGTCACAGTGCCAGAGCGCAACACTATATTCTGGGACTACAAGCGTAATGTGGATTCCCCTCTTGGGGCCAACATATCTATCTGGCCATTTCAACCAGCTTCATAGCTCAAGATTCTTGGGGTCTGCACCTCAGCTCTCATTCCATCCCTCATGGTGATTCCTATTGTATTCAATCCTCCTTCGCTGACTTGTACGCAGCCTCTTTAAGTAAATTCTGTTCTCTCCATCTAGCTGCTACTTCTCTTGGGCATGTAACCCAGGAAGCACAAGCGCCCCATAAGTGAGGCTGGGCTAATGGAAGCAGTTGTTCAGCACTGTCCCCGTAGCTCCTGGGAAAAGGAAATCCCAACTTTCTACTAAGACGGAACTCCGGCAGACACTTAGGGTTCCCAGAAGCCTTCCTACCAGCACCTCACCTGGCAGAAATTGGAGTGGAGATGATGTTCCTTAACACGGCCTCCTCCACCCTCCTGCCTAACTGCCTTCTAAAGCTGTGACTTACCTTTCTATTCTCAAAGCTAGCCACAGAACTGTCCGAGCACAGCTTGGCCACCTTTTTCTTTTTAACCCCATTGGCATTCCTGTTTTTATTGCCATTCTTTCCCTTGGCTTCTTTGCTACTGGAGGGTGTCTTCTCTTTGAGTTGGCGGAGTTCTTCCTGGCAGCACTGCAGCTGCCCCTCCAGCTGCTCCTGCACTGCCAGAAGCCGCCCCTGCTCGTCCATGCTAGCCTGGTATTGCAGCTGCAGCTCCCGCAGCTTGATCTGCAGTTCTTTGATCTGTTGGTAGTGGGGGGCCAGTTACCCAGAGCTGGCCCCATCCAGTGGGTCTAGGCCACCCTTTGGGGTCACTGCCTCAGAAATCTCAGAAATCTCCCTGCTAAAGCCCACAAGGAAGTGGACAATAAAGAAAATATTACATTGTGGGGAAATGAGCCTCTTAAACAATTTTATAAATAGCTTTTCCCTAACTTGGGGGCTCTAACATGATAAAAAATGGTTATTTAAATTATGTTTTTTACCATGACCTGTTGGGAATAAACTATGGCCCTGCTGCCACTTCTGAACCTCAGGCATTTATTCTATAATTCTTTTTACAGAAATTTCTGCTTCACCCAACCCATTTCTCTAATAGATTCATCACTTATGGAACTCTGTTTGCAACTTCACAGGGTACTGGCTCCTGCACCCCTGGCCCCCAAAAACCTAATGATAGGTTTTTGTATTCTGTGGCTGACAGCAGCACATCATGTAGTTCTAATCATTCTAGGCTCATGTAGTCACTGCTGTCTGGATTTCTCCCAGGTGCACACACAGCAACCTGTCTGCTGGACTGTAAACTACTTCTAGGCTGAGACAATGCCTTCTACCCCCTCCCTAGTAGATACAGAACACTCTTCTTGGCATTCTGAGACAAAGAGATATGGGCCTGTCCTTCAGGTGCTTACAATCTAGCCGGGGAGACAAGAAAAATGTACTCAAAACTATGATAGAAAATTGGCAACTGAAAAAATACAGCCCTAAAGAAGTGTTCTAGTACAAAAAGCAAAAGAGAGAATAGAAGAGGTGAAGGGAAGAAGAGAATAATTCCAAGAGAGGAGTCTGGATGACCAGTACTTCACAGGCCAGTGGGCACTTGAAAAATATCCTTTGGCCTGAATCATATTCATCCCATGCAGACTCTCTGGTCTTCTTGGGATTCAGTCTCCCTGCTCCCTTTCTCTGTAGGATATCTTAAAGGACCATCATCCCCTTTGGCTCTGGGAACTCCTAGAAGACCCTGCACCTGACAAAAGTTACCTCATTCTTGTTGTTTTGGGGGGCTATAGACTTCCCGAGGCTTTCCATGCACTCCTTGAATTCCTTTTCGCAGCAGTCCAGCTCTTTCTTCAGCTCTCTCTGCTTGTTCAGCAGCTTGCTCATCTGCTCTTGCAGCTGGCAGTGATCTTCTTGGCTCACCTGGTACTGGGCCTGCACTGCCTGCAGCTTGGTCAGCACCTTGGCCACCAATTCCTCAAAGTGCTGCGGAGGGTGGGGGAGCAATGATGGCACCCCAAGAAGGATCTGACCTCCACCCCACAATTGCTAGGCCTCTCCCTGGATACAAAACAGTGGCTACATGTATCTGGAGCTGCCCCAGGAGGACTGTATTTCTTCCCCAAAAGAGCATCCTGGCTGTGTTGATCAAAGTCCTCAATCCTAGGCAGATGGGGGCACCTCTGTAGGAGATGGGATCAGGGAGAGGCAAGGCTGCTGTGGGCAGAAGCCTCATTTACTTCCAGGAGGTTCCCTGGGGTCAGCTGTGATCCTATTCCCATCTCACTCCTTGTGCCCCTCCCCTGGTGATGTTTCTCTTAAAAAGATAGGATCCCATCTTCCCCTGACTGACCTGTCACCTGGCGATGGTTACCTCTATGTCTTCAGGCTCAGCTGGGTCCTCATCAGCACTGCTGCTGACATAACTCTTGTGACATGTGTCAGAGCTACTGGCACTGCCATAACTCTTCTTGTAGGCGATGCTGCTGCTGCTGGAGCGGTAACTCCTATAGGCCTCGCCGGAACTGATGTTGCTGTCATAGCTCCTGAGGAAATTCTCATTGCTAACCTGAGCGCTACCATAACTCTTTTGATAGCTCCCGTTGTCACCGATAGTGCTGTCATAACTCCTGTTAAAGTTCTCACTGCTGGGGATAATGCAGGCAGAATTCTTGTAGGAATCAAGGCTCTTTCTTATGGTAGGGGACTGCATTTGAATCAGCTGCATTTCTTCCAGGCAGAGTTGCAAGTCAGTCTGCAACCTCTTCCGCTCCTCCAGGAGCCGCCCATGCTCCTGTTGCAGAAGCTCCTGTTCTGTCTGACTGGTGTTATATAGCATCTGCAGAGCCTGCAGTTGGTCCATGAGCAACTTGGACTAGGGGTAGGGGTGGAAGACATCACCATTACTCTGAGACATTTCAGTCCTCCTGCCTGCCCCTCTCTCAGGACAAATGTCTGAGTGCCCACCTGAGAAAGGTGCATACTTACACCTCAGTCTTGCCAGGCTTATCTCTTTGACTTAGCCTATAGGTGACTGGTATGTGTCAGCTTCCGTTCATTTGGGAAAATTTCCCCAGAGCAGATAGACCATGATATCAGGATTCCCGTTTCTACTGGTTTCTGTACTCTACCATGTCCCTCCCTCCTTGAAGCAGTGTGGGGTGGGTCTCAAGAACACCCTGGTTCCCTAGCCCACCCTCTTCTCAGCCAGGTGTACCCATTATCTTGACCTTTAGGCTCACTCCTCTCCCCCACATCTAATATTGAAATCAGCCTGGGGCCTTGAATGTGTGCAGATGAAGCTTTCCTCAGAAAAAGCAGGCTTGAAATCAAGGTCTTACTACTTACTGGTCCCTGTGCCCACTGCCCGATTCTGGCTCTGGCCTCTCAGCCTGTTTCTTGGCTGAGCCAAGCTTGACTTCCTGGCTGCTGATGCCCAGGATGACATCTGATTAGTTAAGAAAGTATTTATACCTGATTCACGTCTTTGTTACTCAGGCTTTTAGCCTGGGTATCTGATACCCCTTGGAATAACCAAGTCTCACAGTTTATACTTCTATTATTCCCTGGTTCTCCTTAATTCAGGCTGATATCTGAACAGGTAGATTCAGCCTAAATTGAAACAGTCTATCTATTCTTTCCTTGCTCACGCTGAGACCCTCAGAACAAATTTATTCCCCAACTCTACAGACTTGTGTAGAAATTTCTGCCTAAGTTACCACATTTGCATGACCTTCTGGTGGGGCTTGATGCATATCAATTTTTTAGTTTAACTCCCTTGACCTGGCTCTGTTATTGCCACTAAAGCTTCAGTGAAAATAGTGTGAGCAGTGCTAAGATCCTGTCTACTAGGACTGCTTCCTTGGATATTAATGGACCAAGATTGGTTCCATATAGAGCCTCAAAAGCTTTTTGTTCATTTGGGGAATTTTGTTTGCGATAGGGTCTTGATACTATATAATGTAGACTGCTCTAGAACTCACTATGCAGCCAGGCTGGCCTTGAACTCATGATCCTCCTGCCTCTGCCTCCCAAGTCCTGGGATTTCAGGCATGCATCAACCATAAAGTTCTTTCATGCCCGCAGCAAGGTTATAGACTTTGAAAATGCAGAAGTGCATTTTTCAGCTCCTAAGAAAAGGATGATACATTTAGGGGCAATCCAAACTGACATTGTACATCTTGAAAATGATATGCTGATGGGATTAAGTCCTGGTCAGATATAGACTTCTGGGCTACCCCAACTCTGTTCTTTGTGTTCACAGCATGTTAGATGGCATACCTCTGGGTGAGTTCCTTAGGGAACCTAAGGCCACAGCTTAATAAAGTCCAGAGTGGTCCCAGCTAGTGAAGAGCAGGGCTTCAGCCTCACCCTGCCTCCTGGCCAAACAGGCCTTCTTGACTCTGACCTTTCCATAGGGTCCCCTTTCCCTGCAATGCTACTGTGCTCAGGAGAACCATCTCCCTTCCTCATGCTATGGTTACCTTGTTCTCAAAATTTGAGGACTTAGGCCCTTTGGCATCCTGAGGATTCTCCAACACTTGGAAATTAGACTCTTTGAAACCTCGCAACTCTTTGTGCAGCTCTAACTGTTCTTTTAATACACACTCTTGGTTCTGTATCAGTTTTCTTTGTTCATCCTGCATGCCTTGGTAGAGCAGCTGCAGTTCACACAGGTCTTGTAACTTTTTAAGCAGCTCCTGACTCTGAGTGGAGGAAGGAGGAAGGAAAAGTGGTGGTTAAAAGGAAAGCCCTAGGCCCCTCCTGTGCTAGGCTCTGTCTCCGTGTTGCTTTCACATACGCCTTCTTGGGGACAGAGGGTCTTTTTATAGAGACCTGCTAGTTGAGTAGCACTGTGGATATATTTTGTACTTTACAAAGTGCTTTCAGGTGCATTTTCTCCAGGGAGACTAAATGTCCAAATATAAAATTGCTGCACAGATTATAAAATATATTTTAAATTTTAAAGCCTTAATGAGGAAGAACCCAAATCAGTTCTATGGAGCTGTTTGGTGAGAAAGGAGGAAATGGTTGATCAAGAAAGAAAAACGGTCAGTCCCCACCCTTTCATCTTTCCCAGGAACAGTTACTCCTAGGAAGCTTCTTAAAGCAGCCTCCACATGATTAGTGGCCATGAGCTGGTGGTAGGTACCTTACGGAAGAGGCCACATTTGGGCAACGGGAACGTGAGCCTGTGCAACTCTTCCTGAAGCTGACCCTGCTCCTCCTGCAGCCTCCTCTGATCCTCCAGGAGCTCGCACTGCTCCATCTGCAGTTGCCCCATCTCCTTCTGGCTGGCCTTGAACTTTTCCTGCAATTCTGTCAGTCTGGACAGCAGTGCATCACACTGTGGGTTGGGAGGGGTGTGTAAAACATGGTCACTCTGTAAGGTACACTTCTGGGGGACTGGCAGAACACTTGTGTGTTCTCCTGCCTCCTGCGACTCACCAGGGTCTCCTTCCCTGTCCAGTCATCTTGGACTGATCATTTTGTGCAGACCAGGCCTTCACACGAAGAGGGATGGATCCCTAGCAGATGACTCCCTCAGCAGGCTGTTTTGCACTGTCAGTGGCCCCCTTTAGAGTGTGGTTTGAAAAGGGGTGCCATCAATACCCTCTCTTCATGCCTTCTTGTTCTCTGGCCCTTTCCTATGGTGCACCATCTTCCCACCCTGCAGTGAACTCCAGCTCCAGCTACTCTCATTATTATCAGTTGTTTTTGGACCTAATTTTATGTTGCTTATCAATAAGGACTTAATTTCTGTCTAATTTTTCCCATTTTTGTTTTCTTAATTATCTCTTAAGATGGGTTAAGACTAAATCATCCCATTATTCCAAAAACCAAATCTTCTAATATCAAATTAATTTCAGTGCTGTTCTAGGACTAAAGAAAAGGCTGACTTTGTAAACCATCATGTCTCTCCTATAAACCACTTCCACTAATGGAAGAGGTAGATGATAAAGTCACTGCTTCCCTGAACACCTAAACTGAGTGGGAGTGGAGGGAGGGAGAAATGTGAACCTGGGCAGACAGGCAAGTAGGCTGTAACCTTCCCCATCGTCTATCTCCTGAAGGCCCTTCCTTAGGGACACAGCCTGATGTTGGAAGAGGGAGGTGCCCCTCCTCAGTATTCTGGCAGACTGTAACCAGTTCAATTATCTCCCAGGACTCGTGCCTTTTCTCCAACATGTTTCAACCCCTTTCCACAGTGTATCAGTAATCAGAGGTCGAAAGTGTTCAATGGTGTAAATAGTAACGGCTTGCATTTTATGCACCATAGAAAAATAAAAAGTGAATAAAGCCTATGTATTACTACCAATACTTATTACTAAAAGAAAGTGAGGTAAGATTCGCATTCTGTTGACTTTGAAGAGGGCAAAATTCAAGCCTTGAGAATTTACTCCTGGAAGAGCCTAGGTCTTTCTAATAATCAGCTGGGCACACACCACACCTCCTAAAAAGAGCACTTGCAATCTGCTTCAGAAAACCGGCCCTGCTCTGTCTAGTCCCAACAATAATAGTTGTTTATATGGGCCTATGTGTATGACCCTTCCCATGAATGACTAACGTATAAATGTATACCCACATGGAATTTATGTAAAACAGCTGAGTGTTCAGACTGGGATCTAGAGGTACTGATCAACTAAGCCATGGCTCTGGCTCAGAGTAAACTGTTTCAAGACGAACAGACGTGGCTCTGTCTCTGTCTCCTACCCTCAGTTGAACAACTGTGTCTCTTACATCTGCACCTCCTCTTTCTGGAGCAGGTGCCAGGAGTGTTTACCACTTTATACTACAATTACCTTGTTGGCACACTTTCCTTTGTCCTCAGGGGGCTGGCTGTTCTTGAGCTCACTCAGTTCCATCTGGCAAAGCAGGAAGTCCTGCTCAAGCTGGTCATACATATGCTTTCTGCCGCTCCAGCTCATCCTTGCTGGCCTGGTACAGCCCCTTCATCTCTTGAAGCTGACATTGTACCCCTGCATTCTGGGTAGGGGAGATCCAGTCACAATCCAGGTGGCCCCGCTGCCTCCCTCTGTCCTTCAACGGAGAAGGGGATGGATTCATCCTCCCCTATCCTATCCAGCCTCAATTTCATCCCAGTCAGGGAGACCCAAGATGGACCACTCCTTAACAGGCTTGAAACTCAGACCTTGTAGAGTTTCTTTTTTTGGGAGCTGGGGAAGGTAAGGGGATTCCTTTCTATAGGCTGATTTTCTGATTTAAAATCAATGGGGGTTTTGAGCACCATGACTCCCTGAAATCAGATTTTTTTTTTTTTGCAGTATCGGGAATTGAACTCAGGACTTTGAATTTGCTAAGAAGGTGCTCCAAGATGAGCTTTCTCTGTGCACCTCTTTGGCCCCCTTATCAGCAGCTTCTCTACTAAACTCCCACCAAGCCCACTCTTCTGTGCTCACCCTCACAGAAGATCCTGCCTGGCTATATTCTTGTTCACCTGGCCCTCCTTTTACCTTCTCATTGCTCTCTTGCAAGCAGGCCACTTTGTTCCGGAGGCCCTGCAACTCTGCCTCATGGCACTTCAACTTCTCCTGCAGTTGACACTGTGTTTCCATCAGGTTTTCCTTCTCACACATGATGCTGTGATGCTGGAGCTGCAGCTTCTGGACCCGACACTGCCACTCCTACATGCAGGGGAGTTGGGTAGTGCCACTAAGTTCCATGACTCTGCTCTTCTTCCAGCTCACTCTCACTACTAACAGGCTGCACATTTATTTCTCCCTCCCTTTTCTTGTCTCTTGTCCTCTCACCTACGCCAGCACTTGAGGGGAGGCTGGGCTTCTTTACCAGTGGTGCTGCCTAGGTAGTGATTGGAGCTATTTTAAACCTACTCTTATTCACCTTTCCCCAAACCTCAGACCAGTGCTCCTCAGTTGTCCCTTTGCCTCTGGTGCTGTTACCTTCTCATTTTGGCAATCTATGGTTGTGGATTTGACGGTTTTGAGCTGCCGGAGCTCAGTCTGAAGCTGCATCTGCACCTTCAAGAGCTCATTCTGCTCATCCTGACTAGCATCATACTTTTGCTGCAGGGCACAGAGCCGGGTCTTCAGCTCCTCATTCTGTGGTAGGGAGGATGTGAGTAGAAAAGTTACTCTCAAGGAACAACAGACCACTCTCCAGGCCACTTTGGTCCTTTTCAGGTGCAGACAATTTGAGAAGCTCTCGCTTCTATGTTTCGGTTTCTTCAGTGAGGCAGACACTCAACCATGACCACATTTCTAGAATGCTGATTTCTACAGTTGGTTTCCAGTAGCCTGCGCCCCAGTTTGTAGGGCAAGAGTCAGCAGAGCCCAGTCTCACTTCTGGTGTCCATCCTCCCTGGAAGCAGCAACTCCACGCAGGCCCTCCTGCCCTCCCAGGTGCCTCCCCCATCAGTGTTTACCTGGACGATGCTGTGGGAGGTCTGAAAACGAAGCATCTCATTCTGGGTGCACTTGAGCTCCCTCTGTAGCCGCCTCTGCTCCTCCTCGCTGACCCGGCGATGATTCTGTAGCTCTTGCAACTCACAACACAATTCCTTACACTGTGGAAACAGAATAGGAAGGCTGATTTATGACAGGTGCCATATGTGCTACAGGAACAGGCTTGAGGAAAGTATGGCATTCCTTTGATTGGAATACAGTCATGTGTCACTTAACATGGACTTGTGCTGAGAAATGCATCATTATGGCACTGAATCATTGTGTGAACATTAAAGTGTATTTACACAAACTTAGATGGCATAATCTACGGTATGTGTGTGTGTGTTATAGTCTATTACTCTTAGGACCGTGATAAATAAAAGAATATGAGATTAAATCAAGCACAATAGATGCCATCATGAGACACAAAGAATATGAGATAAAGCTATTGTTAGTATAACTTGAATATTGTTTTATAGTAAGCTACTTTGTTTCTATAAGTAGCTTATATAATAATGATGTATAATATAATAATGATGTATAATATAGTAACTACATAAAACAACATTATAGTCATTTATTACAACTGTCAAGTTTTATGCACTGTACATAATTGTACAGTACTTTTATAGGACTGGCAGCACAGTAGCTTTGTCTGCACCAGTATCACCATGAGTATGTTACGTAATATGCTGTACTACAACATTACTAGGTGGTAGGAACTTTTCACCTCCATTCCACTTTTTGGGACCACCATCATGTGTGCAGTCTATTTCTAACTGAAATGTCATCACGTGGTGTGTGACTATATTTCTACCAGGCAAGCTAGCAAGACTCTGGGCTGTAGTGTATACCTCCTCTGTTAACCCTGTGCCTATCACAGGCCAGGGATAGAATATTACAGGGGAAGGTGAAAGGGAGCTGGTGGAAGGGGGCTACCTCTCCATTATCTGTGGCCTACCTTGTTCTTCATGTCATGCACCTGCGACTCAGCTCCCAGCAGCTGCTGGCGCAATAACTGCATTTCAGGATCAGGCTCCAGGAAATCCATTTCTGAAGTCTGAGACTCTGTTGACATCATATTCCTTAGTGTTTGGCACTCCAGCCACCTCTCTGTTGCTCTTCGTGTCCTGTAACCCAGAACCCAGAGATATGTTGGGAGGAACGCTGCCTAGTATCACCAGTCAAGTGTGCTTGGATCTGATGCTTTCAGTTTAGGTCAAAGATAGGGCTTTTCATTGTGATTCACCTCTCAAATAAACATGTTTAGAATATTACAGAAAGTCTCTAGTACCCTCTAATAGCCCTCTAGAGGGCTTCTCCTTTTGTGGAGACAAGCACAGGCTTGTTTTGCTCTGGGACAGCAAAGAGTGCTAATCCAACTGGTTTCAAGACTAGGTCTGAGCCAGGAGCTGGTGGCTCACACCTGTAATCCTAGTTACACAGGAGGCAGAGATCAGGAGGATCATGGTTCAAAGCCAGCCCCAGGCAAATAGTTCATGAGACTCTACCTAGAAAACACCCAACACAGAAAAAGGGCTGTTGGAGTGGCTTAAGCCACTGCCTAGCAAGCATAAGGCCCTGAGTTCAAACCCCATGCTGCCAAAACAAAACAAAAGACTGGGTTTGGGGTCAAGTCAGCTCCAACTTCGAGGCTCTGTGCCATAACAATGAATTACATCTATATGGAGGAAGAGATTCCAACAAAGGAATCTTTTTTGAACTATTCTAGGGCAGAGCAAACTGTATCCTAATGCCAAGAATGGAAAGAAACTACATTTTATAATTCACTTAACTCTAGTCCTGAGACAATAGGCATTTCTAGGTGGTCTCCATACCCTTGGGATACCATGGAAAAGACTGACTCTTCAGGATTAGAGAAACACTTATGCCCTTGGCCTCTGCCTTTCGGGGAAAGCCCAAGGCAGAACCTGCAATGACCCCCCCACACACACTGCTTTGCTGTACCTCTCACTCTCCAGCTCAGCAAGCTGCCCCGTTAGGCTGCTGTTGCTCTCCTGCAGGGCCTGGTATTCCTCGTTCAGAAAGTGGTAGCGTTCCCGCAGTTGCTGCAATTCTTCTGTAGGGGACAAGCAGAGAGGGGAGTGGAAAACACTGGTGACCAGCCCCTAGTTTTTCTGTCTAGAAACCTGAAAGCAGAGGGATTCTCCTTTTGTAGAGACAGAAAAGAGATACCACATGCATAGGCTTAGAAGACAGGGCCCAGAAAATTCCTCAGTGCAATGAGTCCTTGTCCTCTTTCAGGTAGTTACTGTTCCTCTCATCTCTATAGAAGATGCACTCTGTGTCACACTGTATGCTCACCTTCAAAGCCCCAACCAGAGTCTTAAGCTCTTGAAGGTTTAAATAAGTTTTTGGTTTATTGTATTGAAAGTTTCCACCTATTTATTTATTGTGGTCCCAGGGTTGAGCTGGGAACAATATTGTGTTAGGCAAGTGCTCTACCCCTTGAGCCACAACCCCAGTTTCAATTTAACTGTTTATGATTACCTTCCTATTATGCTTTTAGTACAAACTGGAGAGACGTGAACTGCCAGAAGTTACACTGCCAGACCCTACCTTTCAGAGATAGCCCACACATTCTGAGTTTACTTTCTATTTATTTCCTTTATCAATACACTGAAGGCCCTAGCCTGGATGTGATCAAGTATGCCCCTGCTTCACCCAGCTGTGGGGATTGAACCCAGGGCTTCTCATATGCTGGGCAAGCACTCTACCTGTGAGCCATACCCTCCGCCCCAAGTATTCTTTCTAATTTTCTTTTATCTGCTGACAGAAAAGCCCATCCCATCCAGACCCACATCTCATCCTCAAGCATTAGAAGAGGTCTGGTTGAAATGCCCAGCACATGTCCCTAAGTACCAGTCACCAACACCTTTTAATGCTGTGGTGATGCAAACACCCACATGTTTTGTCTCTTCATGATTAAGAATCATATCTCATAGAACACTAATTCTACTGACATTTAAGGAATACTAACTTGCTCTAATTACAACACATGACCTATCTTACCTGCTGCAAGATTCAACATCCTGAAAGTTACTTCAGTGTCACCTCTTTATTCCAATCAGAAGTCCTTAGGCTACTGCAGATTTGCAGAGAAAGAAGGAAGGAAACTAATCCTAATGAAAACTAACATTGTGCTAAGCATAAGACTTGATGATTTCTTCCTTGGATGGGCATTTCATTTAGTCCCTGAAATAGCTCTGCATAGGATTTTTAAAAATAAACTTTCAATTTAGAATAGCTTTAGATTTACAAAAAAGTTGCAAAGATAGCAGAGTTCCCTGAGAGAGTTCTTACCATTTCCTCAATTGTAAACATTTTATATTATCATAGCACATTTGTCACGACTAAAGAATCAACATTGGTACATTACTATTAACTAAACTATACACTTTACTCAGATTTCTCTTGGTCTGGAGGCATGGCTCAAGTGGTAGAGTACCTGCCTAGCAAGTGTGAGGCCCTGAGTTCAAACCCCAGTACTGAAAAAAAAAAAAAAAAAACCACCAGATTTCTCTACATGTTCACTAGGCCATTATTCTCTTCTAGTATCCCATATAGCTGTAAATTTTATTAACCATTTGGGTTCCATATCCCAGGTATGTAAATGAGGCTCAGAGAGACAGAATAACTTGACTAAGTTCATCCTGCTGGGAGGAGCCGTTTCTGAATTCAGGTCAGGTTCACTCTCACCAAAGGCTTTCTCCTGTGCTAGCCTCCCTTCCCAGCACCACCAGTCTAAAGGCTTCTCTGAGAGGCTCGATACAGCTGGGAAAACTTGTAGTTCTTTGATACCTTGTTGATTGCCTCTGCATAACCTGGCCAAACATAGGGCCTCCATTACACCCACATCACAAATCTATTCTAGAATAAAGGCAAACTCTCTGCTGTCATAAATCCTAGCAACTAACTGGGAGACTCTGTCTGAAAACAGGCTCCAAGCTTTTGAGTACCTCATGTATTACTAGAAATAACCTCTATTCCTCTCCAGCTGTCTTGTGCTGAGTTCTTACCCCCTAAACCTTCTATTTTAGGGAGGGCTAAAGGAGCCTAAGAACTGGCATTCTGTCCCCAAATGTGGTCCAGGAAAAATGTCATGATGCCAGAGCAGCAGGAAGAGTATTCAAGGTGACAGGTCCTTTTACATTCTTCCCAGAAAATGGACAATTTCCTAGGAAGGGCTTTCTCAAAGTTAAATCAACAAGTACCCAGTGGCTCTCTGGGGAAGAATCCTCAGGGTACGTTTCCATGGTCCTATGTCTTACATACCATGGATCGGTTATGTAACAGCTGCCTAAGTTTTTCCCCTACAGTCTTGAATTCAACCTTGAGGATTTTTCTGGAGGTTTCTTATGTATGATCTTAACGCCACTCTTCCACCACCTTCCTGTCCTCTGCTCAACTTGGCTGACAGACTAGGATGAGGGCTTGCTCTCATACCTTGCAACCCAGAGAATTCAGAGACACTTAAACTTTCAGATGGTTCAGTTGAGTTCTTCAAGTCCATTTCCGCACGGAGAGAGGTGATCTCCATCTCATAATCCCCCCGAATTCGCTCCATGTCATCAAGTTCATTCTGTAACCTGCAGAGATCTCCCTGCAGAGATGCCATGTCGTTCTCATGCTCAGTCGCGGAATCTGCTGCAGCTTGCCGTAGACTCTGGATCTCAGCATGGGCCAAGTGCAATTCCTGTTCTATTTCTTTAAGTTCACTTTCTTTCTCACGCTCTAACAGGGAAATCTCCTCCCGGAGATGCCGCAGCTCACCTGCAAAGCCCAAAGGTTGAGATGGTGAAGAGGATAAATGAACCATGTTCTAGGGCATGAAATTAAAGGAAGACTTATTTCCTGCCTGGAAACTCCTGACAACCTACTCTCTATCCTCCCAGAGGAGTATAGCATCACCTGGTACGGAATAAAAGAAATACCTAAAGGGAGCTGAGAGTGACTCTGTAAAGCGTGGTAGGAAGGCAGATTTTGAGGCCTTGAACTGAAAGTAGTAACTTGGGCTACTCTGAACAGAAAGTATTAAGTACTTCTAAGGAATCACTTGACAGTTAAAAAAAGACAAACCTAGTTGACATTATTTTATTGATGTCCTGAGTCTTTCTAAAAATTCCCTGGCTAAAAAAATTTCTTACCTATTCATCCTGGGAGCTTAGAGCCTCAGAGCCCCCATGCACTGCTTGTGATGAGTACCAGACCCAAGACAATGTGTATTTAGAGTTCACAGCTGAAATTCAAGTAAGTTCATGCAGCTATTTAAAAGAAAGTGCTAATGCTATATGAAGATATTTTAAAAAGGCCCTGTTGCCTCTCTTGCCATGTGACTACCTTCTCTCCTCTCTCTCTCTCTCTCTCTCTCTGTGTGTGTGTGTGTGTGTGTGTGTGCATACCTGTTTTCCCCCTCACTGGGTTATAAGCTTTATGAAGCCAGAGAATATGTCTGTTTTGCCCACCATTACAGCTCAAGCATTTGGCACTGTACTTTGCAGAATGCAACTCAGTGAATATCTGCTGTATTCTTATATAAATGAAGAAGAGGTTCATCCATTCAACAAACTTATACTGAGTTTCCTCTGTGTATGCAGAATTACATGCCTGGGTATGTTTTTAGAATCACAAGAGAACCTAGACTTTTGGGTGGGGAACTGGGGTTTGAAATCAAGGCTTCACACTGGCAAAGCAGGTATTCTACAGCTTTAGTCACACCTCCAGCCCATTGTGCTTTGGTTATTTTGGAGATGGGGGTCTCTCAAACTACTTGCCCAGACTGGCCTCAAACCTAGATCCTCCCAATCTCCACCTCCCAAGTAGCCAGGATTAAAAGCATGAGCCACTGGTTCCTGGCTAGAAACTAGACATTATAGAAGACAAATTTAGGGCATGGTGGCACACATCTATAGTCCCAGAGGTGAGGTGAGAGAATCACTTGAGCCCAGGAGTTCAAGACCAGCATTGTGAGACCCCACCCAACAACAAAAAACAAACAGAGACAAATGTGGACACACTGCAGATACAAATGTTAAGCAGACAGAGCACCTCTGGGAAGGTCTCCAAGCCCTACATTTCTAGGTGGGTGCTCTACCACTTGAGCCATACTCCCCCAGTCCTTCCAGCCATACACTTCTGAGCTTACAGGTCCAGGCCACATTTTTATGCCAACCCTGCCTTTGTAGAATGTTCCTCTGCCTCCTTTCCTTCCTCTACTCAACGAGTATTTATGATCAATGATGCCAAGCCCTAGGTTTGTCTACCTAGGTTGTCTGACTTCCTATTTTATTTGTTTTGGTGATACTGGGGTTTTGAACTCAGGCCTTTGAGCCTGCTAGGCAAGAGTTCTACCACTTGAGCCACACATCCAGTCCTTCTGACTTCCTATTTGAAAGGTAACCCCACTACTGAGGTGAAGCTGAGGCCTTGGAGCTCAGTCTAGTAGAGGAGTCGCGTGAGTAAACTGGTCATTAGGACCAAGGCCCTAGAGCGTGGGGTAGGTTTTCTGTGGGGGCAGAGCAACTTCCGCCTCACTAATACACCCTTCAGGTCAGGGTTCAAATCTCCCCTAGGCACTCCTCCAGGATCTGTGCACAAAGGGCCTTCTCAGATCCACTGGGGAATGAAGAGGACGCAGTGGGGTGTGCAGGCCTGTGGGGGCGGCCCATCCGGAAGCGGGACGGCGGGAGTTGGAAGGCCAGAGGCGAGTTCCATAGGGCTGGCGCCGGTTGACTGAGGGGCTGGGGCCGACGGGGCGAGGCCGAGGACTCAGGAGTCCCGCTGCAGAGTAGAGAAGTCGGCTCTCACTCACTGGTTATGGCCTCCATCTCGCCGGCCCCCCACAAGCGGTCTCCCTGGGGGGCCTCCCGCCGCCAGGGCCGGTCCCGGCCCCAGAGGGGCTGTGGCGGCCAGAACGGCCTCTCGACACCAGATACCTCTGAGGCCACGCGCGCCCCCTCTTGGCGGAAACGGGCAACGCGCGTGCGTGGGGACGCCCCATGTGTCTCCTGCGGGGCGGGGCCGGGCGCTCCCAGCGCCGTGCTTGGAGGAGGCCGACGTGATCCTAACACTCCTGGCAACACCCCTATTTCCCCTGGCAGCTCAGATTCTCAGACTTTCCGCCTATTGGAAAGGGAGAAAGTTTCTTCTCCAAGCAAAGGCTATTGCTTTTTCCTGCTCGACTGGATCTTTTCCTTCATTATACAAGATCAAGCGTTTCCTAATTCAAAAAACCAAAACCGAACACACACACACATTCTCTCACTCCCTGTCTCTCTCTCTCTCCCTTAACCCCATTCCTCCTGATTTCTTTGATTCTCTTTAAAGTCTCCGTTAGAGTGATCTGTAGTCACGTTCTCCATTTAACCTCCCATTTTCTCTTTCATCCTAATCCAATCAGCTTTTTATTTGCACTGAAATGTCTCAGGGTTCTCCATTTTGCCAACTCCAATGGCCATCTCACTTGCCCTAGCAACTTTTGGCACAATGGATCATTATCTCTTTAAATCACTTTCTGCTCTTGGCTCCCAGGGCATGACATGCTTTGGGAGTTCCCTCTACCATAGTTCCTTTTGTTCATTTCACCTTCTATATTGAACCTCTAAATAATGGGACTGGACCCTTCTCTCTCCTCATCCAGTATCTCTCCATGTGACTGGATAGTCATCTCCTATGGACTCTGATGCTGCCTATATGCTAATATCCACCAAATCTCTGTCTTCGGCCCTGATTTCTCCACTAGTTTGGGATTCCTACTGCCTCCTTCACACAGTCACTTAGATGTCAAACTCATCAGGTAGAAAACATCTTAAATGGCTCCCCTAATCCTAAAAATTGTTCCTTGCTAACTCTTTACCATCCCAATAAATGATGCCACCATTCACTCAATTTCTCCAGGTAATGTCATCTTTCACGTGTCTGTTATCCCCCATCCAATTCATCAGCAAATCCTGAGGCTCCACCTCTAAATATATTCGGAACCATTTCTATTTCTACTGCCCTAATCCAAGCAACATCATCTCCTGACTGGACTACTGCAATAACTTCCTGACAGGACTCACTGTTTAGATTCCCTTCCCTTCATTCAGATTCCACACAATGGCCAAAGTGCTCTTTGGAAAGTGTAAAGAGAAGGGCTGAGATGTAGCTCAGTGGTACATTGGTTTCCTAGCATGTGCAAGCCCTGGCTTCAATCCCCAGCACTGAAAGGAAACCAAAAAACAATGAAAAATGGAAAGCAAATCATACCACGCCAACCTGGCTAAGACCCTCCTGTGGCTTTCTACTACACTCAAAATGAAAGCCAGACCTCTCAGCTGGCCTATGAGACTTAGAACTGGCCTCTGCCTATCTTTAAGAACATTCTGTTACCAGGGTCTTCCCACTTTGCTCCAGCCACAATGACCTTTGTTCTGTCCAATTTATAAAGCCCATTCTCACCTCTGGGCCTTTGCAGTTACTGTTCCTTCTGCCTGGTATGCTCCTTCCTTAGGCCTTTTATTTATTAATTAATTAATAATTAATTAACTTGGCAGTACTGGGGCTTGAGCTCAGGGTCTCACAATTATTAGGCAGGCACTCTACCTCTTGAGCCACATTTCCAGTTCATTTTGCTTTTGTTATTTTCAATATAGGGTCTCATGAACAATTTGCAGAGCTGGTCTCGAATCATGATCCTCCTGATCTCTGCTTCCTGAATAGTTATAATTTCAGGCATGAGCCACCAGGGCCCGGCTCTCCCTCAGGTCTTGAATGGCTGGATCCTTCTCATTATTCACCTCAACTGCCATCTTGAGAAGAAGGACTTTTCAAACTAGCCTATCTAAAGTAAACGCCTGTCTCATTCCTTCTCTGGATATGTTTTTATATTGCACTCATACATTTATTGCCACCTGAACTTGTGTTGCTTATTTATTTTGTGCCTTTCTCCATTAGAATCTCCTCTCCCTTGGAGAACTGACTTGTCTTGTTCATAGCTATTCTTTCAAACATAAAGACTTTCAGTAAATAGCTGATGACAAATGAATTTGCCCATTTTATTCACAAAATTGGGTCTCAGGGAGATAAAAATGACTTGCCCAAGAACACATTTTCTTTTTTTTTTTTGCAGTACTGGGGTTTGAACTCAGGGCCTACTGAGCCACTCTACCAGCCCTTTTTTGTGAAGGTTTTTTTCAAGATAGAGTCTTGCAAACTATTTGCCCAGGCTGGCTTCGAAACTTGATCCTCCTGATCTCTGCTTCTTGAGTAGCTAGGATTACAGGTGTGAGCCATTGGTGTCCAGCACATTTCCAAGTAGTAGAGCTGTGCCTAAGAATCTAGGTGATCTGAGACTAAAGCCCACATTCTTTTTCCTGTGCTATACATCTCCTGCCATTTTTACCCTTCTTCATTGCACATTTTCTGCACTTCCCTTTACTTACATCTTCTGTTCCCTTCTCTTTCCCTGTTGCTCTTACACCTATGCTTGTTCCTCTCCAGGCTGGCTCTCAAGCCTTCCTTTTTTTCTCCATTTATACTTTCCATTTGGCTTGATCTCAGTTCTCCCCAGAGAGTCCCTGCTGTTTTCTAGGGCAGCTCCCCAAAACCTTCCAGAAGCCCACAGAAGAAACAAAAGCTCCTTCTTTATTTGGTGGTGCAGCAGAATGTGGGACGCCTGCCTTGCTACTTTCCAGAGACAAAGGGGTGTGGGCGTTGGAAGAGAGAGATTTGAAGGCCACAAGTTCAGGTCCAAGGGAGCCAGAGAAGCACTGTCATCTACTTCCTTTAAAGACACACAGAAGCTGGGTGTTCGTGGCTCACATCTGTAATCCTAGTTATTCAGGAGGCAGAGATCAAGGGGATCATGGTTCGAAGCTAGCCTGGGTAAAGAGTTCAAGAGACCTTATCTCAAAAAAGGGCTGGTGGAGTGGCCCCGAATTCAAACCCCAGGACTGCAAAAAAAAAAAGACACATAGAAAGCCCTCCAGTCACATCAAATTGGCTCCATGTTCTTTCCCATCATGCCCTTTGAGGGACTGGAAATCTAACTTAGAATTCAACCTTGACCACCCAAGGGCAAGGGATGTGGTATGAAGTAGGAATATGAGAGAAAAAGGAAAGAATGAGCCTGAGAGAGAACATGTGAGGAGGAAGGCAGGGCAAGAAAGGGAAAGGGAAGACAGAAGAGCCAGGTAGAAATACAAAGGAAGGAAATTGGGGAAAGAGGAGAATAAAGGGGCAAGGAAAAGAGAAAAGGGTAAGAATGGCCTAGAAAAATGAGGCAAAAATACTGAATTAGGTTATTTTTGTCTGTGATATTTCAGGAGGAAAAAAAAGGCTTGAGTGGCAACTTGTGTAGCCACCCCACCTCCATTAAAATGGAGCAGGATTACCTTGGAGCTGCTGGATCTGCTTGGTGAACACCTCAGCCTGCTGGGCACTGGCCAGTCTTTCGTCTTCCAGGAGTCCTGAAGTGAGAAAGTGGCATCGGGTTTGGATCCAAGGGAGCACAGAGCCTTTGGGCTCAGATCCCTTATCCTGTCACAGGTGCTCACCTTGCAGCTCCAGGGAGTCGTCCTCATGCTGACCAGCCAGCTCACGGGTCTCCTCCAGCTCTGCCACCAGCTGGAGCACCTGAGCCCTCAGCTCCTCCAGCTCAGTCTCTGTGAGACTCAGGCCCCGGTGCTTGCTGACCGACAGGGAGCCCACACTGTCACTTTTCTGTACTTGTTCTTCTTCTTCTTCCACTTCTTCTTCCTCTTCTTCCTCCTCTTCCTCTTCTTCCTCATACAGAGCTGGGAGTAATACCTCCCCTAGGAGAGACACCCACCCACCATAGTCAGCATTGCTACCTGCCCACAGTCCTTCCAGGGCCTAGATGATAAAATAGTGCCACCTGGTGACTCCTAGGGAGCTCCTAGGCAGGACCCATACTCATCAGGAGTCCTCTGGTCTAAGGGTCAAGTTTAGAGGTATCCCCTCCCCCTCCAAAGTTTTGTGGCCCAATATCCAACTTGGTGGCTCCCTTCAGCTGGCTTTCAGCAAATGAAGCACCCTGGTGCTGGCTCAGCCATGAGAACCTTGCACAAGAAAACCTGGTACTTCTAGTCTCGTCTCTGGGTATGGGACAAAGTAAAGAAAGGATTCAGGCCAGCCCAGGCAAAAACAAGACCCTACCTGAAAAATAACTAAGCAAAAAAGGGCTGGCGGCATGGCTCAGGTGGTAGAATGCATGCCTAGCAAGCTTCAGACCCTGTGTTTCAAGCCCCTCTAAGGGAGGGGTGGGCAGGGAGGGTATAGGGTGGAAGGACTCAGACAATGAGTGTGTCTTTAGGTCACACTGTTTGTAGACAGTTCAAAAAAATTGTCCAGGTAGTTTGTGAGACATTCACCTTTCCATAATAAGAAAGCACTGGCTGTCAGTAGGCAGAGAAATACTTAAATACTGGGGCCCTTTCAAATGTATGGTATGAAATAACTTTTTGAAATTTTTACAAGGTCCACCTGGTTTCTCCCTGCTGGGTGTCATGAGGTCCACCCCTTCCCTGCTGACCCAAGGCAGATTTCAGGGTAAGTCTTAGCTTGAACTTTTGTGCAAAAGAAAGCCTGCCATCTTGATATGTTATTAAAAACTGGGGTTTGGTGCTGGTCCCCAGCTTCTGGTTGGTGAGCACCCCCTCCTTTACTGCAATGCAGTTCCTGTAAGTAACAAAAACTTGTCTGGTTGGTAGTTGCTTTGTTTCGAAATTCTGGATCTTTGGTCTTACTTTCTCTAACACCAGACATCCGGGACCCCTTGTGTCATGACCCCCCTTAGGGGGAGCTGGGTTGCCCATAGTGAATGTGTAGAGAGGCCTGGGGACATTTCACAAGTAGTCCTGGGAAATGTACTAGCAGCAACTGCCAAGTCACATGGATGTGTGGGGATGCATATGTGTTGGGAATTTGGCGTCACGTCTCCCCTTCCTGGGCTCTTTCAGGCAGTAAAGATGCTAGACAACCAAAGCCACAACATCCAAAGTTACCAGTGGTGGCTCCAGGAAGACAGTTCTCACCACCATGTTCTTGCTTTTTAAAATAAGAGACAGCTTGGGATCTGGGTCGGCAGGCAGTGAGAACAAACCCCCTGCTGAAAGGCTGCTTCAAAGCTCTGTCCAACAGGCCTCTTTTCTGTCTGGCAGCTCCCCTAGGACACACAACCTGGTTAGCTGGGTGATTGGGGCCCCAAAGGGATGCATCTTGAACTTCCATCAGTGCCTGAAACCTGAAGAGGGGTAGCCTGAGGTGCAGGGGGAGGGAAGGGCTGTGTCCAGGCTGGGAGTTCTGGGGTCAGAGGGAGGGAGGAGGATGGAAGGAAATGGGGGAGGCGGGGAAGAGGAAGAAGGAAAGCCTTTTCAGAAAACTCACCCTCCATAGCTTGCATTCCACGCCGTTCCAAGGACCCCCATCGTTGGCCTTTCTTCCTCTCACAGCCCTCAGACATCTCATAGGAGCCTAAAGTGGTCACTGTGGGTCCTGTGAGCCGGGAAACAGGAGGCATTGTAGGCTGCACTGGGTGGGGGGGGGCTGAGGATTTGGGGGAAAAGAAGGAATGTCTTCTAGCTCCTGGGACTTGTGATCCAGTGGAGGTGCCTGACTCACTCTGCCCTGCTCTGCGGTTCTCCTTCCTCAGCCACCTCTCATACTCTGCTTATGGAGGGGACCCCAGCCTGGCGTTGCCCCGTCTTCCCAGCGCCCCTGTTCCAAGCTCCTCTTCCTGGTACAGACAGAAAAAGGGTGTGTGTCTATTGAGCCTGGGAGACAGGGAAGAGAGGGGCTAGGATGGGAGAAAGAGGGCAGGAGCTAGGAAAGAAGGGGCTGAAAGGGTGCGGTGGCACGCAGGAAGGGCGGCGTGCGGGAAGGGGCTCCGAGTCAGGGCCGCTCCCCTCCGCCCGCATCCCTCACAAGACCTCGCCCATCCCACCCAGCTCGACGCTCAGGAGGCTTCGGGGCTGGAGGGGCGCAGGCTCTGGACCCCCCGCGGGCTGGAAGCACGATTGAGCTGGATTGATGACATGGGGAATGCCCGGGGAGGGGAAGCCCCAGGCCGAAAGATGGAGACCGGGCTCGAGTGGAGGCCGGGATGGAGGGAGCCGACTTACTGCGGGGAGCACCTGGGGTCTGGAGGGAGGGGAGCTGAGGAGAGGAAGGGGGGCGTGGGGAGCTGAGGGAGGGGCGGCTCTGACCTGGGCCGGGGCAGCTCCAGCCCGCGGCTCCCGCGCCGGCCCCGGCGCCCGCCTCCATGGCCGCTCCCGCCGCCGCCGCCGCCGCCGCCGCCTCCCCGAGCAGAAGCCGCAGTCGCGGGGCCGCGGACCCGGAGCCGGTGCTCAGGGAGGAGGTGGGGCCGGCCGAGGGGGCGGGGCCTGTCCGGCCCACCTGACGCCGGCCCCCGCCCGCCGCCTCCCGGAAGCCCTCTCTGCGACCGGGTGCGTGTCCCCGATGCGCCCCAGGCTTGTGCAGCGAGCGCGAGGAGCTGCCGGGCTTGGACAGCCGACGTGAGCTACTCAGGGCAGAGCTATAGAGAGAAAGAACGGTAGAACCCTCTGGTTCTGGCAGCAGGTTCCACCCCGGGTCAGCTGCGGGGAGGAACCCCTCTTCGCCAAGTGACAGGGCCCGGTCCCTGTCCAGTGTTTGGGGAAGAAAGGACAGGATGAATTGTTTCCTCCAAGCGCGCAGACACGCGCGCTCCTCCTCCACTTCCACCATCAACGCGGACCCCAACCCTGAGCGCGGTGGCATCACTCGCCCAGAGTCAGGGACCAACTAAGGAGGGCCCTCCCGTGACCCTCGCTCTGGCGCCTGGCGGCCTCAAGTGCAGGAAGACCTCCTCTCTCCACCCCTTCGAGCCACGCTCCTGAGCAGCCTGCTGCAGTCGTTCTCAGGAAGAGTGGGGCTTACCTCACTTACGCAACTGTTCACTCATTCATTCATTCATTCAAGGAATGACTCCCCTGTACCAGGCGGGTCTCAGGATAGACGTGGATACACGGGAACCGGGGCTTCCCAGCACATGGAGAAAATTGCAGAGAGTGTCCTGGCCAGGGATGCACTCCAATCCTTTCTCTTGCATTTTCCCTCCCCAGGTCTGTTCACCCCTACAAGGCACAAGCCCTCCATGTTCACAGAAAAAGAAGCATTTCTTTGCCTGCACATCCCCTGCTTATCCTTCAGCCCTCTGTTGGGAGTCATCTCTAGGCAGCTTTCTTTGACACCCTATCCTTTCCTCATGAAATGTCCCTGTTGAGCTCTACCCTGTCATCTGCCCCACTGGGCAGCACTAGGTCACTCTGTTGTCAGGATTGGAAGTATCTTAGTCACCTTTGTACCTCTAGCATCTAATAAAGTACCTGATCCATAGAATAAAGAAGTAAACGTCAATCTCCCAACTACACAGTTTAATGGGTTTTTTGTTTTGTTTTGTTTTTGTGCTGCTGGGGTTTGAACTCAGGGCCTATACTGTGTGGGCCACTACACCAACCCTATTTTTGTGATGAGGTTTTTTGAAATAAGGTCTCGAACCTATTTGTGGGGTCTGGCTTCGATCCACCATCCTCTTGATCTTTGCCTCTTGAGTAGCTAGGATTACAGGCATAAGCCACCAGCGCCTGGCTAGGTCTGTTTTATTTAACACATAATTGTGAAATTCAGTGTTTCCTTTTAACGTGTTATCTTCCTCTTCTTTCTTCTTCTTCTTCTTTTTTTTAATTTTTATTTTATTCATATGTGCATACAATGTTTGGGTCATTTCTCCCCCCTTCCCCCGGCCCCCTTCCTTTCCTCCTCCTCCTCCTCCTCCTTCTCCTCCTCTCCTCCTCCTCCTTCCTCCTCCTCCTTCCTCTCCCTCTTCTCCCCCTTCCCCCTTCTCTACATCCCTCCCTTCTTCCCTCCCTCCCCCTCCACTGATGCTCTGAAAAATGATGAACAGAGATGAAAGATGTTTCATTTGCTACCAATAGGCTAGGGTTCCATGGGAAAGGCTGTTGAACAAGCCCACAGAGGGTCTATCCAGTCTTGGGGAGCAGGGCAGTAGCTGTGGGCAATGATGGGAAGGGGCTGGCATTGGGAACTTGGGGAAGTGACAGAGACTAACTCTGAAAGGCCCGTGGCTCTGGTCCACTACAACTCCTTCTAGTTCTGCCTCAGAAGCAGGGTCAGATTAGCAGTTGGCCTTGGTTGCCAACTGGGCAGATGGAAGGAGGGACAGGGAAGAAGTTGTCTATTGTAACATCCAGGGGCCCAAACTCTCCTTAGGGAGCTCTGATCTTGAGTGTTAGGAAGTATCTCTCCCTGCAGGTTTTGGGAACCTTGATTTTGGGAACATTCAAGGGAGACCTGAGCCAGTCTATTATCAGGAGTCCTACTGTTTAGACCAGTATGAAGTTGAGGGTGAGGGTGAATAAGGGGCAGGAGGAAAGAGTTTAGGAGGTATGGGGGGGGGGAGAGCTTAGGGGGACCTGCCATCCAGCAATGCTTCTCTGAAGGTCCAGGAGTGGTGGGCAGGTCAGCCAGGTAATCAGTTTAGGGGATGATCTGAATTAATCCCCATAATCCCTGGATTTAGGACTCAACTTCCCTCCTAATCCCATCCCAGAAGATCATCCTATCTGAGGACCAACACAGCCATTTAGCTCTCTTTACCCTTATTTCTAAATGCCTAAGTGCTTTTGTTAAAAATGAATATTTGAAATATGCAGAAAAGAACAGTACAAAGAATAACCTAACCAATACTCATGTACACAGGACTGAGATCCAACATCTATTCAACTCTTGCCACATTTCATTCTGTGGTTTTACGGTTTTACTTTATATGGACGTATCCTCAAACCAAATACAGAATTTTGATTTGTGTGTTTTAGGCCTCTGTCTAAATGGTGTTATACCCTTTTTCTGTGGTTTTCTCCAAATTTTAAACACTTACCTATGTTCTTTCATACAGTTCCGGTTCATCTCTGAATAAACCACAATTTATTTATCAGCTCATCTGCTGGTAAGCATTTCTGGTTTTCCATACTACAAGCAATGCCGCAGTGGGCAGTTCTGTGCATCTCTTTGGCATGTGTGTGTGTTTCCCTAGGGCAAATACCTGGAAATGGAATTTCTGGGTCATGGAGAATGTAATTTCATGCCAAATTGCTCTATAAAGTACTTGGACCAACTTAAACACCATAAACAGAGCAGTGACTTTATTTTTTTATTTATCTTATTTATTCCCCAGGGCCCCCCCCCCCGATTTGGAAGTTAAATTCTATTTCTACTGTGTGTGTTTAGTAATTACCTGTTTATATTTTCTAAAAAGTCTTACTTAAGTGTACAGTGAATCAATCTCACCATACTTTTCCTGAATGACAGAAGGGGTTTAAAACATATTAACTCTGATCTTCTTCCCCCCACAATCCCACATATTTCAATCTAGAATTATCGTTTCCAGTCTCAGTAAGGCTCACCACCACCACCACCACCACCACCACCATCTCAGTGCTTGTTTAGATTAACTAACATAATTATAAATATATCTGTTCACTATTTCCTCTTGCAATCCACTCTTTCCTTCTCATTTCAGTTTCATTCTTAAGAAATATATCCATTTGTGGCATTTCAGTGAAAGTCCTTGAATGGTAAGCATTCTCAGTCTTTGTCATAAAATGTCTTTTTTTCATACCCTTTAAATGTAAATTTCATGGGTATAGAATTCTAGATGACAGGTAGTTTCTCTTGGCGTTTTCAAAAATTTTATTTTGAATTAGCATATAATAATATAAGGGGATTTCATTATGTCTGGCCTTTTGAAGGCATTTTTCCTAGAATCTTTTCTACTAATGAGTAACAATATTTTTCTATAAACCTTTTTCTATAAATATTTTCTGTTATTTTTTTCTATAATCTTTTGTTGCTTATAAGAACAGTTCTACAGTTTCACCACAGTATGTTGATGAGCTCAAGGCTTAACCTGAGGACCTGCACCTTTCTTCCATTTTGGAAATTATCAGCATTATTTGCTGGAATATTACATTGCTTCTATTCTCTGAGCGTCTTTCAGGAACTCATATTGTGTGTCTATACATGCATATGCATATATATGTATATACATACATCAATATGTCTCATTCTTTTTCTTAGTCCTTTTAATTATTATTTCCTCTTTATTTTTTGGCATTCTTTTTAAAATTTTCTTTTATATTTTTTATTTTCATATTATTGTTGTGCTGAGGGTACATTGTGACATTTACAAAAGTGCTTACAGTATATCATAATTGAATTTACCCTCTGCATCATTCTCCTTTATCCTCCTCCACCATTCCTGGATTATTATTTCATATTTATTTTCATCACTGTTCTACTGTTTCATATTTTTAATGATTTAATCAGCTCTATTTTCTACTTCATTAATTCTCTCTTCACCAGAATCTAATCTACTTTTTAATACATCATTGATTCTTTTATTTTAAAGATTATGTCTTTCACTTTTTAAATTTTATCATTTTTACATTTACTCACATGTGCGCACATTGTTTGGGCCACCTCCCCTACCCTGCTCCCCTCTGTATTTCACTTCTTAATGTTTTTTTTCCTTTCAACAATCTACTGTTTTCCATTGTGCCCTATTTTCATTGCAGTTTATTTTCTTGTCTTTAATCTTTGGTATATTTAAGTATACTTATTATGTAGTATTTTTCATGTTATATTCTTGGAGTTCTCTCTTATTTGTTGTGTTCCTTTGTTGCTTGTGATGAATTGCTTCTTAGTCTAGTTTTGCTTCATCTGTGACTGGGATGGTCCCCAAAATGGCAAGAGAGGAATTCCTTAAAGGGCATGCCCCAAACCATCCCAAATTGGGGTTGGTTGTTCTAATGGCTGGATGAGCAGTCCAGAGCATTTTTTGTTCTGGGAGCATACATACAAAGTAGGCTGTTGAGTACCCTCAAAGCAGACAGTGAATCAAAGGATATTCTACCTAGGTGTGTCCACAATGATGGGGTCAGGGTGTGGTGTTTATATGAGGACTGAAGGAGTTTGGCTTGGGATAGAGGTAACTGCTCTGAGTTTAGCGGCATGATTGATCTTTCGGTGTTTTGAACAACAACCTAAACACTTTTATCAGTGCCTGCATATGTTCAAGCCTGAAGGAGAAACACACAACTGACTGTGTCACAGGGTGATCAATGCATTCTGTATTTCTTGGTCAAGATAGAAGAAAAAGTAGGAGAAACTACAGTCTTATATCATTTTATTGTGAGCTCTTCTTTAGTAGGTTTTTCATTTTTGTGGTTGATAGTGGTAGTGTATGTGTGAGTCCCATATGGCTTGGCTTATGAAGACCTTCTTATAGACTTCTTTTTGATGCTGTGTAGCTGTGTGGTATTCCTAAGGCTTTCAAGAGTCCTAAACCAGGTTTATATCTAATTTCTCTGCTTGGATTCAGCACCATGTAAATAACATACAGTATACCCCTCCACCCCTA